AGGCCTACGATGCGGGAAGCTCGAAATACGAAACGCTCACAATGCGGAACGCATGCAGTAAGCAGGGTGGAGAATCGTAAGTTTCGGACCTGAGGACATCATCGATTAGTAGCCGGCCTGGCGCGCGTGCCGCAGCAACAAGACTCGGAAATATAGATTTTCCGTATCCGAGAAGCTCCTTTCTGCCTATCGACGAAGGTACCTCATCGACAACCTGATGATTGGATGACCGCACATTCTTACCATTGACCTCAAAGATGCATTCAGTGGCGGAAGTAACACTACGAGCAGGGCGAGCAACACTACGGCTTTGGCTCAAGAGACTGAACCTTCCTCGGCAGCCACAAGCGTCCTGGCATCGAGACAGACTTCGTGAGGAGCTTCAGGAGCTCCGATTTGCAAAAACACGTTTCTCTCGACTGAGTGAAGCTTCAGACGTCATATTTTCAATTATACGGGCTGAACATGATGGGTTTGCATCTCGCCAGATTTCGTTCCTCTCTGGGTACCAAATTGTCCCAATCTGTATTTACATGGTGGCCAAATTCACCTCGCGGTGGGTTTTTTTCAAAGTTGCTGCTCTCATATGCAAACAAAAACGTTGGAACTCGATACATGAGGTGGTGAACCCGAGCAAGGATGAAAAGGTCGCTTCTGTGGCGTGTCGCCATCAAATGGACCCCGAGATATTCCAGCGAGTCAGTCGTGGCCTCCGACGTGTCTGGCCTCTTCTACCTTGATCACCGCATTGCAGCTCAGGAATATCTATTGCGCTATATACTCCATTGATTTGTATGGCCTGCTGTTGATGCGTGGTACCTTCTGATTGTGGTTCGCTCGCTTTGTTTTAGCTCGCTTTTTCTGACTACTGTATTTTCTCCTTTTCCAGCAACTACCCTGCCTACCAGTCCACGTATGCCCCCAGACCGCTACTTCCTACAGAGGGTCTTGATATAAATCTTACTAGTACAGGGTGTACTCGTCTTCTCCACCGAGAATTCAACTTTCACATTTACTTTGTTTGAAATCCACTTCTACTTTACCAAAACATCAGTCATGCAGCCTCCAACTGTGTCCTGTCTTAATGGGGGGTCTTGAGGCATTCCAGAACTTGAACGAAGATGCCAAAGAAAGGGTTCGCGAGAGTGCCATTGGAAGAGTCAAGCAAGAGAGTTTCCAGAGTGGGAAAAGTGCTTTAGTCACTGGACATGCCATGTTTTGGGCTGAAGAAGAAAGTGCCGGTCAACTGGTGTGCACACCAGCTGATCTAGACACCTACACTCACATTTTATATCTCGATGTGCCGGCTGAGAAAATCGCAGAGTATCGATCAAGTGACCAGAAACGAAGCCGTCCAGCGGTGTCAACTACTCATTTGCTCAAATGGCAGCAAGAGGAGAAAAAACAACTGCGTCATCTTTGCAGGTCTCACGACATCATTTTCACGACCATTACCCAACGCCAGGTATCCATGGGGAAAATTGTACCTCTAATTCGGGATCTAAGAAGCCATACAGACGACTTGAATGACATACTGGCCCAGCAACGCATGGATGACTTCATAATGACCGGATCCGAGCGGCCGGAGACCGTTTTGGTTTTTGACGCCGACAAGACACTAGCACCACAGGATAGTGGTGAATTGTTTTGGGAGCTGGCTTCTCCATCTTTGGTTGAGAAGGACGCGAGATTTCCCTTGAAGACTCTATTTAGCAGCCCTTTGCATTACTCATATACTGCCTTCCGCCAAGCGGCCTTACTCTGCGAAGAAGTCATCGGCGACAATGAAGAATATGACGATCTCTGCGAGAAAGTGGCCTCCATGATCAATGTTCGTTCTGAAATTTTGGATCTTTTGCACCTGGTGTCAGGTCATACCCATGTCCGTGCGCTGGTGTTGACTTGTGGGCTTCGCAGAGTCTGGGAAAAGGTTCTGAAGAGGGAGGGTCTGGCGAAAACAGTCATAATTATTGGCGGGGGGCGCTTGTCCGACGCTCTTGTTATGACACCCGCACTAAAAGCGGCACTCGTGAGACGTTTGCGTGATGTGCACGACTCTTATGTTTGGGCCTTTGGTGACAGTCCACTGGATCTGGAAATGCTCCAAGCGGCCAACCAAGCAATTGTTGTGACGGGCGACAAAAAATTGAGAAGTGGTAGCATGGACGAGGCTTTGACAAAAGCTATCGGAAAAGCCGGGTTTCGGCCGCGCCAGGCTGTGCTCCCGGCAACTGCAACCGCTCGCCTTGATGCGTCTCGGCTGCCTTTAGTACAGCTGACGGATCAATTTTTTGTTGAGTCGATATTTGTCCGACGCCAAAGTCTTCATGTTCTTCATGCTACTGATCGTTCTACGGCCAAATTACTTATGACGCCAATGCGTGATGCAAAAGTTTCTGGGCCATCGCTACGGGATGCACATTCCCTAGTTGGATGGTATCTTGCCACCGAGTTCTGTACGCAGATCCTAGGCGTTGAGACATACCATGTGACACACGTTCAAGGTCACCAAACAGATGGTTACCGGATTCTCAGAGAGAAAGAGACCTTGATTGTGCCTCTGATGCGAGGTGGTGAACCAATGGCATTGGGCGTGAACAGGGCTTTGCCACTTGCCATGTTTATTCATGCAAAAAACCCAAGCGACATTCAGCATGAGCATCTTCAGGATCGAGTGACAATCTTCCTTGTTGACTCGGTGGTCAACACCGGCCAGTCAATTTTGGAGTTCGTGCGACACATTCGACAACTTAATGCTTCTATCCGCATTGTTGTGGTCGCTGGTGTCATCCAGGCTAAATCGGTTTCTACCAGTAGAGTTGCGCAAGAGCTCTCGCGATTCCGGCGTTTATCTTTCGTTGCTCTCCGCCTGTCGGATAATCAGTTCACTGGCAAAGGGAGCACTGATACTGGACATAGACTGTTCAACACCGTGCACCTTGATTAGTTATATGCAAGATCATGATACTATATCGTGATTCCCTTCCTTGGTTTAACTCCGTCGTGGTAAATTTAAAACAAATTGGTAGCTTCTATACTAGCGTATTTCGAAACGATAAGGTCCGCATATGGATTTCAGCATAAGAATTCTATAAATACTCTACGTTAGTCACACAACAATTTTATTACCCGATGCTAAACAATCGATCTGATATCATTACAATTATAGTGATGGAAACTAGTCGAAGCGCTGTTCTCAAAAAATCCCCTCTTCCCTATGGCTGAGGTAGTGTTTCAACATTGACGCGAAGAGTTGCAACCCAGATCGCGCCACAATAGCCTGCTCATTCACACAGCCCCGAAATACTGAGACACACGCCCAGACCATTATGAACGCTTCTCCAGCTTTGCGATAATCCGGTCATTTTTAGTCTTGGCTGATTCAAACCTTCAGACTATGTAGACAGTGTTATGGTTTAGAGGTATGAATTGTATTATCCATTCAGAGGAAGAAGTGTTCGGGATTAATTCCGATGGCTCCGCTTGGTTCCTCATCTGCGTCAGCCTCATATCACAACACAAAGCATCTATCACCCTATTAATACCTCTAGCATATAATAGGCAAGCACTGACTTTAAGTCAACTCGTCGCCTGTCGATCTAGGATAGCATTGGCGGAGCTCGAAAGTCTCCTCCGATGGTATTAATTTGCCTTTGATCCCAGTGATAAGCTCTGCGACGGCAAAAGGCTGACTGTCGCAATCTTCCGAGCGCGCTCGACTTTGATCTTATCCTCCTCGGACAGCTCGTCGGCGTGGGATACATAAGATCATCAGCGGGCACATAAACCGCCTAAACTGAGGTAATGGATTCTTTCGGTGTACTGGTGATACATTCCTGAAGGCACCCTGTCAACTGCCACGGTCGATTGGTAATCAACTGCGCAGAGCAGATACTTCTGATCCTGTCTGTGTGAGGCGGAATATGTCGGTGAATAGAACCACTGTCATCTGTTAGCGAGTAATATAGACTTCAGGCTTCGATACACTGATCGTCTTGACCGTCTTCTCGGAAGTACTCTGCCACTGTAAGTCCCGCCAGAATGACTCTGGCCCGCGTACCGTGGGCTTATTCATCTGGCCAAAGATCAAGTTCACCTTCGACTCTCTCTCCAGATTGATGACCCCAGTTTCTTGCATTTCCTGATACATATCATTCCCCACTCGAGACCGTTCGCCAATCCCATTCCTCCGACATCAAATACATATCCTTGCCAAGCCAGCACCCTTGGTTGAAATTATAAAATTACAGGCGACTATAACTCGCTTGCTATACTTAGACCATGTTTCTATGCAGAAGAAATTTATTTACGAACAAAATACAGTTTCTTATTGTTTCCTAGAAGAAGTGAAGAAATAGCATTGAGTACTGTTATGACTAAACGTGTAAAGATTCCGACATAAAATAGTGTTTTGTCAGCTTCATGTATCATCTGATGCTCCGGAAAAGGATATCTAGCGGATTATGTGCTAGTGCGGATAGTTTGCGGAAATCCGCAACGACAATGAAGATAATGAGAGATAATGGCCAACTATCGTTGTCATCGTTATCTTACGATATGACGGGACTTAATCGTAAATACCCGGCCCGTTCAAAATTACGAGGGGGCGATGAGACCGTAACGGACCATTAATTACATATAAAACATAAGCAAGTCGATATCATAGGTAATCAATCAGCATTTAGCGGTAATTTACTACGTCATGCTCTGATAGAGCTTTATTTTTTTTTTGCCTTCTAGAAGAAATACAACAACATGCATTTTTAAACATGAATCGGAACTCCCCCATCATCCGAATCGGAATCTTTCTCTAGATTCTCGATACTATCAGGCTGACCTAAATTCTCAATAGCTAGTTTTGCAGCACTTTTTACTACCTGTCGCCCCAAAGCCCTGATGCTCAAGTCTTCGTTTTCTGGAAATGGGGCTTGGTTCGAACTTGAGAGCCGGCTCTCAGTAATTCCTGTTCGAGAATCTGGATGCCAGCGACTTGGTGACGATTATTCCAAAACTTGTGCGATAACATCACTTCGTATGTCTTCAGTCATCTTATTTATGATTTGTCGCTGCTGCTTAAAGTCCGGAAGATTCTTTGTGAAAACCTTCACTAAAGGTGGACTCCATTTGATCCACACCTTGCGATGGCACTCAGGCGCGTCCATGCGAGCTGGGTGGTACTTAAAATACATTTCACAGCAAACACAAGAAGGTTTACTGCAAGCAATGTAACGGTCAGCATCCACAAAGTGCAATTTCTTCTTGTGAAAGTGCTCGAGAACCTGCACCTCAGCATGAACCTGTGGCACGCAGCGCTGGTACTGTTCGTTGAGCTTTTCAAGGATGCCGTTTCCCATATTCATGTAGATAAGTTTTCTTTCAATTTCCAGCCGTTCCGGGTCATTCTGCTTGAGCATTCGGTAAAGAATTCCCTCCAGCGTGGTTTGCGAGTCAAATATTGGCTGTGGTACAGAAGGAATTGGTTCAATGTAATCAACTTTGCACGACTCAAGCATATAGTCCAAAGTCTCAGCATCCTCAAAAAGCTGTTGAGGTGCTCGAATATGGGCCGCTAAGCGTCCCAAGTAATGTTTTGCTATGGCAAAAGATGTCATCCTCCCTTGTGGGCCTATTTTTTTCTCCTCATTCTGGGCACTAAATGTCAAAATATCCACAAATTTGGAATGACGGTTTTCGTAGGCAAATTTGCATAGGCTAAAGCTGTCTTTATGAGCCAAGATTGAGTCAAGCCATATGTCTAATGCTATAATCTCCATTAGTAACTTTTTATACTTGCATTCAAGGAGAAGGTACCAACATGGGTCTGTATTCCACTGATTCTGTTTGGAATAGCATGCTTTGACTGCCCGAAATAGACTTTGAGTCTCTTTCTTCACGCGACTGGATGCAAACCGTATGCAGAAGTCCACGAAATCTATCTTATCGCGCTCCGACTCTGTTGGGCCATGCGAGCCAGCGATTTTCAAAGTGCTCAGAGCCGACTCTAGAAACTCAACCACCTTCCGATTGACTGAATTTGAAGCGACCCAAAATTTGTAGTATGTGTCTCTTTCTTCAACCCCGAGTGCAGTGCATGAATTGCCGCCCTTTTCAAAGTCACAAATATATGAGAGGTTCTGCAAGAACTTCCGCCGATGTGCTATCCGCGGATCCATCATAGGAACGGCAGTGTTGTGTTCTCCACGTGCTTGACCTAGGGTCTCCAAGAGGAACAATGGCTCGTAAAATCGTCTGAGTAGCTTTTGATAAGGATTCAGTCCTCGGGACCTAGGGCTGCAGGACTTGATAGGGAGCTGGTGACTGTAGCCGGTGTTCAGAACTTCACAATCAGACAATGGCATATTGAGCGTGAGCGACATAGTTCGTACAGATTGAGGCACACAGAAGATTATTGAAAGCTGTTGAATATCAAAATCTGGCTGAAGTCCAATAGAACGAGGGTTTACTGTAGTAATAATCTGAGATCCGGACGAGGCACATGGCACGAATGGGACTTTACGGAGAAATGCGCCGACAATCAACAAAGTACAAGTGGAGATAAACCCACTGCAAGGCAATGCTGATGCTTCCAATGCGGGAGGCCGTCAGCGTCGGCGGGTCTAGCTAGTCGTCTATGAAATGCTCCACACAATGGGACATGCAGAAACAAACTGCGAGGCGCATAAATGGCTTTGAATAAACTTGTGGTAGAAAATATCATCGGTAAGTTTTTGATTCCGACCGCGCCTCTGGGATTTATGGAAGTAACGGGGTTTTGGCCCGGACCGTGTAAGCTTTCATTATAGCAGTGAGTATGGATTTACCAAGATAATAAAGTAATGTAAACAGTTTACCTCCGGGCGCAACCTGCATAGTGGGAGGTCCCAGCATGTGTATTCCCCGAAGGAGGTGGCTTTTTACTGCACTGAGCTTCAGCCAAACTCCAATACCAATAATAAATTGTTGAGCCAGTCAGACCTTCTTTCTACAAATTCTTCGCATCTCATTAGGCAGAGGATTGCGCTGTGCAGTTTTCAGCTCGTAAAAGGCGCCATGCATTGGAAAATACAGATGATCAATCAACATTTTGCCCCAGCGCAAACTTGTCCCAATGGTCGAGACTAAGAAAAGACCCACAGCATCAGTGGTGAAAGAGTGAATATGTGGAACAACCCAACCGCTTAGGTTCTAGACATTTCAGTTCGTATTCGATTTATATTATCAAGTGGCGATGAATGATGATGAACGTTTTCACGTGCCTATACATTTACACGTGCCTATACAAATTGTAAGCGCATATTGATATCGACCTCCAAGCGATTGCCGGAAATTCTTCTTTCGTCTTCTACTAGGTCTTGAGAATGATGCATGCGGGCATGATCTAGCCAAGCAGACCACCGTTCTTTCCTTATTAATTGGATAATTTTACCGTTCCTTGACTCTTCAGCCTTCATCCGCACTTCAATCAATAAATATGGAAGCCACACTTCCTAACCATAATGAAGATGACGAGGAGTGCAATTTACGTTTTGCCCTCGATATTTGGACCGATCCGGTCTACACTTTGATTTGACCAATCTGAAACAACTTATCTTCCAATGAGCTTCGATGCAGGAGGAACCAAACTTTCTTCCGACGCAACATCATATGTCTTTAAATAGGCAAACGATAACTTTGACTTGATAGATACTGCTTTCTTGGATCACTTGCTACCCAATGAGAACCACGCCGAGAATCGGCCTCTATAGAGTGCTACATCTCGGTTCGTCTTGGACTCAAGTATATGCCCAGTCCCTTGAGCCGAGCAATCCCCTTGTCCAACGTTCGAATTGAAAAACAGTTGAAAGATTTTAGTCCTTCTAGGCGCCAGATACTTTGAAGATCTCAAGACTACCATATAAATCAAATTGTGAGGGTAGACCGGTAATGTGGCGAATGAAAGTTTACTTCGTAATTTCGTGCTCCTCTATGCAACTTTTTAACTAATACTTTCAAGGGCTATTCAAAAGGCAAATTTATGAATCATGATTAACTAACTACACCTTGATAGATCAGTTGAGGGAGTCTCTTCATATCTCTTAGAGCAGACAACAACAATGATGAGGCCAAATGAAACTTCGATGATCAGTTTAAGGCATGGGAACAACAAAGAAGCTAGTGGTCTACCAAGTGAATGTAGTAAATTGAGGGAGAGTGGTGTATTGAGAGGTTCATATAAACTACGGTGTTAAGGAGCCAGAAAGATAGCTTTGCATCTCCTCTGCACAACGACGAGTCAGTCGATTTTGCATGTCTTTCCATTTAACATCTAGACCCAGAATGTCGCCTAAGAACCAGAAGGCAATCATCATCAAAACTGCTTGTGAGCATGAAAGTCAGGCTCCGGCTCGAGCTGACAAGAGTGTTTTAGAAAACATACAAAAATGTCTGAACCGTGCATAAAACGCCAAGGCATCGGAGGCAGAAGCCAAAACCGTGCTCTTCATATCTCAGAAACTCATTGCCAATGATGATAGAAGCAACAAAGCGTGCTATGGTGGGCGGAGTATCGTTCGCATTGAAAAATTCACGGGCTCATCGCAGAGGGTTGTGAGAGAGGCTTTTGTTGAGAGAGTGGTGACGGCAATGTGCACCTTCTTTGACGGCAAAAGCTTTTCGACTTATTTTGGTATATCTGTGGAATCTGAATCTAACTCTATTCCAGAGCCGTTACCTGGGCAGGAAACGCCATTCTAGGCCTGTGGTTGGCTGAAACCGGGTCCAAAGCGGGTCCACTGACCCAGGTAACAAAGTGCGACGTTACATAATAGGCCTCCTGCATAATAGGCCTCCTGCATCATGTGCTTCCTGCATCGTGGGCCTCCCGCATCGTGGGCCTCCAGCATCGTGGGTCTCCTGCATCATCTGCTTCCTGCATCGTGGGCCTCCCGCATCGTGGGCCTTCCGCATCGCGGATCTCCTGCATTGTAAGCCTGCTAGTATTTAGCTCACCGTCCTGATTCAGTTGAACTTTTAATACCTTTTCTAGTGAGCGTACATGAGCTTCACCGGCTTAGAAATGGCAGACCTCACTAACGCTTCACCCAATTTAGGGTTGAATGTTCTAGTTCTTATAATAGAAAGAGAAGAGACAAGGAGGACTGAACGAAATATGACTTCTCTTCCCTCTTCAACCAGAAGTTCTAGTGATGCTAACCATGCATTATTGAAATATAAGGCTTCATATGATACTAGTAGCAGCTTAGAAGCACCGACATAAGCGGAATTGACCGCATCATAACGCAATGCCGGATATTTAGGATACCGCCACTTTTTTTCCAGGCATATCTGAATAATATTTCAGCCTGAGCCATCGGTATTTTCCTACAAATATCTTTTGGAATAGCGAAATGTGTATTTTCTTTTGGTATTAGGCCTGCCGCATACGGGTTATAGATCTGCATAAGCATAGAGAAAAAGAATAGAGCAACCTCCGGAGGGTGCTTTATCATTATAATCGACACTAATAAGTCAAACTCTCCTGAAACGATGGGGACGTATGGTAGGGTCGGGCAATCTCGGGGCTATCTGTGGGCGTCTGGCAGGCCTTTCGGGGGGCGGAAAATGAACTTTATGTATGGCCAATCATCTTTGAGTTTGCTATGGCTGTGATAAGCTTCTCTCAAGAAGATATCTTTCCTCTAAACCATGACCATCATGAGAGATGCTAATGTATGACTGGATCGGCGATGATGAGCTAAAAACTTCTGCGCGCTGACAATGTTGTCAATAGTACCGCTATGACCAGCACTGTACGTAGTGGTGAAAGCTATTGCTGAATCAGGACTAAACAGAAATCGTCTGTATCAAGGAACATTACCTGCGGGATTGAGGTAGCCATAAGTACTAGTTGAATCGCAATTCATGCAGGAGGCCACTCATGCGGGAGGCCATCCATGCAGCTAGGCAATTGTGCGATACTTTTGAAGTCAAGCAGTGAAAATTACTTAGTAACCATTTGGTATAAAGCAAAATTTCTTGCTTCTGGCCGGCAGACTTAATACAGACTAGCTCTCTATTGATCTAGTCGAGTGAAGCTAAAAAAAACATTTTAATTTCGTCATGTCAAGATTTTAACCTGTGATTACAGGCCTTCCAACAAAGCGCTGTATTGTACTCACCGCAATTACAAACTAGAAGACCACAGCTGTTAGAATTAGTGACTCGCTATAAAAGCAAGCCATAGAAACTATACTGAGAAAATATTCCTTGAGAGCATAACTTCAAAATGTCCTCATCTATGTGTCACGAGAACCGACTTGGTATGTCTCTGAGGAAGCAAACTTTCTTGCTCCCACAGCTCATTGAAAAACATCTGAGAAAATTCTAATGACTTCAAGATCAGGACTTGACATATCATTTAAGTTTGCTGAAATTTGACAAATCAAATGATGAATGCGAAGAAGCTCTCCTCGCTCCCATGTTGACAAGCGTAGTGCTCAATCAACCTGCACTGGCTCCATTGCAATATGGGCTTCTGGGGGGTGTGAAGGAAATTGAGACACCTTATCAGGTTGGCACAGAGATCCAAGAACTGAAAGACGATCCCCGGTTGTTTTTCAATGTCTCATCTCCATCTAGTGTGTTTATCTGCGGATCTCAGGGTTCTGGAAAGAGTCACACACTTTCCTGTCTTCTTGAAGGATGTTTGATCTCCTCCAGAGCTGGGAGGCTTTTAAATCCACTCACAGCGGTTGTTTTTCATTATGACACATTTATCTGTGATAATGGTGGCTCACCCTGCGAAGCTGCTTTCCTGGCGTCTAATCCAAACATCAAGGTCAGAGTCCTCTGTGCTCCGACCAATCTCCGGACCATACAGGTAAAGTGTCCCCATCGCCTACCTTTTACATTGCTCATGATGCCATAGGGAACCTACTCAAGATTCAACATCAAGGTAGAGCCTTTACAGATAGATCAGTCCGACTTAAACACTAAACGTATGCTGGATCTTATGGCAGTCGATCGAGATAATGGTGCAGTTCCATTATACTTGCATACGGTACAGCGAATCTTGCGAGAAATGAGGCTATTACAGCAAAGCGCAGGGTCTCAGTTTAACTATCAAGATTTCAAGAGCCGAATTCTTTCTTCAGGACTTCTGCCGGGTCAGCTTGAGCCTTTGAAACAAAGGCTAGATACACTGGAGAGCTTCATGGCACCCCAACAAGCAGGCGCAAGTTACCAGATGAAAGGGAAGTCCGCGAAGAAGAACGCAGGCTCCAGCTGGACCCCAAAGGTAATTTCCTTCAGCATTATTCCAGTCATCTCAAAGTCTCACTATAAATCAGGCCTCACAATTGACGATCGTTGACCTTTCCTGTCCGTGCATCTCACCCGACACGGCATGCAGCCTCTTCAACGTCTGTTTTGGGATTTTTATGGAACAGGAAACCAAGATTGGTAGGATTGTAGCACTTGATGAGGCTCATAAGGTGCGACTTACAACTGAGATCGTAGTTATGTTGACATTAACTGGCTTTCAGTACATGAAGGATTCTGTCGAGGCGCAAGGGTTCACAGATACTCTGCTCTCAACGGTTCGATTACAACGTCACCTCGGTGCCCGAATTTTGGTCTCGACGCAAGAGCCAACGATTTCCAGTGACCTACTCAGTCTGTGCTCCGTCGCCATTGTTCATCGATTCTCATCGCCGGCATGGGCACACGCACTGCAAGCTCATGTGGCTGCGGCAGCCTTGAGTTTGCAGTCAACAAAGGAGAACCAAGCACATCATGATCAGGAGCCGCTTGGGATTCCCACAAAGCATTCCATCTTCCATCGAATTGTACATCTTCAAGTGGGTGAGGCCTTGCTCTTCTCACCTAGTGCGGTGATCAGTGTTGCAGCTAAGCGAGACAGATCGCTTGACGTAATCAGGCTCGGTTCGGGCTATATGACAATCAAAATTAGGGACAGGCTTACAGAGGATGGTGGGAAAAGCGTTATTTCCTCTTAAGTAGGTAGAAAATTACCATTCAGATGGTGGGCCAGGTGTCTCGGGAATCCAATATAATTTTTTTATTGAGAAACAGCTTCCTCTTCCGATACCAGCTTGTACAACTAATTAATCGGCTAGGGCCAAGAATCTTGGCCTCCCGCGCATGGCCACTCTCGTGGTCGGCAGGTGTCACAACACTCGTTTCTATGCTACCGCCGGCGCTGACGCAGATCGCTCCGCAAACCCAATGCCCGGCACCGTGTTTGACCGTAGTATTTCCGAGACCTGACACCGGGACTGTTCTCTCCAAGCTCACTCGGCTCTTGAGGAAACAACTTGTCCTGCCCACTACTTCACTGTGGGGGATTTTTTCCGCCTGTAAATTAGCGCCAACTGGGGCAGCTGGGACAGTAGACACTCTGCCGAAATTCACTCAAAAAATGCACTATCTATTTGCCCGTGCGAACAGGGTGGTTATTGTCTGCCCTCCAGCTTACTATATGGATCTTGTCTTTACACGAGCCCGATGCTAGAGCTCTTCGACCATATTCCCTCTGCGACCCCAGAGAGTAGTATTGTGAAAAGTGGGAAAAGTGAGAGCGAATGGATGTCAGAAGCCTGATAGTCATCTGATCATTGTGCATTCTCCAGTGAAGGATACCATGTTCTACATTGAAATGGTTGTTGCTAGGACACATTGTAACGATATCTACAAGGGATTGATTTACTTGAGTTTGGGACATCTGTTTTGGCTTTGGTTCTGCGTTTCGAGACCCCAATAATTGAATGAAGATGGTCGCTTATTGGAATGATATGCACTTCATCCCACTGGTCAAGAGTTTACCTCGGACGTGTTATCCGAATCCCATCTGCTTGCTAGGCTCGTTGGCAAAACACTGTTGACATTTCCACCTGGCTCTCGGAAATTGAGGCACTTCTCGCCCTCCTCGTGCTCGATTTCAAACCTGCCATTATCCACACTACGAGCAAAGGATACTATCATGTGTAGCAAGCTGGCAAATCTGGCCAAAGCTGGCTGTTGAGATTCTTCCCAGAGCTTCAATTCTTCACGCATGTCCTGAATCCGAACGTCTTTGAACTTGCCGAACGTGTGATACGCGAGAACAAAATTGGGGATTTGCCGGACCAATAGCCGAGGCAGCTCTTCTTCAACCGTTTGAACGTCCATCTTCTTGACAGAACGCGTTTTTAGGTCAAATACCGCCCGTTGTGGGACATGGTGACCTCCCTTAGAGACCTTGAGTGTCGTTAATTCGGTATCTTTAGTGGTTAAACGCACGCCTGAAATCGTTACTTCTTCAATAGATGACAAAATATCATTTACTTCAATATCTCCAGTCTCAGAAGTGTGATATTGCTGGACCTTTGAGTCTTCGGGGATCAAGTCGGGTAGGAAACCGTCGACCTCAAAGCGCACTAAGCAATTTATGCCAGCAAAATCGTAATTGACCAACCGCTGATGGGACACGGACCCTTGGACGAGGGCACTCCACGTAATGTATGCCTTGGGAAATGTATGTCCGTATCCCCGGACATCTGGGATGGTTTCAGTGGGCGAGTTTTCCCTTCTGATGAAGAAGACTGTGTTGCCGACTACTTCGACAAGCAACCTGAAAGACTGGGCTCTGCCACGCGCAAACCGTAATAGACTGCCAAATGTACTCCCGCAGCCAATTATATCAACATTTCTCAGGCAGAATTCTGTTCTTTCCGTCAATAATGCTTGGATCATCGGCTCGAGTGGGTAGATGGGATATCGTGCAGCGTTACCGTCACGATAATATTGGCCGGAATCCTCTCGCAACTGAGTAGGCTCAGGAAGAGGTGTCCAAGCCGGCGGTTCACCTTGCAGAAACTTGTTGATTAGTGACCATGAAAACTTTTCTGTTCAGTAGGTTTCCTCACCTGGAACGACGATATGATGATTTGCCCCAGTGATCCAATTGTAGGATGTCAGATACTGGCTGTTCGTAATGTGGGCCCTATTATCCCCTTGACTCGCTGAATCATCAAGGTCCTCGGGTTGAACTGTTGCAACAATTTCACCCAGCGGTGGAGGTAAAGTTGCGAGTACAGTACGCCTTCGAGTTCCCCCATGAGCTCTCCTTCTCTCCCCACCTCTCCCATACGGACGCCCCCGTTGGTTCATTATGTGTATCTGGATGATAATGGATGAAAAATGGATGGAGGCACAAATCGTGCAAAACACGAAAGATCTGGGGCGATGTGGTGGTGGTTGAAATAGAAGCAAATGGTGGGAATAAATACAACCTGAGCCACTTTTGGGAGTTTTGCAAGCGTTTCTGGCAAACACTTACTTTACTGAGAAATGGTACGAGTCGTTTGAACACGTCATCTCTTTCTTTCCCGGATTGGCTGGTCACACTGTTCACCTAGACTTATGCCCGTGAGTGCTTACGGGCGCAGCTACCCATGCATGCACTTCGAACCGGCTGACCCAACGAAACAACAATTGGACAGCAATAGTGATGCCTGCATTTGGACTTCTCACTTGTTGCAGTTCTTTTGTTGTCAGAATTGAGTGAGGAGAATATCCACAGCTGCCGTTCTGCTCGATCCCAAGGCTTTTTCCCCCTGCCCGCTCTTCGAGTTGATTTATAGTAGGAGTTCCTTTCATTTCTTGCAACCATCAAACACTGAGTATCATACATCTTATACCTTTCTCACAATGACTCAAAGTATGAGATCGGACCGGCTGGCCAGATATTTTGGAGCTGTCCTTCATGGAACGCAGAAGGTCCAGGATCTCAGTAGCTTCAAGCGGCTCATCGCAGCCATTCTCGACCAGAAAGATCCCTGCGGTACGTTTGAGCAACTCATCCTGAGCCCAAGCGCCCTCAGCGCTCTTCGGATCGGATTGAGGTTCAACCTCACACCCGCCTTCATCAACGGATATACTGCGAAGTTCATCCTTCATTTCATATGTTGGACGCCAAATGGAGAAAGTCGCCTTTTTTGATCCCTTTTAGTTGACATCAAGACACACCACTGTATTAATGCTACCATCGCTGCTTAAAATATAATCATCGGCGAGGCGATGAATTCGGTGACTCTTCTGTGAATAGCAGACTTCGATTACCACTCCTGGGTATCGAGCCTCAACGAACTCTGCGGCGGGCCCGTCACCCCTTTGAAGCACCCTGAGTTGAGTCGATATTGATGATGATGATGACGATGACGATGAATTCATTTTCCCGATGTAGCTCGCTCTAAATATATGCTGCTACGCGGGAGTGCTATCGGGCCCGCCAACAGCTGAAAGGTGGTTACCAGCCCACTGGTTGACTTAGGGGGGCTCATGATTCGAGCCTCTTCTTAGCCATATCGAATGCAGAATTAATATAAGACAAAGGAACGCAGACTGCAAATGTTCAACCGCTTGCCACTGGCAGATTGCCAGTATGAAAACGAACGTTCCTGGTCCTCACCGCCTTCGCTGGACCCTTGCTCCACTTCTCCTGACCCCCAACTCTCCCCTTGTCTCAGTACTCAGCTGCCGACAGACGCTTGCGCGCTCGTTTGATTCAAGGGAGTACAGTGGATCTGGCACTGCGCTCCTAACGGGCATTATTGTTCTCCTTCCGTCACACTGTTTTTACGGGATCATGGTTTCTCTACCTCTTCCACACCGAGAGCAATTGGATCCACACCACCAACCCGTGAGGGCCCAGTAGGACACGTCTCTTTCCCAATGTCGATGTAGAATTGGTCGGAGAGAAGAGACTCGTCGATCGTGCTGCCCCAATGCTGGGCAAACTCCTGCATCATACCGTCCCACGTGTTGGCTTTGGTCAATGTCTTCAAGTTTTTGCCTTGGACGAGGATAGTCACGCCTGAGAATTGCTGAAGCTCAGCGCTCTCGATGGTCTCGAGAATACTTGCCCACATAAGCGCGAGTGCATTTGGCTGGAGGAAATAGAATAGAAGCTGCTGCCGAGCGACTGGATTCACTCGCTGTGAGCGCATCTCAAGCCCCCGGGCCGTAGCATTCAGCCGACTGTGGTCAAAGCTAGCAGGATAATGCTGGACAAGCGAGCCATCGTGATGGCGATAGATTGTAGGGAGGAGTATCTGGTCTATCCAAACCCGAAAGTCATCATCACGGAGGCGACTGGATTGCTGCTCCTCCCGGTATAGCCGCGGGAATAGGAAGTAAAGAGAGATATCCTCAAATCCGACTAGCCGCCCAAATGTATAATGTGGTATCATATGCACCGGCCGTCGGACGTGATGAGCGCGACCATTGGCTCCAATGTATTGGATCGGAAGAGGATCAAGGTGTAGACCCGAACGAAGATCAGAGACGGGCGTCTGAGTCGAGTTCCACCGCACTCCAAGTTTAGCCACTGCTAGGCTGTGCGCAAATCCCACGATACTATCGATAGCAAAAGTTACCGCGGTCGGGCGTTCCGGCTCATGGTCGGCAGCAAGGCAGAGGTGCACTGGACCTGCGTCAGGCGTGGCTGAATTGATCCCAGTATAGATCTCCCGTTTTCGGTCTACATTGGTCTGTTCTGCTAGGTTGTTCTCACGTTTAGTCATGGCCGCCACGCTTAGAACGTCTGGATATCCCCCATCTGCCTGAATCTGGTCCATTTACTTTCCTGGGCCAAGATGCTCCGTATGCCACATTTGATGCTTACTCTCCTGTTGTGTATGGCATTGGTGGCAGCAGCCATAGTGCTGTTGGTGTTGGTCAGTGAGAAACTGGGCCAGTTTATAGATATCACTAGCTGTGTTGGTTCTAACGTCTTCTGATTGCTTAGGAGCTAACACTACAAATGGGTTGGTCACTTGGACTACACTTTCAGTCGCCGCAACAGTAGGATCGGCCTCGTCTGTCCCTTCTTTTACATTGTCTGGCGATATCGCTGAAGTAGGATCGTAGGCTATATTACTCGTGGGATCTAACGACACCTCGTTATCCACCAGCGGGATATCAAGTACTAATAGTTCCTGTGGTCCAGGGTCAAGGCTAAGTGGTGGCAGAAGTTGCCAGAAGTTGCTCAACTTCAGTGGCGATCGAGACTTCTCCGGGAGAAAAATAGGTCGACAGAGGCTCATTGATATCAGTAGATAAAGGCACTGCGGTAGAATAGTACTGATCGAATCGCTGGGCTCGATGCACAGCGCGGGTAGACTGACGGTGGTTTCGCCGTTACGTGACATTCGATACTTGTTTGTCCCTAGCAGATGTATACGTTCGTGGTCGTCCTATTCTTCGCGTTGGAAAATCTGATGGTGCCATGATAAGTAGGTGCAGGAATGCTCAGTACTATAGTCCGTGACAGAAAAGGTCTCTTTTTTGAAGGGTGATACAGATAGGGCGCGTAGAGAGATCTCGGCAGTATAGAAAGCGAAGCTATCATAATATCGCTGATAGGCACGCTAATGTTCTGTAAGAGGTTTAGTTTTGACCACGAATATTCAGAAGGGTTTAGTGTATACTTAGATAAGCGCTTCAGCATGGATAATGATCAGATTCAACCGATCACAACTCCTTGGATACTCCATTTAAAAAAACACAAATTACCTGATTCTGAATGCCAGGGTATTAAAGCATAGGTACAGTACAAATTTCAGGTCTATATGGCTGTGGTTGTGGTGAGTCGAGTTCGAGTACTCCGTACGGGTAGCTCCTTCCCGGGAATCTGCGAGCTTGCGTGGTCAAAGCTTGTTTGCCATTTGTAGAGACTTGGGTGCACTCGATGGCTCAACGTAATGTTTGGCAAGGGCATTCCAGTGTTGGAAGCCCACACTTTCTGGATGCGTGGTAAACTAGTCTTCAGCTCCTGTGCTTTCCTGCGTTGCCGTTATCTTGCACAATCTAATCTTAGACGAATAGCAATTAAAGTTCCGTATCAGAGCTTCTGTGAAGCACCTAAGGATAAATATTAGTGAGAGTCATGATGCAATGATGATCTCAATATCTTCTTGAAGGTGAAGGACAACCTCCTAAAATTAACACACTAAAAGCGCCGATCTTTTGTCGCATCAAAAGCTGTTGCTTGCTACACTCTCGCATCTTTAGATCTTTGGATCTTCCAATATATCGATAACGTGAACAAGCCAACCGAGCTTATAAAGGTACGTTGTGACCATCCAAAACCCCTCACCATAAGCAGCGTTGATCGTGCCAACAATCATGCCTATTTTCACATGCACGGAGCATGGAAGAGACTTCCGAGACCGTCATGAGGTGATTGAGCACATTCGAGGTTGTCATGTAGGCTTTATCAGGCGGCCCGGTCGTCCTGGGGACACTGATTCGCATGGACATATGTGGTATTGCTTTGAGTGTGGTTCGCGGACCTTCAACGATCACCGGAGCTACGATTCCGACAACGCCATGTGGGGACACCTTGCTCAATCTCACAATGATGTGTTCGATTCTATCATGTGGTGAAATGTGAATTAAGTTTGCTCCTGCAGCCGTGACTCATATTCGGAAAAGTGATGTTTGCTCAAACTATAACGATGATGAAGAGAACAAGTGCCGAGTCAAGCAACGTAGCATTTATGGCAGGAGCACGCACTGTCCTTGAACGAGGATAGAAAGGATTACAATCGAGTGCTCATGTCATTTGACAATAGAAGATCTTTTTCTAAAGATGTTTAAGCCTCTGCAACTTAATGCTGACTGATTTGCAGTTTATCGAGCTGCAATTACCCCTTGGTATAGGCTTATCCATCGAGGAGAGCCAGACCCGGATACATCACAAGCCAAAGATTTTCATTCGCTAAGTTCCTACGACAGTCCCTAGAATTTCAGAGTTACATGCATCAAAAGTCAGAATAGCTCGATACCCAATGCCTTGCCATGATAACCAAGCGATGGATTGAATGATGTCAATGACAATAATATGTAATTTCTAAAGTTGAAAACGGATTGGGTTTAGGGGTTTGTCTGGTTGCAACTTTAACACAAAACTTTATCGATCGACATTTCACACAGTATATACTCAAGACTCGTTCGTATTACCTGGCATAGCGAGCATGATCAGCTTTTGTCGTACTATACCTTTTTATGACGTGATACAATAATCATGTATACAGGGTATATAAGGATGATCACATCATAGCAATCAATTGTTATATCGTTCACTTACGACCCCAGATTCGTCCCAATAGATTTTGGGATCAGGGAAGTTTTTCACCGCTGATAACACAATATGGCTATTTATTCTTCCGGTGGAGATCAAGGCCTAGCCGACCCAGTGTTACTTGAGAAGATCGACAAACTTTTCGCCTTGTAATATTGGAAATTACATCGACCTACCCCAACTAGTTGTTGTGGGGGACCAGTCAAGTGGCAAAAGCTCTGTCCTGGAGGGGCTTACTCGACTGGCATTTCCGCGCGACAGCGGCCTGTGTACAAGATTCGCAACTCAGATTATATTTCGCCGGTCCAAAGATAGTGAAAGAAGAATCACGGCTTCCATTATTCCGGACTCCGATGCCGAGGATGCATATGCATCGAAATTGAAGGATTGGAAAGGCCAAAACCTACAATCTCTTGATCCCGAATCATTTTCTGTAATGATGACGGAGGTACGTGGAAAGCTGACATCTATCTATTGAGAGGCGACATTGACATCCATTCATAGGTTCATACCCTTATGGGAGTCTCTCGTTCAAAGGATGATGGATTGCCTACGTTCTCTAAACACGTATTGCGGGTGGAGATTTGCGGTCCGGAAGAAGATCACATTAGTGTGATTGATGTTCCCGGAATCTTTCGCAACGTAATACCCGGAAAATCCACGAGCGAGGACAAAACAATGGTGCGCAACATGGTACAGGCATACATGAGAAATCCTCGCTCTGTATCATTTTGACAGTGGTGCCAGCAAACGTTGATATAGCGACTCAAGAGATTGTTGAGATGGCCCACGAGCTTGATTCTGAGGGTGAGAGAACACTTGGAGTTCTGACCAAGCCAGACTTGGTCGACAAGGGTGCAGAGGAAAAGGTCATTGATCTCATTAGGGGCAAAGATATGCAAGTCAGGCTCGGATGGGTGATTGTCCGAAACCTTGGACAGAGCGAATTACGTGGAGGCGTACATCGAGATGCAGCTGAAGAAGATCACCGCACAAGGCACCCTTGGAGCGTTGTTAGCCGTGACTGTTTTGGAATCGATGCACTGAAGAATCGTATTCGGGTGATTGTGACAGCCAATGTGCGCCAGGCCTTTTCATCGGTAAGTTGCCATTGCCCCTTAGACGAGAGCCTTAATTGAGCTAACGATAATATTCAGGTAAGATTCGAAGTTAGTAAGAACCTCAAGGCCCGCCAAGTTGGCCTTCGGTCTCTTGGACCGGAGCGGAACACAATGGAGCAGCAAGTGCAATACTTGCTTGGAATTGTTTCCTCGTTCCAGAATCTTACCATGCAAGCACTGGGAGCAAGCTACAGCTCGAATGATGCCTTTGAAAATAGCAACGCTCTTCGACTAGCTACTGTGGTTGTTACAAGAAACGAAAGTTTCTCAGAAGATCTATCCCGGTGGGGCCATTTGATCGACTTCAACAGTGCGTTGCCCCTACAAGCCAACGCTAGCGACATTGCTGTTAAACATCCAATGTCAGAGAGACAGCTCTTGTCCTCAAGAAAAGTAAAGAACATTTCGGAAATCCAGGAGATTCTGCCGGAGTCATCCGATGTATCCCCTCCCTTAAGTCATGATATTTGCTCCTGGATAGGCGATGAATACCGCCAATCGAGAGGCTTTGAAATTGGAACATTCAATCACGTTCTTCTGTCGAGCTTAATGAAGAAGCAGTCATTGAAATGGATATCATTGGCGAATGGATACATCGGTGATATCATCACCATTGTTCATGCCTACATCGCCAACGGACTGAGACAAGTTTGTACTGACAGAAAGGTATCTGAAAATTTGCTTTCTTTTTTGATGGACAAGCTGCTCGAGAGATACCAAAGTGCGATTGAGAAAGTTGATTTTTTGCTTTTTGTTGAAAGATCAATAACACCAATGACGCTAAATCATTACCTCAATGATAACCTGGAAAAATGGTATTTGCTCGCAGCATACTGGCAGTTTTCATGATGAGCTTACAAGCCACAGTCGCCAGAAACGCGCAAACTCGATACAAGCAAAGAAAGCATTCGACAGTCCAGAGGGGAAGGTAGTGCGTGTCAATGATCTGAATCATCACCGGAATATGGGTAATGCCGAGCATGCTGTCCAAGACCTTCAGGATATCCTGGAATCGTACTACAAAATTGCGCGCAAGAGATTTGTTGACAATGTTTGCATGCAGGCAACAGGATATTATCTAACGCAAGGGCCAATTACCCCGTTGGGTCTGTTATCGCCCTCTCTGGTCAGCAGTCTGGACAGAGAACAGCTTGATTCGATTGCAGGAGAAGATTTCACATTGAAAAGGAAACGTGACCAGCTACATAAAGAAATAGCCGATCTCTCTAATGCAAGAGATATTTTGTTATGAGCGTTGTTTGAGGCTTCAATTTATTTTTCAAGCATGTCAAATGAGGTGTGACCGAAAAGCTTTTTCATGTGGTTTTGCTGTTGATATGCAGTTTTCAATTATCTTAATCAAATCAGTGCTTCAATTGAACAACGTAAAATACCGGAAGGCTAAATATATAACATACAAATGTGGGACTGTATATTTCCGTGGTCTTTACAAGAATCGTACCTTCCAGTAAGGAGGGTATTTTAACAATAATAATGGAAACTTTTGATACCTCATAGCATTGTGGTTCTGAGCCTAGGAGCATCTCTTATATGCTCGGGCGCTTAACTCGTGCGATGGTTCAAAGCTTTCCCTCACGATTCTAAGGCTGCTAGGAAAAACTCACTAGATAGGAGTTCACATAATAGCTAAACGCATGCAATAGATTGATATGTCCATTTTCACCATAATACAATCTTAGTCAATAATATATCCCATTTATCCTTCCCTTCCTTTGCCTCTTGTATCTGATTGACAAGCTGGCAAAGCAGTTCAACATCAGATATCTTCTGTAAGAATAAAGTCACTCCTGGTGTATATTTTGCCATGTAGAACTTCACTTCACACATGCAGCCAGTGCCATATTCACAGATACGGTCACGACATTTGAAGCTCAATATCGAGACGACACACTTCCATAAGAGATTCCATTAAACTCCAAGTCGAACAGTAATAAAGCTGACGTAGGCGTCACTGTTAAAGTGTAAGAGATTTTTAGGTATTCGATTCCTTTCGAGTTTCGCTTTCTTTCAAAAGAGCTGACGGGGAATTTGGCTAAGGTCAGTTACCATGGAACAAAGTGGAAGAACTCCTGCCTGAGTCAACATTTTACAGCCTGTGTCTATAATCAGACTCAAGGTGATTACTATCACAACGAAATTCTGGTCCTCTATCGTCGTTGCAGAAGAACAGATCATCTGTAAAGCGTAGATTGTTGGCTTGATCTGCCCTGACTGCGCGATAGAAGTTGAATTTGATGGGCTGGCGTTCGGATATCTTGGCAGACTTTCTTATGTCAGACTTCCCTCAACGAACATCAATTTAAGCTGACCAACCTTTTTGATGTACCAAGTCATCTTGTTGTCAACGACCCAGTCGTCTTCAAATTCGGACCAACGTTTGTCCCGTTTCGCATGATGACTTTCATCAAACATTGTGTACGCTGAAACACCATACCAACGCCGGGAAATTCGTGTCTCCACGCGATTTCCTTCTAATCCACGGAGAACTGCTCCGCTAGTTGATGTTAGGATCGAGAAGAAGTTGCTTTTTTCTGTTCTTACCTGACAATTGCCGCCCAACTGTATACAGATGTGATAAAAATCAGTTCCCGACGAACCCTGCTGTAGGTGGCAAGAGCTTACGCATTTGGGGGTTGCAATACTATGATAGAAGGATTACTGCCCTTCAACCGCTGGAAGAGATAGCTTGAGGACCCAAACCCCCCCACAAGAACGATAGCCTGTAATTGTCAACAAAGTTTACTTTGACAGGATTTTGTAATACCTTCGCATTGAGTCGGGCACATGCAACCTTTCTCAAGCTGCCCCCGAATCAATTCTTCGACTTTTGAGACTATTGGCGCAAATATCTCTTCAATCTCAAGACTGAGTAGAGGTTAAGAAAGGTCAAGTAGAGCAGTTAATATCGTGGACTGTGCCAAACTGACCCTTCAAATTGGACAAATCCACCATCTATGCTCTTGTCAGGTTGATCTGCTGCTCCTGGAAGCGGAATAAAATGATCCACGTCTAGAAAATCGCAGTCAGATTCTTCGCCAAAGGTAGGCTTGACCATATCCCTCCAAAATGAAAGAGCAGCTTCTTTGGACTTTATTGGAAGGGATTGGTAACTCTCCAGGCCTACTTTCTTCATGAGGAGACGTTCGAATCTCTCATCAAGTAAAATGGATCCGCAAATAGCCCCTATAGGAAACAAATCAGTAATTCAACTGCCGCGCTCGGTCATCCATAGGGTCACCTGTGCCGTCCGTTGCTTCTTCCATGCTCAACGGATCGAGATCTTGTACTTTGTAAGAGATCAAGTCCTAAATGCAGAGTTAAAAAATTGCCCTTTCTGATTTTTGGGTTCGGCGCCAACCACAGTGCCACCACCTGCGTCGCAAATCACTAAAACGTCGTCTTTCTGCCAAAAAGTCAGATCTATTCCGAAGTATTTAATAAGAGGTATCTCACCGTGATTGAATTTGGCTGAATTGTCCGCAGTGAATGTAGAGCAGCGGCTTCTGGCTCCGACACAAGGGATATTTGCTGGGAGTTGATACCGGCAATTATGGCGGCTCGAAGTGTTGCATCTTTTGCTTTATCAGACCAAACTGCCGGAACGGTAAGCTCAAATTTGAGCTCCATTGACTTGGCAGAGTCTCCGAAGCGTCGTTGAAGCGTATCCTTCACATGAAAAACGAGATGTCCTAGATACTCACCCGAGACCTGAACAGCATTTTTGCCGTAATGTGCCAGTAGTGACTTAGAGGCCAGCGATGGTGCATACTCCTGGTCCTGGCTTTCGTCAAGCAACAGCTTGGAGCCACGAACGACCTCGCACAAAGGACCAACTTGATAGCCCCACTTTGAGATCTCTTTCTCGTACGAGATGACCGACGGTACTTTTAACGTGGTGCCTAACTTGGATTAACAAATCTCTCCTAAAAAGTTCCTCGGCGTTTCACTTGCGATTTCCTCCTCCGGGCCAGCTGGACACAATTTCGACATCCTCTGAACCACCTTCAAGCGCCCAAGCAATTCTGGACGAGTCGGCATTTGTCACAAAAACAAGAGAGGAGAACTGAACTCCCGAGACATTGAATTGACTCACCCGCTGAAGGTTGTTCCAAAATCAAGTCCTACGACAGCTCTCATATTTTTTCCCATTTTGATTGTGTTCTCATTGAGTTAGGGATTTCAGTAACCACTATCTTGGGTTAAGTCGTTTCCAATGGGGGTTTTATGAGCGTCTGATACTCGGCAAACACCGGAAGTGCTCGCCACCTTTGTCGATGATTCATTGATATGCCGCAACCGGCATGTTGCCACTTGTGCTATCTGCCAGAATATTGACAGGCAAGGGCTAGAGATATTTTCCTATACTTCCAACTCAATTCTCTATTACTTGATGAAAATGTCTTTGTTCACTTCCTTGTTCTCATCACGAAACGTTAGATCAAGCCAAAACAATCATTCCACGTACGGTACGTTTAACTTCGCTTAATGCACAAACATAGTGCTGATATCTGGACATTGCTGCGGCTTTAGCCGAGAGAAATGGACTGAACGCGTTTCAAAAGACCGGGGAAGATCGTGATCATAGGTATTACGAAGAACTGGCGGCACAACGCAAGGTACGATGCTCGCACCAATATGAGCAGCATGTGTTTACAATATGGGCAGACCAACCGAGAATTAAGCACACATTTGGCATCTTGCAAGACCGAGCTCACTCGTGTCCAAGAGCAACTACGTCGGAAAAATGAGCTCTGTGCTCAACTAGAGACACAAGCAATGGCCTCAGATGACCAACACCAGCAACAGATGACTAGCCTGTGCTGTAGGATCAATACGCTCGAAAATGACCTACAAGTGATCAACGAGGAAGATTGCGTAAGACAATGGCGAAGACTTCGACTAAATCTTGATCATTGGGTGAAGAAGAATTTCAAAGACGCTGCAAAGCTGGGTCTCCTCGATTACAGTGCTATGCTTCAATTAATTGGGACGACTACTGCCCATTCAAAAGGTCTCGTTGCAGGCAACAACCACCAGCGTTGGGCAATTCTTCAAGCTTGGATTATGAAGATGCTCCATGGTTACATCTTTATCCAGTATTTCCCTGGACTCAGTCAGTGTGATAATGAGTTTTTTCTCAGCATAGATCAGTTGATATTTGAGCAAAGTGCGTGCATTTACCCGCCAAAAAGCTTGACTAACCGTTACTTTAGGCGGTCTCAACACGTGGAAACATTGCAAATCAGGAATCAACACAGCTCTCGACACTCTCACGAAACCGTCAAGAACGATGATAATAGAACAACTTGTGGCCTATGTTGAAAGCGAACTGGGAGAATATGCAACAACGGCACCTGATATGCGGCAGCAGCAGCTGCATAATATTGTAAGCCAATGTGCTGATTTTAGAATGATGTGCAACCGACAGCCACAAACTTACAAGTTCGTATCATCGCCTTGTGGAGATATTGTCGACATGACATGTATGACCTCGGCTGCTGGAATCATAGATTGTCCTGAGACGACAGTTGGTCTTTCTCTCTGGCAGTCCCTTTGGAAGGAAGATCCTTCCGGAAATCGATTCTGCTTGGAGCCGGAATACATCTGGACTGCTGCTCTTTGAAGATGTAGCAATACAAGTGTGTGCTCTGCAATTTTAATTTCTACGGCCGTTTGGAATAAATATCTTTCCCAGGCCCGTCATCCAAACAAATGACCAGAAAATAATAATGACAAAAAATTCAGGTAAAACCGAGTCTAGAGATACCTGTAGTATGCAAAAAGTAATGGTGCAAAAGAGAATGTAGAGAAGCACGTCAATAGAAAGAACATTAGATATTCGTAACATTGATCTGAATATTTCAGAATGATCTATACTTTAGGGCAGAAAAATTCCTGGGCCAGCGCCTGTTCAACGATCAAAGCAGTTTCATTCCCTAACGTTTTGCAACAATTGAAAATCTTTTTTTTTGTTTCACAATCTTGGATTCGACGAGTCGAGGGGTCACTAAAAACCAATTGTCCTCGGTATGACTGTGATCAGTGGAACTCTAATATGCTGGGTGGTGGCAATATCTGTAATTGAGCAGGAGTGGACGGCACTTCTATCAGGGTGCTTACAAGGATGAGAATGAATGGATGACGTTGTGGTCGGATTTGGGCTGGAGCAGTGATTCCGATGAGGAAGCTGCTACACGACTTCTGGTGCCAATTGGCTCCTCTCGGCGGGGTGCGTATTGGGACAGACTGAGGCCGGTCCTGGGGGCTGGTTCTGTCATCTTGAAGATGGCGTTGTTGTCATTGCTAATGGTTTCGATGTCGGCAGTGTCGACCTCGGATTCAGTACCACTGATGGTAGGGACTGGCTCGATGATAACGACCTGGGTGTCGGCCACCGGCTCAGTGACCACGCTCTGAGTGACGGCTGCTGCGTCGGGACGGGTGTCCATGTCATCCTCGTCGGTTTCGGTTGTGACGTTAGTGATGCCCTCGGTCCTTTTGCCGATGACTGCAGTGTTGCTGCCCGTGGCAGTGGCTTGTGGCTGCCTTTGTGGCTGTGCCGGTGTCTTTTTCGAGGTCTGACCTTTGGTGTTTATTGGGTTGGCCGGTTTGGCCACGGCCGCTACCCATGGCCGCTGCCGCTTCCCTCGGTGTTGGATTCAAGCTCACTGGTCCTCTGCTGGCCGAAGCCGAGCCTGAACCTGAGCTGACCCCGGATGCCTCAGATAATCCGGGGTTCGCGGCCGAGAGGTAGGCAGGAATCCGGTGATAGCGTTCGCGACGCCTCTCTAGATCCCTGTCCCTCTCGACCTTTGAAGCGACTCGCTGCGATAGAGTTGGATTCTGACGGGGTCGAGACAAGGCCGATGGACTCGGGGATCCAAGCCTCCCTTCGGCGCTTGCCGAGTTGCTCAATGAACTTGATGTCTGCAAGCATGGGATTGGCGTGATTTCCAGTGCTCTGCAGGAGGATCTGTGTGAAAAGGCGAATAGAGTCTTCCAGCTATGCCTCTTTTTGGCCTTTCATGTTTGCTTCTTCGACGGAGCGTGAGCAGTATGGGCCAACCCCTTCGCTCGATCGTGTCGTCGCCTTCGTACAAAAGCTTCTATGTGTGAATACGATCAACAGAATGAGTCAGGGTGGAACATTCTGGTGCATTGCCAGATACTGGATGAGGCTATCGGCGGACTGCAAATGCGGAACCAGTTGGTAGGCTTTGCGCCTTGTACCACCGCCAAAATCATTCACAAATACCTCCTTGGCAGCCTGACGCCTACGATGGTAGACTTTTGTATGTATCTGGACCCGGAAATGGATAAAGCCGCTCTCGATGCCAGCGAGCGGATTCGCGAAGAGCTTCCGTGCAAAATGATTGACCACACAGATTTTTATTCTCTCCGAGGGCGGCCCATCACTGTCAGCATCGAGACCAAGACGCCAAGTGGAGCAAAGCCTGCACCTGCGGAGTTACAGTTAGGCACGTGGCATGCCGCACAATGGAACTTACTCGAAAATATCGTTACTCGGGCCGCCGGTACCTTTGAGGACTTGCCTTTTCTACCAGCTGGTATTGTTAATGGACATGACTGGGGGTTTACCGCTACAACCAGGGCTGGGAAGAAGACGATCTTCTGGTCAGAGAAAAGATTTGGGTCAACCAGAGACCCCCAAGATGTATACAAGATGATTTGGGGACTGCAACGTCTTGCAAAGTGGAGTAGCGAAGTCTACTGGCCATGGTATCGATAAAATGCTTTAAGCCTTTGTGACGGATGACGCATCATTATCGTTTTGGTTTTGGTTCCTAAGATGATAAAGAGCAGATTGATTAATGCAAAATAGCGTGCAAGATACCCTCGAATGAATGATAATACATATTAGAAGAGATAAGGTGCGGATTCACCACCTGGTTGCCACGCTTAAACTAATTCCTACAACCGCTGCGAAGACCACGAAGCGTTCTAAACATTCTATCCTTGCATGTTTCGAGGCACATGGTTTAAACATTTTTTTCTTGTATTTTCCACCACGTCCACAGAGAGTTCGTAATGGTGTTTGATCGCTTCACACAAGTGGTCTTACTAACGGGAGTTTCGATTCTTTCAAAACCTACTCTCATCGGCCCTTGCTGAAAGAATGTTGAGCTGAGGAGCGATGAAGCAAGTTCGAGAAACTACTGGCTGAAGTCTTTTGACCTTTTGGAATTTCCAAACGAAAAACTCTATAGCATAGTTATCTCAACGGAAAAAAAGTCCGTTGCACTGTTAGAGAGTTGTTTTTGTCGATGAGCTTGCTGTTTTGTTCCTTCACTTCAGCGTAGTTCGCTGCCACTCGATCCAAGACTGCAAGCATAAAATCGGCATTCTCAACAAAAACGTTATATGCATCTTCTTGTGCGCGAAAGTGAAGAACGTTGGCCGAAACAACCTTCACGATTTCGTCGTGGAGTGTATTATCAAGACATGGAGCATCCCTCCATATGTCTTGGACAATGCTCGGGAAGTAGTCCTTGTCCCAATTTGATTTTGCCCATTCTACAATTCGACTGGAAGCGAGTTCGCGGAGAGGAAAGATACCGAACTTATCTGCCGCTATAAATACCCCAAGGTGAGTGCGCGCTATTTGGTCCGATTGGCCACTATGAAAAATATCGGCTTCGCCGTAATCTTGGAGATAGCAGAAGGATAGAACGCAGGATATGATATCAACATCCTCCTCTAGTAGGTTTATTTGTGATGACTTTGCTTCCTGTCATGTCTGTCAGAGGCACGATGATGACTAAAACATGCAAATTCAGAATTTCACCCACTTTGAATCCGTTTTTGAAAGCGGCATCGAAGTAGGTTGACTGAGAGCACACGATAGCGCGATGGCATTTAAAATCATGTGCTTGACAAGAAATTTTCATATCAGTATATTTCCCATCATCAAGAAGATTCTTCATGACAACTTCAAGATCTGTGAAAGGCATAGTGCAATATATAGGAGATTGAGGTATGATCAGAAAATGTTGTAGGGGTTTGTGAAAGATGTCTTGATATACGTGGACGACGTTGGCAAAGTAATTATTTAATGGTGATGTCAACACTCGACTTAATAACGTATATCCTAGGGTTACCATCCCAAGCGGATCGCTAGGGTTAAAACCCATAATGGGCTTCATAGATTAGGCCATACCAAAGATCATGTTGAAAGTAGTGGGATCGAAAAGAGATTTCCCTAATGAAACTCCAACCCGTCGCACTCTGGGTGGCGTCGTCCTACAAATGGTCCCCTGGGGTGGCTGGGGCTGGTGATCGCCGGAAAACATCAACTCTTGCACCAACTGCTGTTGTATCCGGTTCACCAATCTATGTACAAACCCCCGGAAATCCACCATGGTATGTATATAATAACAACTCATCCCCGGACTTCAACCCGATATGGCTCTCGGTAGGGGTGCTCATGAACACGATACGGCCGTATGTATGTAAATCCATCCACCACTGAACGGGGCCATTTGTACCACGGATCACGAATATATCCAATCATATACTTCACCCATTCGGGGAACGTCCTACTATTGTCCTATTCCACGTTGAATAACAGCGTGCCTCTCTAACCCTGCATAGTGAAGGGTGCGGGAGCTAAGCAGAAAACTGACTAGCGCACGCTGTTACTCAGGAAAACCAATAGTGTTATTCAGAATCTCTCTACTAGCCTTTCCAGTCGCTGATTTTGAATTTTGAACAAATATTTAGAAGTCCTTACGATTTCAATCCTATTCCTGCCAAAATACATCCATAGTCAGTGGTGATGGGATGGTGGGAAATTCTTGTTTCCGACCGTGATGGGGAGCCTTCGCCAAAACCGTACAGAGGAACAGGTGGAAAAGATGGAGAACACGTCCCTCTAGAAATACTCCTCAGTTAAGGTGAGATAGTAACGCATATATACCGTAGCGAGAGGGGTAACCGTGCCGAAATATTTCAGAGGTACTTCCCTCAATAACCAGGAAATATCTATCATCCTTCGCAACCAGCTCATCAAACACATCACACAGTCATTTTGCCATCTGCTCTTGTATTTGATTTGATCGGTATCAAAATTGAGTCCAAAAAGCTGGCTGTGACAACGACGATATTTGACCCTCTCGAAACGCCACTGGATAATGAATGTGCAACTTGTACGGTTTAGATATCTTATGATGGTTTCTACTCTATTTGTTAAAAAGGTCACCGCAGTGTACACAGTCCAGTCAGTACTGCCTCAGGCAACAGTGTCTTCGAGGAACATAGGCAATCTGCGACTGTAGAGAAGAGTAGACAGTTACAAGAATGCCACTCATTTCCTGATTCATGATTTATGACTATTATGCTCCTTGAGCATCCGATTATCCTTGATAGGTGCCATTTGCCTAGAGCCCCTAACCTGACTTGTTGTTGGGATTTCTTGTCACCGTTGTCGACCTGTCTGTTTCGACCAGACTGCCATCGAGCATATCCCATTTCAATGTATATATTGCCTTATCAAAATCTTTGAAAATTTGCGTTCACCGTGTTCGTGCTGATAACATGGATCCTGGTCGTTCCGGCAGTCACCTCAATTTTTCTTCTCCTCACTAAACCTCCTATTTTCAAACGCCCACCATGCCGCCAATCCGCGGTCAAAAAGCTCAGAAATTAGTTGAGCAGGAAGGTAAAATCCTACTGGCAATTAAGGCTATTAAAAACGGCCGGTTTACCTCTGTTGCTGCTGCTGCTGCTCGCTCTTTCGAAGTCCCGCGGTCTACGCTACAAGACCGGATGAAAGGGATCAGCAGTTGGTCTGACACAAGGGCTACAGGCCACAAATTCACCCAATTGGAAGAGGAATCAATCCAGGATTGGTTAATCTTTATTGATCATAGAGGTACTGCTCTTACGATCGCTATGTTGAGAGATATGGCCAATTTACTACTCGAACACCGTGGAGATCATACCCCAGACCGTTAGCAAGAATTGGCCAACACAATACCATAATCGACATCCCGAGCTTTCTAGTCGATTCTCTCGTAGATATGACTATAAACGCGCCTTAATGTAAGATCCAAATACCATTATTGAGTTGTTTAAGCTTGTTGAAAAAACGATTGCTCAATATGGTATCACTTCGGATGATATCTATAACTTTGACGAATCAGGGTTTGCGATGGGAGTTAGTGCAACGACGAAGGTCATTACACAGTCATCTTATACCGGTCGGAGGGGCGTTTTACAAGCTGGCAATCGGGAATGGGTGACTGTTATTGAGACAATCTGCGCCTCCGGGCGAGCGATCCCACCATACGTTATCTTTAAAGGCAAAAACTTTATGTTGCGATGGTTCGACGACCTTCCAAAGCATTGGGCTCTTAACGTTAGTCCAAATGGCTGGACAAGCAATGAAATTGGCGTTAATTGGCTCCAGAAGCACTTCATTCCGCATACCATAAGTCAGACGAAAGGAAAACATTGTCTATTAGTCCTCGACGGCCATGACAGTCATCTTACAGCAACATTCGACAAGATTTGCCAGGAAAACAACATCATACCAATCTGTATACCTCCTCATACCTCTCATCTTTTACAGCCTCTTGATGTTGGGAATACACCCGATTAGGTATCGATTCTATCGAAAAAGATGACTTCCTTGATATCTTTCCAGCAGCTCGTAACGATTCATTCAAAGAGTCTATCGTTCAGAGTGCCTTCGCAGCTACTGGTTTAGTACCATTAGACCCCGATCGGGTGTTACCAAAGCTCAATATTCGTCTTCAATCTCCGCCTTTACCAGATCGACCAGTATCACAAGGCTCAACACCAGGTAGTAATATCTCTACCGGCATTCCTCGGGCGACTAATCAGCTAGAAAAACGCAAATCTAGGCTCAATTATAGTCTATATTCAGCTGCTAATAAGATCTATTCACCTACAAAACGTGATCTTCAACAGTTTTACAATATGTCGGTCAAACTAGTCCACGAGCATATCTTAATGCGTGATGGATTCAAGCGTTTACGGGAGGGAAACCGAAAGCAGACAAGAAAAAGGGAGAAATCAAAGAAGCAAATACCTAATACAGGTAGTTTAACACAGGTTTTAGACCTTGCTACCAATGTTGGTGGTAGGGGAGGTAACAGTGTAAGATATATATCTGAATAGACCTCGCCAAAGTCGTGGGTCGGGTTTCGACCTTTGACCCAAAACCCGCCAAGAAGATTAAATAACAGTAATATATACCATATACAGTGACGCAGCAAAAGTAAATGTCGATGTATGCGAAGGTTTACGATGACGTGGAAGATCGTGAGGACTGGGACGAAATGGAATATCTTTCAGGCGATTAGACGCCAAGCGACAAGATTCACCGTAGCAGATGATGCAAACATCTGTTGGACATATGCGTCATCAGACGCCAGTTGCTCCGGCTGTTCAGTAGCTATGTCTTCTTCTGCATCGAGATCCCAATCAACACGGTTGCCTCGCTTGCTCGGCTCGCAAAGTAGTAAAAGCGCAACAAAGTCCTTGGTAACCTGGATGCCTCGAGCAAGTAATTGGTACGTCCTAGCTTGGAATATCCGATGCGACCGTGGAAGCCGGACCTGACACTGCCTCTGGATCGTAATCAGCCTGCTGTCCTCGTGGATTGGCACCTGGAATGTACCACAAGATGAGGCTGATATCACGTATTGCATCCGGTGGTGGATCCCCTGATCCAACCACCCAGGAAGTCCTCCTAACACCCTCACTCGGCCCATTCCTCTGCACGATCATGCTCAATCGAGTAACCCGATGACGCTGGATTGTGATTTCGCTACCTGAAAGCGATGAGGACCACTCGTGGAGGTTCTTGTCTTTCGCGCCCGCGCACCGTCTAAAAACATCGCTTTATCTAGACGTGTCGCCGAGTAACGGTCGACGCGACCAACGCGTCTACCATGATATAAATTTTAACCTCGCTCCGCTCCACGCTCAACCGACCTCTCGCTCGCTTCATCGCTTCCGTCCTGACCACAAATAACATGACTGCTGACGACCTTTTGTGACGGCATTTTTGGCATGGTAGCCAGGATCCGAAACCAACCCCCTGAAGGTCAAGGCTAGGCTGCGGCACTATCCAAATTATCGGCAGATAATCGATTGTCGTATCCGTAAATCGCGGATAACGATATAAATTCATTATCGAATTATCCGCAACGATACGATACGATAATTATATTTTCATTTGCGGATATCCGCAGATTATCGTACGATAACAAATATTGCAAACATGCTAAGACTCGTGACCTGAGCGAGTTTGCATAAATTATGCATTCTCCCCTGTATTTTTTGGGGTATTCAATGTGTAATTGATTGTATATTTGTCACGGGAATGACTGGCCTACGATCTTTTCTCCAAATTAATCTACTTTGTCTAGCTTTATTGCAACAGCATTCAATTATTCAAGATCATATCACAGGTTATCAAACTCAAATCCATCTGGCTGCTTTGGCTTCTTCCGAATCCTCCCCGATCTCCCCTGCGTGGGCTTCTCAGTTGGCATATCAGGAAGCGGGAGATCCTTATCACCATCATCCTGAGGCTCAACGGCACTATGAGGCCGCTTGCGCCGTGGTTGCTTGCCCCGGATTGGAACCGGTGTAGGAGTCGCCTGCTCAACTGTATAACTATATCCCAAATCATTTTCTGAGTCATCCGATCCATCCTCCGCTTGATTACCATCTTCTTCGTTTTCACTGATCGGCTCGATATCGTGAAGCGACGGAGTTGGCTTCCATGTCTGATCGAGTATGGCAACCTCTCCGCTAGAGAGATACTCCTTGATCATCTCGAGCTCGGTTTGTTGAAGCTCGAACTTCGATGCGAACAGATGAAGCATTAGAGACCTGATGGTTTCTGGTTTAAGCTGCCCCCGGCGATAGTGACAGACATCACGAGCACAATTGAAGAGCCGCTCAACACCAGCGCCACTAGCAGGTGTTGCCAGATTATCCCGCGCCATCGCTGCAAGCACTGGATATTCATGCTCATGCTCCTTCCAGAACACCCTTGGCTTTCCTTTGGTAAGACCTATAGTATAACTTAGCTGGAAAGCCGTATAATAAAGCAGGGAAGTATACAGACCCTGTGCAAGATATCGTGTGATCTCATCCTCCGGTCGGTCAATTTCACTGTGTAAAGCGTGCAAATCCATCATCAGATCAAGCTCCTCTTCGTCCACTTCTTGAGAGACTTGGGCTTGAGAGGGCTCCTTGCGGCGGGTTATGCGTTGTTGATATTGGTCAAATTCCTTCTGTAGTTTATCCCGATAGATCTCCATCCAATTGATATCTTCTCCCTTCTCGTTTTTCTCTTTCCAGTCATCGCCTTCAAAAAACCGAAGCTTCTTCGATGGACACAGAATAGTTGCAATTGCATAAACTGTGCCAAACGATTCACTGCCGGTCGCTCTGTGGTACTTTGAGAGTTTCTGTTTCGCTGCCTGTAGTGCCTGAAGCATTCTCTTTTTCCAAGGGACAGTCTTGCGTTCTAGTAACTCCGCAACATTATCAAGATGGTTAAAGAGCTCCTTATAGATGCTGAAGACCGAATGAACAGTAACATCTTGAGTCTTGGACAAGATCTTGGTGTAATGAAAGAAAGGCTTTGTGACCAAAAGGAGATACTCCACTTGGCGCCATTCCTCTTGGCCGAGCTGAAATTGAACGTATTGGTGGGTTGCACAGTACTAGTTGAAGACTCGCTGTAGTTTCTTGGCACGTTCGAGCATTAAGAAAGTAGAATTCCAGCGTGTACGGACATCCTGAATCGGTAGAAGCTTGGGCTCTATTGTTTGAAGCGCCCGGAAAGCCTCTCGGCGCTGAGGACTGGCGGTAATGAATACAGCGAGCTCTCGAATCTAGGCTTTTTTAGCAATTATGTTCTCGGGATACAACATGATACATTTACCTTCTTCAAAGTAGCCACGATATTCCCTGAAGCGTAACCTGGAGCGGACTGTAGCGACTTCGTACGTTCTTCTGACCACTCTGACTCGGCCTCTGCATTCTTTGGGTTCGCTTTGATCTTTCCAAGGAGGTCTTTCAGGCTAAGTTGTATAACGTGCACAATGCATGGTACTCGGAAAACAGAGGTATTGTGAAGAGCCTGGGACTGAACCATCTCTTGAACACCGTGAATCATGGTGTTGTTATTTGATGCATTATCAGTTGTGATTGATAATACTCGGTCGGTAATACCATGCTCTTGCAAGATTCGGATAACAGTCTCACTTAGCTGAGTCCCAGTATGGGATCCTTGGATATGCTCAAATCCAAGAAGAACCTCACAGTAATTCCAGTCCTGGTCGAGGAAGTATCCAGTGATTGCCATAAATGCCTGGCCAAACGGAGAGGTCCAGCAATCAAGTGCAATAGAGAGAGAGCTTCCAGGTGGAAGCTTACTGAGCACGCTCTGTTGCTGTGCCTGGACTTCATTATCTAAAAGACGTTTCAAACTGCGGGCGGACGGGATATTGAGCTCTGATGTGGCGAGCCTGGTGCATTGCAGAAGCTCTTTGAACTCCGGGTGCTCAACAGTGCGGAATGGGAGACGGGTGGTCGTGATAAACTTGAGGATCTTCTTCTGAAGGGATGTCTGGCTGAATTCTGTGCTTGCTGATTGACGCGGCTAGGTAGAGATAAGGAAGATTAGTGTGCATTGTGGATTAAATCTGGGATAGACTTGCCATCTCTCGGAAGAGCTGGTCTATGCTTTGCTTTGTAGTCTTCCGCGGCTGAGTGCAGTACGCACTATTAAGATGGTTCTTCATGGGAGAGGGACCAGAACGATTGAACCTTGGGTGAACAACCACACTTTGACAGCGGTTGCACATAACCTTGGGCTCGCCAGTCCGCGCATTTGCAACCTGATCAAATGAGCTCCAAACATCAGACTTTTTCAGTATAGTATCCCATCTAATAGATTTCTGCAGTTCTTTCTTGCTGCCAAACTCAGTCATTAGCCACCATTTCACAAACTGTATCTGAGACATCTCCATCATTGGATCGGTTTTGTCGCAGTTGTAGAGAATATAAGATGGTTGAAAGAGTTTGCCGACGCGCTGTAGTAAGTCGGGGGCACGAGGATATCGAGGGGAAGGGGGAGTGTCTGAGACAGGAGTCGAATGTGCTATGCTCTGACTACTCAGCACGTCTGAGGATTCATCTGTTTGTGGAAAGTCTGAATCGATGAATGGGTTGGCGAACTGAGATGCGTCATATTGGCTCCTTGATACTTCGGAATCAGACATGTCGAGTAGAGGACCAGGTACCAAGTGTAGGACGATCGAGTATACCAGGAAGAGACTTACTAGGAATTTAGCGGAAAAATTGGTGCGTAGGCAAACGTGTGCGCCCGCGATGTCGACGTGCTCACGATAATACTCGATGCTAATTGGGTATGTATTAAGCGGATGTGGAGATTCAGACGATAATTGACGATAATCTGCCGACAATCCGCCGACTATCTTCGGATTATCCAATAATTATCCGCGTCACCAAACCAAAAAAAACGAAGTCCCCCATTTCCAAACTTCAAATCTAAATTGCGCCTTACATTTTAGTGTAAACATGCTGAGATAAGTAAACGTATAATTGAAATGCGAGCTAGCAGATCTATCCATACTATTCTCAATGTCAAAACTATACTGTTGGTGCATCTAGATATTGAAATTAAACGGCAGAGGAAAATATACTACGTTCCCTCAGCGTCAAACATATATCTCTGCCTAACCACCACCCCTTAGTTAATATTTTAAACTTACAGGTGACTACAACTCGCTCGCTCTATACTTAAACCCAATATATTATGCAGAAGACATTTTTTTAAGAATACAATACTGTTTCTTATTATTTCCCAGGAGAAGTGAAGGAAATAGGGGATGAGTCTTGTCATGACCAAACATGTAAAGATTCACATGTAGAATAAGGTTTTGTCAGCTTCATAAGTATCACCTGATCGTCCACAACAGGATATATTAGCGAATTTTATGCTAGTGCGGATAGTTTGCTGATATCCAAACTATCGTTCAAATATCCGCGGATATCTGCAACGACGATGATGATAATGATCCATTATCCGCGATCCGCAATTTGCGGATAACGATAACGGGTCATTATCGTTATCGTACGATATGCCGCAGCCTAGTCACGCCAAGGGGGCTCGAGGCTTTCCAGCACCTGGGAGAGCATGAAAAGAATGCTAGGCGTCGAGAGGCCATTCTCCGCGTACGCAGTGAATGTTTGGACAGTTCCAAGACCGCCTTAGTTACCGGTCATTTCATGTTTTGGAAGGATGATGAAGATACCGGCTATGTGGTCTGTACGGAGAGTGACTTCGGGGTAAAATGGTCGACGATATTCTGCCATGCTGGGCAAATGCAAAGCCTAATCTACCCGAGATTCAAGGAACTAGTTTTTAACATACAGAGAATCTTACTAATATCGTAGAGGCTAAGGCGATTCGATATAGCAAACGTGGCAGCCTGTAGCAACCTTGACAAAAAGTCTCCTTAGTATCTTCGAATTGTTCCCTCCATATGGCCTACCATTTTTATGTGATCTTGCCCAAGCTTAAATAACCAGCAAAATGCTACAGTGAAACTGAATATAATATTTGTTATTGCTCGACATCTATCCCAAACGTAATTCCTACCGGATGGGCCACAGCAAAGGACATTTCGCACCGATCTATTTCCTCTTCCGAAAGCGGCGTCATATCGGGACGTGTCTACTACCAGTAAACGCGGCCGCAAAACGATATCTTGGAAACGTCAGATGCTACATGCCCTTGAAATGGCGATTGATAAGCTCAAGAAGTACTACTCTGCACCAGATACTGCAGGACTGATCAATGTAAATACTGATGCTACGATCTTGGCACCGCAGTATAAACTGGAGTTCTTTCGAACACCTGAATGGCAAGATCAGGATTTCGCATCCAAATACAAAGCAGCGCTAGAGCAAAAGGCTGCTGTTTATAAAAATCGAATATATGATGCATCCTCACAAGCACAAGGATCTATATCCAGCACGCCTATCCAGGAAATTGAATTACTGCTGAATAGTGGTAGCACACGGCCTGCTGAATCATATTCAGAACCAAGCCAGTATCTCCAAGGAGGTTAAAATACCTTTCTGATATACATTCTATACTGGCTAACCTTTTTATTCTGATTGAATGAGGTCCTATATTTATACCGCCACTGGACTTCTGGAAAGACCACCAAAGACAGTTTCCAGTGCTTGCAGCTATCGCACAAGATACACTATCAGTACCAGCGACTGGTGCAGGTTTTGAGCGACTATTCAAATCTGCTCATGATATTTGTCACTACCGCGGGGCTCTCTGAATGCAACCACAATTCAAGATCTTATGCTGCTGCCGTGTGCGAATCGGTTTGACATTAAGGAAGAGCAGCTTGCTTTCATACGTGACTACAAAACCGAGTATGAGCATGATCTCCAGCAAGAAGACACCGCAGAGCCTATCTCTCAGTATGACGTTGAGATCAGTGGTAATGAGGATGAGGAGGTGCCTTCTGCTCACAGCGCTAAACGACGAAGAGAAAACAGTACGGATCACGATGCTGAGGATGGTTCCCCTTCCCAGAGATCTAGATCTGAGGAGATAGAGCCTCAATTGCCATCTCAATCAAATACTCAATGTGTCTCAGGTAGGCATCGAATACCATCAATAAGGCTTCAGGAATACTCCTTTTGATTAGTGCTGCATGTTGGCTTATATGTGCTTAGGTAGAACGTAGAAGACATGAGAGACAGCGTGGAAACGGCATAGAAGTAGGCTCGCATGCATGAATACTCTACCTTGATACCTGTTACATAGCCTTCAATGAGATAACCGGAGTGATATTTGGAATACAAAACTACCTAGCACACAACTCTTTTAGTTCTAGCTTTAACGTGACGCCACTTTGATATTGCTACTAGCCAACTTGTCACCTTCCACTACCTTCTTCAATACTGCCAAGGCTTTGCTTAGCATTCGTATTTTATATAAATCACCTGATATTAAAAGATTGACCCACATTCGGGCAGCTTCGGGCATGCCCCCGGGTATGAACAGGTCTGAGTAGTATGTAGCACGAAAGGTCGTGAGGACACACCCGGCACCGCACCATTGAATATATATATTCCACCCAAACAGCGCATACCTGTTCACTAACTTCTCTTAACCACTTAATTAGAAAGACTTGTATACATGTCTAGTCTTAATGTCAAAGATTCAAGTATGTAGTAATCAGATCGAGAGGGATTTTAATAGTATTCGATTCATTCTTGGTGGGTTTACAGTGTATATCATCTAACGTGCTAGAAAAAGTGTAAGAAACAGTATTTTGTCCATCCGATTGAAGTAAAGCGTAGAAACTTTATGAAAAATGAGGGTTTATGAGGGTCAGCGAGTCACCCGCGCGAGGGCCGGCGAGGGTTGACGGTCGGGTGAGGGTCAAAATTTTGAGCCGACCCTCGCAAGGGTAATTCCGAGGTCTAGGGATGGATCCTTAATGAAGCGATGCTGGTAAGGTCGGCAGGATAGCCTTCCAGTGTGAACAGGTGAATATGTTGGTGTACCTTCACATATCCTGGATATGTTAATTTTTCAAGGTTTGATAGTTTGACAAAATGTATAACTAGTTTAATTTAAAAATCCACAGATAAGCTTTTTGAAAAAACGAAAAAACGAAAACGAAAAAACGAACGAAAAAAGTAGCTCCGAATGGTTAAAGAAGTAGGTCTGAAATGTAAACCTCAGTCACTCACGTCTATCCAACTTTGCATCGCTTGTTTGTGAAGACATGATCGAATCTACCAAGAGCATTGGATCTTGGGAGTGTATTCAACCGGGGCGGAAATCTCATAGCACGTCGCACCCGTTGTCTGTGGACTCTTAATGCAGTCCACAGTAGATGAAAGGCCGGGGCAAGTGAATGTACCCGGGGCATCAGTAGTACCCACATAAACACAGTCACTCATTCCGTGAATGTCTACCGAGATATCGAAAGTGCCATTGGGAAGGCCCTCGCCATCTGAGGGTCCTTCTCCGAGCGTGCCTAAACTATCCTCGCAAAAACTGTATGACTCACTGTATGTTGGATCAAAGTATTCCCAGGTGTAAGGGTTGCCAAGCTCGTTGTCATCTTCGGTGAGTGTGATAATGAACCGCTCTGACGGTGTAGCAGATGCTGATGTAGTGGCTGATGTGGATTTAGAGGTAGTTGAGGTGGAAGTTGTCGATGTGGACGTGGTTGTGGTGTACAGGCTGGCTGTGAGCGAGTATTGCTCACCGGAATAAAGAGACGAGAAGAGCTTTGACTGAAGTGTGGCGATTGACATGAGGCTTGTAATGTCTACTGTTGAGGTACCCAATGAGCTCGTAGGTTCGGCAAACGCGGTGTAAGTACCAACTACCAGGCCGACTGTGATGGTGGATGTGGGCTCAGTGGTGGTAGTGGATTCACTCTTGGTCTCGGTTTCTATCGTGGCACTATGGGTTATGGTGATTGTCTTGCCGTCTGTGGTCATGGTTGTGGTGTAGGCGCTTTCTGTCACGGTGGTTTTATCGTCATTGTTGTCATCGTCGTCACTACCCCCTCCGCCGCCACCACTACCATAGATATCAATTCTAAGACTTGGAGGGCAAAAAGGGCAGCCTCCAAGGCAGTTTATCGTGCCTATATTCTTCTTTAGCAAAATCATTCCATTTCGAACATCCGTCAATGGGGTATTAGAATGGAGTCTGAAACATACAGATTGAACCAGTATGCTCAGAGCCACTAGTTGCCTTAGGACCCCAGCTCGAGGAGTCGGAAGCCGATTTCACGATGGTCTTAACAGTGTTCAAAATCGGATCAGGTGTCTTGTCGGTGGTTGTCGGATACGCCAAAGGTGTCACAGTTGAAGTCTGCGCAGGCTGAGTGGTTCCAGCGCTGACAAATGTGGTACCTCCCCAAACTCCAGTGTAGTTCTGTGTCGTATAGGTGATGTTCCCAGAGGAATATTCGAATCCGGGGATGACGCCTGTGGTGCCACCAATGACGGTAGTGTTTCCTCCGACCGTTCTGCTCTGGTTAGCTTGACTTGACTTTTCTGAGAAAGGATCACTGGAACTGAGATCGTAACTCACGGTGTGTAGGTGATAGCGAAAGGCGTTGGAGCCACTGAGCTGGTCTGGTAAACGGCTGTCTGACCCGCAGAAATCTGTTGGTTCCACACATTGATGTAATCGGTTCTCACTGTCAACAGGTCAGTATTTGGGATACCTGTGCGCGTAGAATTCGTAGGGTAACATGATAACGTACCAGGCTCGATGTTGATAAGCCACGGGACCAGAATATTGCTGAAATACGAAACCGTTGTGATGTTTCCAGCTCTATTGGTAGAGGTAGAGGACGCAATAGAGCTCCAGGTAAGATGAGTCCTCGATGGGGGGAAAGTAATTGTGGTGTTGTAGGTCAAAGGTAGGGGGGGGCATGATCATCAAACAGGGCGGTGCGCAGGTCACGGCGGGACTTGGCAGTTGCCAGATTTCCGGATCGATCGTGAGTGTTGCTGTATCTGAGCTGCCTGAACTTCCTGAGCTACCGGACGAAGAGCTCTCGTCGTTATCCACAAACTCCTCGAGGTCAACGGCCCACTCGGCTGTACCACCAAAGTTGTAGCCCTCGTACCAGGTTGCGCGCTTGGTCTTGGTGTCATTAGTCATGTAACCGACCCATTGAGTGTCATTGTAGACGATAAAGTCGGTCACATTCCCATCCGAGTAAGCCTCAGAGTTGTCGTTGGTCAAAAGGATTCTGTTGATCTCTGCATTTGAGATGTATCCGGCGGTATCGGTACATTCTCCTGCCAATCCTGCGGCAGTCCATGTGCAACTGGAATCATAGCAGCCTGCTTCCGACATCTCAAAAGAGCGACCATAGCTAGCCACTCCGACCATAATTTGGTTAGTGGCAATTCCACTCTTGGTCAACATGGCCAGGGCCCATTCGGTTTCGGTCATATTGACATGAGAGAAAAGACAGTCTCCGGCTGTACAGCCATTGTCCGCCCAGGTACTATCCGCATCCCAGGTTCCATGCAGATCGTAGGTCATGTAGTTGATAAAGTCCACGACATCTGCCATCTCGGAAATTGGAAAGGCTTGTAGATACCAGTACGAGGACGGAGCTGTGATTGAAACGATTTTGTCGTCAGGTAGGGCAGCCTTCAGCGCTTTGAGGAAAGCAAGGTAGTTATCTCCTTCGTCATCGCTTCCAGCCGGGATGCCTGCGATATCTGGCTCGCCTGGATACTCCCAATCAATGTCGATACCATCAAGACCGGTATCAGAAACATAGTTAACTATGTTCTCTACCAAGGTGGATCTGTGTGCTGCAGAAGTTCCTTCGCGAAAGATCATATATGTATCCACCCCGGTAGAGAAATCCCAGCCGCCGAAGGACATAACACGCTTGACGTCTTTCAGCTCTACGAACTCCGAGAACTCTGTTTCATATCCATTCACATTGATGGAGAAGTCCGAAGAAATATTGCCAAACGCATAATAGACGTGAGTCAACACAGATGTGTCAATTGAAAGCGGACTCATCTGGAGACAGGATCGATCCATACTAGTGGGCTCGTAGTAGCCGACCTTGTAGAAGCTTGAAGGAGGAACTGCCCAGTTCGTGATTGTTGTTCCACAATTTGAAAGGCATCCGTATGATCCATTCGCTGCGGTTCCAGGGTTTTTGTTGTCCGCAAAGGTGCGATTACAGTAAGTTGGTGTAATACCGCACTGGCCAAAGGCATCGCAACAGGCATTCAATGGACATGGGTTGTAGGCCTCCCAGTCACCAGAGTCGGTGCTATTGAAAACAGTTCCCGCAACCTGAGGTCCGCACTCTGCATTGGCAATTGGCAAAGGGTATGGAGGGTTGCCTGTGGACAAACAGATGTTCTGACCAGCCTGCAATTCGCTGCATCCATACCAGGCCCATGTTTCATTGTTGTAGGATTCGATTTCAGCTTCAGTGAGACTATATGAGCTAGCCAGAGAGGAACAACTGTCGCCAGATTGTACACTGTACGTGTAACAAGTGCCATTCGAATAGGCAGATGGTGAGAAGTCTGGCAAAGATCCCGCAGAACAGCAAACATAGATACCCACAACGAGTGGTGAACAGAGATTTGACACGGTGTTGTACTCGTAGAACTCCGTGGAAGTAATTCCACAATCAGAGATCAGCCCGTCACAAGTATCGCCGGAAACCACTTGTCTGTATGAGCATGTATCTCTGCGTTGGTGAGCGTGGGACAAGTGATGGCCATGCACAGAGCGATGGTGGCCATGCGAGACTCGTGAATGTAGTGAATGAGTTCCCTCTGACTTGTTTTGGCTACCATAGAAGGCTAGGGAGGCACTGCCAGTTGTCGTGTGCTCAAAACCAGAAGAACAATCTCCTGCATTCCAACTTTTCACGTATTGTTGAACCGTGGGAATGTCGCCATTAAGATCAACTGCCACGCCGATTATTTCGTTGGAATTGGATCCGCAGTATTGAATGACAGCAGTGCTGTAGGTGGTCTCGGAAAGGAAGTTTCTCAATTTTTCAATCGCGAATTCGACATTCGAGACCTGTTGAACGCTACCACCCAGGTAAGCTCCAGCAGCCACCTGATGAGCATATCCAAAGATCTCTGGATTCTTTGGATGTCCAGTCAAATAGGACTGCAAAGCATCCAGAAGCTCAGGATAATTGCTATCGCCCAACGCAGAAGGGCTAGAGCCCGAAGCGCCGATCTGATATGTAACAGTCTTGTTGATTGAATCGAAGGAAGACGCAATCTTGACAGTCGATGACTTTTGCAATTTGTCGAGACCACTGGAGGCGCAGACATAGAGGGTTGAATGCAAAATGGGGTCTTCAAGATCATTGAAAATGTTGAAATCAAGTAGCATAGTATCATTGCATCGAGCGACTTGTTGGAGATCACGAAACGCGAACCAGTCGACTGGATTGTAGCTATCACAGCTGTCTGGACAGATGGCAGGCCGCCCAACCCGGGCTGCAAAACTGTCACTAACAAAGGCACTGAGTGCCAGAATAGAGGCCGCAGTCCCCCGGAAGAAGGACATCTGCTCTTGGGTTTTGGTGACAAAAGAAATCCTCAAGGACCACAAACGAAGGAAATAAGTGAAATAGGAAATCAAAAAAGAGACAATTACTGATTGCCCTGGACCCGAGGCCAGGCAAACTCTGAGCTGAATATAGAAAGAATGTGAGCCCTTCACCTTGCTCTTATATGTAAATGGATGAAATTCAAGGCCAGTAGTGTCGAAATGCAATTAATACTTTTCATCAATGCTCCGATGTGATTTTATCGGTGCTAGCCCTTCCCCACCCGTTGTTCAGCCATATATACCGACCCTCCTACGGATTTTCTTTTAATTCCGTTCAGCCCCGTGGGAGGGCGCCGTCGTTTCAAAGATAACTTCCGCTTTGCAAGCGTATCTATTCAGCGAAGTTGAAAATTTTACATGCGCTACTGTTCTTGCAGATGTGGAGTAGGTCCATCAAGTGGAAATCGTCCGAGCTTCAAATGTTGGTCACGACTCACCGGGCACTGATTCTCCCGGCACTTGATGCTTCCGGGACTAACTGGTAGTACTTAGCTATATTGAGCACTTAGTGTGAGTACGGAACCAAGATATTAGGCTACTAAGGGAAGCTAGCGACCAGGATCTCTACATCCATTTGGATATTGTCCGAGATTGGCCTTCCGACGGCTCCGGGGTCCTAATACTTCTCGGACCTACGGATAGTACTCGGCTATATTTAGTACTAGTGCGAGTAGTGCGAGTATCATTCGGCCATAGTGAGTACATGGTACGGCAGTACGCAATCAAGATATCTGGCTACTAAGGGGAACTAGTGACCATGATGTCCACAAATCCAAAATAAGCGAAATTGAAGGGGGACCGGAGTATGTCAGGGTTGCTGAAAAAGAAATAGGAGATCAAAATGGAAAAAGAAGAACAGAGGATAGAAAATGGAAGGAAGGGCCAGCAACAATGATATTATTAAAGCATTTGAACACTGCCATTGTCACTCGAGAGGTTTCCCCGTCCCACGCTCGTCCTCTGCTACCATGTTGGGACCAAGGTCATTATTTTCTTGGTTTACCCTATGCTTGGTGGTCAACAAAGCCGCAGCGCTCTCTGCCAGCGATTTGTTCAACCTTCCTTCCACTAGCTCATATTATGGTGCCTGTACTTCGTACATGACGAGGTTAAACAACTTCGTCGCAGATTTCCAAACTCTCGCCGAACAAATGAATAAAGCCGTCGAAACGGTTGAAGCAGCAGGCCATACAGATCAAAAAGAAGTTGCACAACAGCTTTTTACTGCCTGGTTTGGGATTCAATTCGACGTCAATACAAATTCGGTCAAGCCGGAGAGTCAGACTGCGTGGACTGTTGTGACAGGTAAGTCATGTTTCATACACGAATGTATCAGCTACTTACTATATGCTTTCTGGAAAAAGGTCATATACAGCGTGTCCAAAACCTCATTTCGAATGGTGGAACGTTCCCGTCCTTTGTATCCCCAGCAAATTTATTTTGCGGTGAATTTGGCGAAGTAGAACCGTGGAACAATTTCATGATGGATACCAATGGCAACTTCCTGGACCCTGTGGTATCAATTGAGCAAATCTATGGTGACTGGGCTGCACAGATCCCAGAATCACTAGTACCATATTACGTTCCGTCGATAGAGAAGTACTATCTCCTATCGCCCACAGTTTTCTCCGCAAGTCAGATGTGTACTACGTTGGATGGAATGAACTCGTATGGCAGTCCATACGCGTTAGGATACTTCCGAAACAGGGATGGCTATGATGTGCCCGTCGAGCGAGATCAAATTCCGGACTTTATTTTAATTTGCCCCGGTGTGTTGACGTCCACCGATGGTAACGTCTTGCTGAGTGATATCGGTTTGCTTACCCTGAGCACTGATATTTCTGCAAGGACACAGTTAAGTGCAGTGAAGCCTAAGTCCACCGTGATGCTTCATGAAATCTTGCATATGGTGACCAGGTGGGATAGCACTGGGACTGCTGGTGTCATAGCGGACGGACAAATTAAAATTGTCGATCATAGCTGTGAGTGTCATTTGATGATTTCCCCTATTTTCCTACACACGGCCTGATACAGATGCTGATTCTCCGCTCACACAGACCATATGCTTGATTGTCTCATATATGCCAACCAGCAGTTGTCTCAGGCGTATTTGAACACTGAGAATTATGTCCATTTTGCTCTGGCTTGGTGGTACTATAACAGCAGAACGGACTGGCAAGGCACGACGCCTGCTACCTTTTATGCTGGATACCTTCAAACGTGGACCAGGGAGTGATACGGCCTCTTGAATCATAAATCCTGATTTTGTTTCAAGTGGCAAATAGAAAAGTGGCTCTCCGATCACCTGTCAGATAGTTGGGGGGAAGGCTCCCTTGTGCGATGTGGTGCTTGCAAATACTTAATGAGGGACTGAACATTTAGTTGAAATCGCTTGGAAAAACAATTTGCCTCTCGCTGGTTGCCTGTGGGCCCTGCTAAGTGGGTTCGAGGCTAATTCTAATGTAGTGTAGTACCTAGTAGTGTAGGGTACTAGCCCCAACTAGCCCCAGACGCAACCGAAGTCCCAATGAAATTGAAGGCACCCGAGGACTCTCCCTCACTGTGATTTGAGGGTTTACTGAGGGCCCACAGGCTGAATGGGGTATTTCCGGTACTTAAGTCTTGTATCGGCACTCCGACGTTCCCCCTCTACTCTACCACATTCAACATCGTCAAAGTCCACGTGACTGCCAATTCAAGGTTACCATATTGCATATCTTCACTTTGCCAAAACAAACCGCTGCAAAATGTCTATAACAAGCCTGCCTCCAGAGCTATTGACTCATATTTGTCAGAACCTGGAGCCTCAAGAGTGGGGTGCACTCAGGATCACTTGCCACGGAATACACCGCGACACACTGGAAGCCTATGCAACTCGCTACTTCAGAACTTTCTCAGTTCTTCTCACCCGTGAAGGCCTTGACCGTCTGGAGGAGATTGCAGCAAGTGAGACCCTTCGGTGCTGGGTGCAAGAAATTTGGATCATCCCGAACTTGTTCGAAGGCTGGCCAGAAAGGGACAAGGAAATGTTCAAAAGTCCGGCTTTGGCAAATCAGAAACAGAGAAGACTCAGAAGATTGATGCATGGTCAACTGGAAGAAGCAATGGAGCCTGAAGCTGAACTTGATGCTCAACTTGATGCTTTATTTGCCGTTTACGAAGCTACATCAGCAGAGCACCGTGCTATTCTCAACTCCGGTCTTTTTGCGACCCTTGAAAAGTGTCTGCCACGTCTCAAAAACGCTACCACAGTTGGATTACGGTCTTACCCCATACATCTCCTGCTCAGTCAAGCAGATTATCGTTTCTTTCACTGCCTTGGCCTGCGCGAATTGAAGAGCCAGCTGAACACCCCTGTTATGGATATTAATTTAGCAATGTCAAGCTTTCAGCAGAAGATGTTGGCCATGCCTCTTGGTTTGGCATTCTCACAGCTGCTTAATGCCATAATCAAATCCAGCTGTCATGTTCAGTCCCTTCACACTTGCGGGGGCGATGGTTACGAAGGATTTCGTCCCAATTATGCCTGCGGGATGAGTTTGGGCTCTTTACAGCTGCTCGAGTCATCGTATCAGTCTTTGCTGCCACTTTTAAGCGACCTCACGACTCTACATATGTGCATTCGTATTAAAGATCACGAACAAGATCCATTCGATGAAGATACCTTCCAACGTCTTCACAATATTTTAGTCGCAGTTGCACCCCGGTTGAAGATCCTGACCTTTGCCCAGTGGAGTCCCTTTGACGAACTATCTCCTCTCTACTTCGAGGATCTCTCCCAGAAGATTCAATTTTCTCAGCTAGAGGAACTTCATCTTCAATCAACCGAGGTGACAGTCGATACTTTCAAATGCTTTCTCCAGACAGCAGCACCATCTTTAAAACGGCTAAGTATGAGAAGAGTTAGCTTAGTTGATACAATGACAGCAGTACCAGATCTAGGGCCCCTTACTGAAGAAAGCGGTAGCTGGGGTCCTTCATTGTCCTCTGAAGTTACAAACGAGATACAGGAGCTCTGGTACCGCATATTTGAGTATTTGACAAATCATCTCAAGCTGCAATTTCTACAACTGTCTGATCTTGGTTACCGTGGAAGATACATAGCGTTGGAAGATGACTTGTATGCGGAACGTGGCCAACCCGATGCACATCCTTCCAGTGACCCGAAAGATGTATTCTTCGGCGCAGAGAGGGGACGTCAGCCAATGAAATCATCCAGCTCGAAGGATTACTATTTTGATGCTAAGAAAGCGAGTATATCTTTCAAAGACTGGGTCACACAGCTTCGGATCAAGATGTTGATCCCAGAATCTGGATTTGTCCAACTCCCAGGGACCAGCAACATGAGCTTCCACCAACCGGGGATGAGGCCTGCTCAGCCTGGGAATGGCAGGACCATATATAGGCCGCTGGTTTAATCTATCTAGTGATGAGGCAATCTTCTTCGACGCAGTCTTCAAAAGATGTACTGAAGCCACCAATGCACTCTTTGAGAATGGATGGAAGGGATGGCCCATATATGCAAACCAGGAGGACGTTCTCAGTTGGTTTGCAGAAATCAGTGAATCGCTGGCCAAATTGTCAGACAAGCACAACCCTACCTTAATGCAAACCCATCGACCTCTAGCATAGCCCAACTTACACTGTAGGTCAACGTAGAATAATTATATGCTTGCCGCGGAACTCGAGCGATGTCCCCTCGAGGCTCGAGCGGCGCAGCTGCGAGTTGCTGGTGCTTCACTGACACCATAAATACCGGTCCAGAGCCTGTGTCTCTCTCATCACCCCTTTCACCCCTCCCTCCTGCGGTTTGCGATGCAGATTCGCCGCAACCTATTCAGCCATTTCCCCAAATTTCGAAGACCTTGACCTGGCGGCGATCGAATCGCTACGAGATCGCTGTATCGTCTACTCAATGCAGTCCACGAAGTCAGTGCCTGCACCTAAGCGTCGAGTCGTTTTTGCAGTTACTGCAAACATGAAACTTAGCATATTTAAAGTCGCTCACGCAGTGACTGGGAAGAGTATCTTTGGATTTGCTTGAACTACATCCACAGTTATTTTCCATGCCTACCCATCATTCTGATAGCTGGGCTCGACCTGCCGCATCCCCGCGGGAAGTCTCTCCTATTGAAGACGTAAGTCGATTTTGAGTATCGTTACCAAGAATTAAGACTTGCAGTCCCTTCTTGATTAGTGGCCCAAAGTAGACCATGAAAGGTTCCTGCTCCCTAAGCGGATTATTCAGATATCTGCTGGCGTAGAGGAATTGTTATGTGACTCGGAGCAGGTGCGCTATCAAAGAGATTTCTGTGGCGGTGAGTCCACTCAACAAGGGGTCGGTTAGCTTGTAATACTCGCTCTTCGTCATAACACACTCAGCCCGGATGACCTTACAATATCTTTGGAGTATTGGGATTCTGTATACCCAAGCCTTTGGCTTCATGTCTGGACGGTAGGGCAATCGCGGCCAGGCTTGCAGAGAGTATGCGGTGTAGCAGTTTTAAGGGATGTTTGCATGCGCCAAGCCGATATGAACATCAGTTCTCTCAGTCGATAGATGATATGCAGGAAAAGTTGTTACGATATACAAAGGAGCGTACGTGCTACTTATATTGCGGCGTCTAGCCAGCAATCTCGTAGTTGCCTTGACCAATACACGCTTGACGTTGTTCTTTGGCCCCGTAAGAGCTACTCTATTGGATGCGATGCGAGCGAGTCGCGCTAAGGCCTTGGCGGTGGGACTTGGAAACGTTAAAGTCTCTCCTTCGACTGTTGAAGGAACCCTTGGAGGCAACTTTAAGGAGGATGTTGTTGGAGGAAGCTATTCACCGAAACGATGAAGACTTAGCTCATCTCTCTCTATTGCACGCCGGCAATGAAGAAGACCTTGCCATGGGTCTGATTTTTGCGGTCAAAAAACGGCAGTCTGACATGAATCATGATTGAATACTTCCTTGCGCAGGGAGCAGAAATCGACGTAGATTGGGTCAGCAGCGAGCCACGCTCCAGCCTACGGATAGCATGCGATAGCGGAAACATGCGAGTTATTAATCTGCTTCTCTCCTACGACCAGTTCAAAAGGACGATACTTCATGTAGCAGCCTATTATGGATGCTATCCAATTGTTGGTAATCTACAAAGGAGCCAGAAGCTTGACAGATTGAGGGAAATGAAATGCCGATATGGACGATCGCCAATACAATACGCTGTCTTCGCTGCCGATGTTCAGATGGTACAACTACTAGCATCCCTTGGTTGTTCTATCCACGTCCGAGATAAGGAAGGCTACAACTTGTTGCATGTCGTCGTTACGAGGTCTATAGAAACAACCAAACGTGAAGAAGCCTTCCAGGCTCTTATCAAGTGGCTCATAGCCGAGGGTTGCGATCACACCGCTCAAAATGATGATGGACAGACTCCACTGGAATGTGCTAAGAGCCAATACTCACCACAATGGGCCGTTGCAATCCTACGAAAGCATACAATTGAATCAACGGATACCGGAGCAGATGAAGCCATTCCATCGGACGAGAGCGTGAACTTTGGTCACGACGAAGATCACCCAATTATGATCACCGATGACGAAGAGGAGAGAGACACTTCTCAGCATTCTCAAGTTCTGATCGGCCGTGATAGCGTTACCCAGCGCCATGGGAGATTCCATTGAGGACTTTTAATAGTCGACGTGCGGCATACCGTCAAAGATTAAGACGGTCTCAGAGAATCGCAGCGCTTGCTGAAGGGACAGTCAACCACCAATGGTTGTAGGATCAAGCTTAGAATATACCGACGCTGAATTTCTTTCAATGAATCCCACTTTTGCCAACCTCTATAATCGAACCGCTGCTGACTACTGGCTTCTTTCGACCTTGATCTCATCATTGGTAAACTCAGCCAATATATTACACCACCTTATTTAACAGCTTCTTTTTCTGGAGCTTGCAATTCTCTGCCCGCAGGATTCCTATCCTCACTGGCCTTGTCGGCCCCGCATGAATCATTTTTCTTGGCTAGACAGGGAAATGTAGCAATACATGCTCCCTGGGGTTTTATCTACGTTTGGAGAATTTCAAAGCTGGCAAGCGTTCAGGAATTGTCAGGCTGCCCGTGATCCTCCATCCTTTTTTCATCATTAGAGCCCTATTTTATAGGGGTAAATGAGATGCACCGAAAAACTATCTCCACGCGAATCTATTTCTTGAAATTGCGTCACAACCAGGCCTCCTACGGCCACCAAATTGGACCAAAAATTCTTATTTTAGGTCTATTGTAAGCCAATAGGATATTGAGGGATCTGATCACTATCGAAACTCCATGGCGCCCCGGAAGAGCATCCTCAAGTTCCCTTGTGGGGGTCGGTGGATAATCCTGCGCCACTTCGGTTTGGTCCGACTTGACACTAAGACGAAAACGCAATAAAATTACAATGAAATTATTGAAAAATAATTCGAATTTATAAATGCGAACTACAGCAGAGATGCTGGAACGGGGCTGGGCCTAGCACTCACCTGCATGTCGCTTCGGAGTGCGCCAATCTCGCTACATGCATACCATGAGAGACTACTGGGCCTCCTAGTCTTTTGTCACTTTTCACAATCACCTGGAACTTCTCTGGAAACTGAAATAGGCTTGCATATTCCCATCTGTCCTTTCTCCTTTCCTCACTTCATTACAGAGTACACATTCCACTCTACAGCCTGGATATTTATTGAATATCTCACTTGACCCACCCTCTCTTCTACGACTCATTTATTCTCAACCGTCTCAACCCAGCCTGTGTCAACATCGTTTAATTAGGGGCATAAAGTGTCTTTCTCGCTCCTGCATTCCGGTTGCTGACATTCTGCACCCATCTGATGACTTCTTGAGACACTTGCACATTGCAATCTCGAGAGTGTGAGTACAATCTGGTGCGTATCACCATAGGAATTTTCTTTTCTACAAAAGCATGATTCCCGTTTTTCGGCATGCTTTGTCCTACCAGTTCCCGCGCGCGAAAGGTGAAGGCTTTCTAGCCGTTTGGATATCCATTTAGCCCTGCCTGTCGTCCTGAAAAAGTGAAAAGCAATAGACTGATGTGGATCAACAGATTTTAGTATCAACCTTTTTAATAAGACTCAACTGCAACTTCTCACTCGAGAGAAAAACAACGCCTCTTGAAAGAGTGATTCCCTCGCCGCCATCAGCCTCTTGATACGCCATTTTGGCTAAGATTCTACCACCCAAAACGGCTACATTCTTGCTACTTTATCAAAATTACGGTTGAATGATCTTTTCCGTATCTATACCTTGCTTTACAAGGGACCGAATCCCAGGACTGCCGCTATGAAGCGGTCCGCTTCAGCCCTTGGAGGACCTCAAGTATGGGACGCTGCTCCTGTATGTTGATAACGACCATGTTATTGCTCCTTACTGACATCTGCAGCCCGTCACGACAAATTCTCATTCATCATTTCGTCCTCCTTATACTCACTACGCCATAATATACCTAGACCAAGATGGCAAGCTCAAGATTGACGAGTCTTCATCTATTCAAGAGCAAAATGCAACCGTGTTCAACCCTGAATTCTGCCAAAACTTCCTTCAGATCCTCGGTGAAAGTATTGGCTACTACGCCCCCATTGGCAGTAGGTGATCCAAAACAAAGAACCAGGTATCTATATATACTCACTCGGCAACAGAACCAGTAGATGCATCTCCCCGGCGGGTGAGGCGTCGCAAGGTTAATGGTACCTCCACCTCCGAGGACCGACTCCTCGAGCCGGCTTCTGACAGCGAAGACTTCTCTGAGGGATCTACTAAAATGATTCCTCTGCGCATTGGAGACACCCAACAAGTTATGTCTTACTATGAGAATGCTCTTAACCACTTCCAACAACTCAACTGCCGCATGGTTGTCAGATTAAAAGCTCATGCCTGGTGGTGAATTATTCCCAAGCGCCTCGTACCCGGGCTTCTAGTCTAGCACCGAGTCAGAAAATGCCAGGGCCCCTTGTGGTACGGCAGCTGTGACCATATTGTCGCGATACGCTGTATGTGGAGATATCAGAGGTGAAAGTGGCTCTAGCTAGGTTGGGAAATTCGACAGCCTCACTAGCATCGGGATGCACGAGCCGCACGGGGTCCATAGGGGAAACCACTTGGATATAATGGGTTTGCTGAAGCAGCTCCTGGTGCGAGGCACCTGGAAAGCCAATGAGTGCGGAGCTGTAATGGATGTCCTGCTGCGAGTGGCTTGCTGTGCAGACTTGAGCATTTATCGTACCGTTCAAGCTATGTGATGATTCGGGATACATTGGCAGGCCAGTGGAATAGATTGCGTTAGGCCAAGAATGGCTCATTTCGTGCTCGAGTCTCCCGTATGGCGAAAAGTTTTGGTTGGCATTGAAGTAGTTCTCTTCGAGGCTCAGGTCGTGGGGGGGTACATATGGTGGCACTGGTGTCATTCCGGAAACTTTTAAGTCAGCTTCAGTCTCTGATTCGGACCAGGTCACCTCGTTTCGGTGGTTGACAGCGCCTTTTCGTCGCTTTACAGGGCCTCTTCGTCGCTTTGCAGGCGAATATTTGTATTCCGGATGGGCTGCGGCGTGAGCGTCACGCTCAAGCTTGGCCAAGTCTGCATACTTTTTGCGGACATCAGGTGGCTCCGAATTCCAGCCTTGACCCGCAATCTTGGAGACTACCTGATGATTATTCACTCCAGCGAGCTGTTTGATTCGTTCCGAGTAAACCGAACGATAGAGCATGAAGGAGTTCATTGGCCGGGCGACTTTTCCCTTAGCCAGAGCCTCTTTCCTGCGGATTTCAGCAGGTCGAGCAACCCAGGTTTCCATATCTTTGATTGAAAGATCATAATGCTCAGTTAGCTTGCTGATGGGCTCTTCAATGTTCAAATCAGTTCTTTGGATCCCGTAGCGCAGTCCCTTCTCGGCCTTACCTGCTTGTAAACGGCGGCTCGTTGAGGAAGATGTATTTATCTGGGGACTAGATACCATCACCTTTTTGCAAGTCAATGTCCAGTCCTGCAAGCCACTTATTGTTTGGGGAGCATCCATACCATTTCAGGGGAAATAGCTTGAGAGAAGCTACCCGCACTTATCAATGGAGGAGATACATGTTGCTGTAGGAATAAGCATCTTTGTAAACAGCACTCACATTGTGGACTTACCAAGCAAAGGGCTGTGTTTGAGTTGACATCATGAGGCATGCTCATGACTCTGTACACAGGTTGGTAGACACCAAGACCTGCGAAGGAATCTTCTGTGAAGCTGATTCCGTCTGTTGACTTGGAAGGGGAAGGGCGAAAGAGAGCAGTGAATTAGTATCAAAATCACAACGTTAGATTTCAAATTAAATAAGAGAAGAGAGCAAGTAATGGAAGTGGGTTATATACTGTTGGGTGAATGACTAAAATGAATCCTGAAATAAGCCACCACTTTTCCCGGGAGACAAATTCCGCCTAGGCAGCTATGAGTTCCACCGTGAGAGTCATGCTAGTGCATCCGGGTCGTTAATGTTACTTGAAAACCTTTGGGCTGTGCTCCAAGGAATCAAATCCGGTCTCAAGCCCGTACCCAGCCCGCAAATGACTACTGGAGCCCTGGTCTTAAACAGCCAATAGGATATCATTGAATACTTCCCCCTGATGGCTATCTCAATCTCACGATAGCGGCTTCAATTTAAAAGGTTTTCTCCATCTGATGAGCGCCAAATCACCGAAATCAGCCTCATATGTAGTTTCCATCTGGCCGTCGGTGAATGTGCATGCAAACCTGAGCGTAGACTAAAGGCTCGAAGGTTTATCCCCAAATTCCGCAATTCGAGACCTTGAGTCTTTACTACGCTTCATATTTCATATTATAGCAAACACTACAATGGAACATGGGCTCAGGCATCTAGCAGGAAGCCCTCAAACTATTACCCCTATTGAGGCTTTTAAATTAGAATATTTTATTGGTCCCAAATAAGAAAAAACTGGGTAGCTCACAATTCCTTGCCGAGAAGGAGGATCTGCTGTACATCCCTCCCCTGTAAGAAATATGGAGCAGCACAGCTTGTATTATGATTCTCGGTGACTTAATACCATTGTAAAATACCACTAATGAATATAAAACATCAGGCTTCACATTTCTAGCGTGATTTCCATGGTCTGGTGCGGTCTATAGATCAGTGGAGAGCGGTTATGGCCAGGCGATGTGATAGCTCATTGATGATACTGGGAGTGGGAGCAAGAGACATTAGTTCTAATTATAGGCTGTGGGTAATATTATTATTTCTTCACAACGTGTTTTTTTAATTCACTAAGGTAGCTGGAACCTGCTAGGGCTTAAAGGGCCGAATTCCCAACATTTTGTCAATCCAGCTTTGAAAATCTCTCCCACGGATTACTTCCGCTCAAACCGCATGCTCAAGGTTTGTCTCTTTGACTCTCACCAAATTTGTTGGCAGATGAATCTAACGTTGCTTATTTAATGGCCTAGATCATTATTTGGGCAGTTTACCAACATGGCCATCAGTTTCTTTCATCTCGAAACCCCATACGGGACCTGTCAAGTCGCAGAAAGTCTTCGAAAATATAGTGTTTCATGGGATATGTATCTTGAAGACTTCCGGGAGGGGCCTGATGGTCCCCGAAACCTTCATCAGGTAACCGGCATTAGTGTGAGGGCCTGGCTTTGCGACTGGAAGAGAGGGAAAGTACGGGTGCTTTTAGGGAAACGCGCCGAGAATGACTCGTCACCAAATCTTTACGAAGCATTTGGTGGAAAATGCGATCCAAAGGAAACAGTACTGGAGGCTTTGATCCGCGAGTTCTGGGAAGAAACCAAGCTGAAAGTTCTGGTTATCCATGACGAAGTGCCCGAGGTCGATGTTTTTTGTACGCCGAATAGTAAACGATGTATTGCTCAAGTCCACTTCTTGCTCTCAGTCAAGCCGACTCGTGAATCTTTCTGCGGCGAAGAATTTGGCATCAAGTTGGACCCTAAAGAGCATCAAAGTTTCATTTGGCTTGATGGCAATCTTGATGCACTGGGAGGTCTACCACTCACGAAAGGCTCTCAAAGTCATTTTGAGTCTGCAGTTGCTAAGTTCCGTTAAAAGGTACCTTGTCCCGATTGGTAAAAACCTTGGGTCTCATTTTAAAGAGCTGTTTGAACAATGGAGTACGACCGGATAGAATTGGTGGAGAAAAGACCGAGTTTGTTCAACCAAGGACATATTCCCGTCTATATGTATGTAGTTTGATAATCGGAGAGTCTATAGCGTTGATTAATTTATGCGGTCAGATAATACTGTGTAGTCACACCTTTGCATCACCGCTCTTTCATGGCGGGAGAGTTCGAACGGTAACGTTATTAGCTTGGCATACTCGATGAATCCCTCCAGCACTGCTAGGGACACCGGATGAAGACAGCCACCGTCTACCCATTCAGCACCCACACCGGCCACACATGAGTTCTCCTCGGGAGAAAACCGTCGGTGTTACTGCACTCAACTGTGATACCACTAGCTCTCTCGCGATGGTCGGTGTAGACTGTGCATCCTTGAAGCCCTCTTCCAGAGTTGATGGCAGGGGTTTCTTGCACGGCTTTATCTTTTGCACCACCGTGATTTCATCTTTTCTTAGACCGGCTCGCTCGCTAAACGGTTTGTGTGAGTCATAAGAGCTGTCAGACAGCAGTATATCTATGGGAGTCACTTGGGTCTTGCTTCTATTCTGAAGAACATCATATCAAACAGGTTCCCAAAGCGCCCAATGAGACCTGACAGGCCCCTGGTAGCAAAAAAGCCCTTTGCAGACTGAGCAATCTTGTGAATAGCTAAAAGTCTGTTCCTGTGATGTGATGTGTGCAGTATGAATGAATATATTAGCTAAGATTCAGGCCATTGTATAAGAAATTCTATATGTAGTCAATATTGAGGATTATACGTGCAGCTGTGCTTGTGGGGCATATATTCTCGAAGCCTCAAAAAACGGCAGATTGGATTTAATGGACCGGAGCTGTAACTGAAACTAGCTCTTTTTGCAACCTTAATGTACCCAATGGTCCGCCAGCCTTAGCATGGGCGCGAAACTTCTTTTCAACCACTTTTGCGGGCTCATAGTTATCTCTGACGCTTGTATTAAAATGTCTCAACGTCGGTGTGCCAGAAAATGTACGACGCTCAACGACTGAGGGTGGAACCTTGACATTATTTAAGCCATGCCATGACTTACTTGATTGAAGCTCTATTATCGAAGTAGACACGGGATAGTATGAGGGTAAGACAGCACATGTGGCTGGCTATCTTTGAAGCTCCCCTGTATGATGGTACATTTGCTGTGCCAAGGATGGGAGCGGAGGGCCCTGGTAACTTTCGGTGCTGTGTCCCTGCAATTCTTGAAGAGGATAGTGAGGAAGACTGGTAAAGCTGCTCAGAAAGGGCGATGGGGTTGATATTGGACCAACGGCTTCGGAATTCATGTCAGAACTGCGTGCGAGCACGAGGAGGGAGTATGGACCAACCGCTTGTGTGGGTACTCCCTGGCACACTGCTTATTTGAAAGATCCTCGATTGGGAGTCGGGTATGTATGAATGAGATGGTTGAGAGTATGAATCTGTAGATTTGGACGGGTATCCTGTGATAGAGATGTTGCTGGGCTGAATGATGCCTGTGGATTGGATATCGACGTCTCGCGCTGGAGGCTGCGCCGTGTTCTGTACATTTGGACGCATTCTCTGCTGTGAAACATTGGAGTTTGCAATAGCAGTGGAAATTGACTGCTGGTTTGGGGCTCTTTTGGGTATTTCAGGGGACAATCTTGAGGGATGCAATTCTGTCGGTGTGTTTTTAGAGGAAGTCTGGTCGGGGCTTCCTTTTCTGCCTGGAAGGGCGAACGAAATCAGTCAGTTTTGAGTGCAGAGACAGATAAATAAAAAAGGGAGGAAGGTTAGATGACACATAGATTTGATATGCTTCTAGGGTTCCCTGGCGATAGCGAGCACTGTATTAGAGAACTTACTCAGTGACCCCTCCTGTAACATGTGTTGGTCATCTGTTCTGCACTCGACGGGAATTCCTTTAGACGCTCGCCGGCTTCCTTGCCAATCAGATGAACTTTCTTGCTCGTTGGACTCCATCTGAACAAGCGGAATCAATTCGCTTATATCTGGATCCGTGGGGTGGTGTTTATCACCATTAATTGCTGTGAAACTGGCCCGATACTTTAGCGTGATAGCTCGATGGCCTCGATTACCAGACTGGGGGGTATGTTCGAAATTGTCAGGAGATGCTGAAAGCACCATCTGTTCAGAAGCACATTCGGATGCAGCCGGTGAATTTGAATCCTTTGCTTCTTCATCCTCATGATAAAATACAGGGCTGCTTCGATATGGTCTTTTTCTGTTGTCTGGAACCTGTGGATGACCAAATTGTGACGGTCGAGATTGCACTAACGATGGATGCTTGGGGGTAGTACTATCATTGCCTGCGATCGTATGGGATGGCTCTAAGCTGGGAGTGTCGACGATGGTGTTGGTTGGTGGTGATACCGGCATAGTATCGGGAAGGCCATCTTTTTGACGGGAATCTGCCTTTTTTTTTTGCGACAAGCTGCACGAATGGCAGAAGATGTTCGAAAGTGTCCAAAGTCTCTCAGAAACTCAACTTCAAGTCTGTCCCTTGGTAGACTGTTCCGTTTCATGAGCCACCCTGGTAAACGGTCCAGGTCCTTGGCAATCCATGAGCGATGAGAAATCCCCGCTTGAGCTTGAGATTTCTCACGAAGATATCTTCTGATCAATTCTTCTTCCGCCAAAGTTCTCTCAGAGGTATCGGGGGTTGGCCTACCCATTCCGCGGTTTCGAGAGTGGTGCTCAGTCGATTCGTCAGTGGAACTTGCTTCGGGAATTTGGAAGACCGTTGGCGCCCTAGGAACAGTCAACGCACCGAATCCGCTTTCTCGGTGGCTTTCATTGTTAGAACACTCATTTGATGAACCTCCAGTCAATGAAGTTCCCAGTGAAGATTGCGGACAATTTCTTCCTGGTGGTTGGTTGTCATGCGCCGTATCTGTCTGTTCCACATGCATTGCACTGGATCCAGTTGGATGAATGAGTGTTTGGCCGAGCTCTTCAAATGTTATATCGCCTTCAGAGTGGTGCCGGATAGGAAATTGAATAGGTTCTGATATTTGAGAGGACTCCGAGGATGAGCCCTGCAAGAGAGAATCAGCAACTGTCATTGACGTTGTGGCGAGGTCATTTGTTAATTTCTCGGTCGTTGGCCGACTTTCGGGCACCAGATCTGAAAACATTGGAGGGGCCGTGGGCGATTCTTCAGCCCGAAAGCTTCGGTGAGCTGGCCATTCATTCTGACTTGTAACTAACGGGCATTCATGCTCCTGAGATGCGTGCTGGCTCTCTAACGTTTCGTTCGCGATGTCCTGTGTAGATACCGCATGAGGGTCGCTAGACTCTGATTCAGGGTCAACCCATTGAACACCATGAGGGGCGTAGAGGCTTCCATCATCGCAGTCTTCCGAATTCAGATGCGGAAGCAGGCTCGAGGATAGACTTAGAGCGTGAACCTCGATGTTCGACCTCGTGATCAATTGCTGGGTGGCTTCCACTGTTTCAAGCGGTTGAAAAAGTGGTGAGGAGCGAGGTGTTTAAGACACAGGTTCTTTGCGCAAAGTCCTCTTGTTGCGCTTCCGAAAAGGACTTTTGCCTGTCAAGAAATACACTTTTGCCTCAATAGCGTGGAAGGTCCGCCTTTGGTTGAATTTTCGGTCAAAATTTTGGGCAATCTCTTCCTGCGACAGATCCTTCCGTACTTGGTCTTCGAACCATAGAGGAAGCTGCTTCAATACTTCTGCAGGCCAAGCCCTGTTTTTGGGATCTGCAACATTCATGTTGTCAGTATATTTCTCCAAATTTCTCACTTTCAATGCCATTTTGTCATATACAAACACTTACAGTTCCGTGTTCTAGTACCATATTTTGAGCCACTAGCTTGCACGTCTGTTGCTTGAGTCTCGATAGCCATCTCATCGAACAAATCTGCTTCAACCTGCGCTGGCGTATACTGTGCCGGCTCTTCCGCTGATTCCATGGGAAATGGAGAGCCCGCTGACCTCTGACTCGGATTGTGGCGGAGTACTCGATCTCTTCTCAGTATTTCTTCAAGCACAGCGTTATTGACTTTGATCACTGAGGGCTGATGTAAGCAAGTGAATAGGACAGGATACGGATAATGTTGGAGTTGGCTTACCTTCCGACGCAAGATGGCTCACCAGTGATGTCATTTCAGCTGCCAGCGCCAATGTGTTTAGTTCTGTCTGCACGTCTTGTTCGTAGGACCATGGTTGAACAAGCTTTCGGGGTAATCCTGAAAGAATCATGTTGTGTTGGAAAGCAGACAACTGGATAATCACGCCCAAGTCCCGCATATGGAAATGGTAGTTCCCATTCCCTTTATATTCGGCCTGATAATTCTTTTCCTTGACAACGTCCAACCACGTAATATTGGCACTGGCTTCGTCGTTCTGTAGCTGAAGCACACAAGGCGTTGGTGCCTCAAACATCACTTCGATTGTCTTCACTAGGGCGTCGCTTATGAGGGAAACGTTCAGAAATCCAGCAAAGCTCTCTCGCCCCGCCAATGCCGAAAAATGTGACTGAGAGTGCTGAAGTATCGAAGCCAGCTTGTCCTGAACAGGCTTGAAATTTTCAAGGAACACACTTTTCATGTCTGGTAGACAGTTCAGCATGCCTTCAACAGTGGCAGCGTTGGAGTCCATCTCGAGCCTGACTAGATCTGACGAAATATCAGTTAAAATCCGTTGGACACTTGGACACGTAAGATGGGCACAATCACCGAAGACTGCCAGTTATTCAAGGACAAATATAGCCATGTGACACCGTTTCATGAAAAGGAGTTTGCGAGGTCCAAGTGATCAGAGCCTCTGATCACTTACCCGCGGGTGAACCTGAAGAACCTGACCTGAACCTCCATTTGGGCGGGTCAGGTTCTGGGGTTTGGAACCTGAGGGAGGTTTCATCCGAGGACCGAACCTCATCAGGTTCACCCGCGGGTGAACCTCAGGTTAAACAAACATGACAAACAGCTAAAAAACGTGACTCGGGCCCAGTTGCATAAACTATGTCGAAACAGGCTGTATTCCATTGTAATTGTTAACCAAAATTTGATTACTGTATAGCCTTACAAAAGGATACTGTATGTCCAATAGTGTATGTTATAGCTTTATCTTCAATAGGGCTTTTAAATATCAGTAATTCACATCATATCTAGAGTACAGGGTTCTTAAGACTCTAACTGTTAAACTATATACCCATCTAAGAGTCTCGATCTTTTCCGCATTCTTCCTGATACACGCTGCTGCATATCAGGTAATGGTAATGCTGAGGTCTCTTCTGGATCCTTAACGTCATCGGCCTCAGAGTCTTCCTCCTCGTCAGAATTGATAGCTGGCCGCTTTCCAGCGGCAACCGCTGAGAGTGGTGCTACGGCCGGGGTGTTAAGGTGCATCTCCATGTCTTCCTCAGTATCACTGATAGCTTCGGCACAATGTGTTTCAATATGAAGCTCTTCGGACGAAGCTCCGATCTCTTGCTCTGAAAGATACTCTTGGAGAACCTGCCGCTGCTCCTCCTTCGTATCAAATCTTGTTGTACACATGTATAACATGATATCGCGGATAGTCTCTGGGCTCAACGACCCCCGGCGATAGTGGCAAATGTCCCGGGCAGAGTTGAAAAGTCGCTCAACACCGGCACCAGTCGCTGGGATGGACATCACATCACGAGTAATGCATGCAAGAATAGGGAACTCCCTCTCGTGGTTTCTCCAGAAGATCTGAGCGGATTCATTAACGGTGGCTAAAAATATCAGTATTATGATTCATACCGGCGGCTTACTCACTTACCACTCTGGAGGTACTTGGTAAGCTCATCCTGATACGGACTGGTTGATCGCTGTAAAGAATCGCCCTTAAGAATCCTCTCGAGCGCTGATTTGGCTGGGACCGATACACCATCCGACGGTGATATATTTGATGGTGCACGTAGACGGTATTTCTCGAAAAGAGACTGGAGACTCTGACGGTATTCCTTTTTGTAGTCTTTTCCTGTGTCATCTGGGGCCCAATCACTTGTTGAAAAGAACTCCATTTTATTAGACGGATCTAGGATCGTTCCAATAGCATAGAGATCACCTTCAACAAGATCCGTCATACTATAGTACTTTGACAGTTTATCTTTTGCAGCCTCAAGGGAGGAAAGCGTAAGCTGTTTCCAGGCAATCTTCTTTCGACGAAGCTGACGCATCGATCTTTCGAGATGATCAAAGAGTCTGTTGTAAATACTAAAGACAAGGTGAATACTCGAGTCATTAGTCTGGCAGACTAGTGTGGTGTATGTGAAAAAGGGCTGGAGTATATAACGTAGATAGTCAATCTGCCGCCACCCCTCCGCACTCAATGCAAAATGGGGTTGGTGATAGAGCGAACAGTAGTCGTCGAATGTGGTAGAAAGCCTTTTAGCCCGGCGGAGCATAAGAAACGTTGAATTCCATCGCGTGCGAACATCTTGGATTGGAATAAGTTTTTGCCCATTGGACTCGAGTTTCAGAAATGCTTCTTTCCGTTGAGGACTTCCATTAATAAAAACCGCAAGGCCTCGAACCTATAATAATAGTTAGTGTATTAAATATAGAGAATGTTATTCAATAGAAGCCTACCTTGTTCAGGGTATCGGTGATATCTCGCTTCTGCTGGCGCGCACGCAGTGATCGAACACGATCCTCGGACCATTCCAATTCAGTGTTTTCATTTTTTGGCGAGGCCTTGATTTTACCAAGTAATTCAACCAGACTTAATTGAATAACATGAGCAAGACAGGGCACTTGAATAATCGTTGAATCCGTCTTTAGCTGTAGTTCATGAATTGAATCATTAATCGCAGTGATAAGCGTCTTATTATTAGACGCATTATCAGTTGTTACCGCCAGTACACGATTAGTGATTTGATGCTTCTGTAGAATTTGGAGAACAACTTTACCAAGGTTCACGCCAGAATGAGTTCCAGAAAGTGGCTCAAAACCAACGAGGACCTCGCGATACTCCCATTCCTTGTCCAGGAAGTATCCTGTGATAGCCATGAACGCATCCTGAAATGGTGAAGTCCAACAGTCAAGTGCAAGTGATAGCTTTGCACCAGGTGGGAGTATTTGTAGTGTCTCCTGCTGATACTGTAGCACGAAACCCCGGAGGCGCTCGCGAATCACCTTTCTTGACGGAAAGCTAGGTGGTTCGGATGCTAGCCGTGCGAAAGAGAAAAGGTCACGGAATGTTTGATGCTCGACAAATAGAAAGGGTAAATTCGATGTGGTGATTAGATCAAGAAGCATCTGCTCCCATACCTGTTGTGTAAAGGTAGGCGCTGGTCTTTTCTCGGCCTAAAAGATAGTGAATTCATCATTAATATCAATATAGGATTCAGACCCTCTAGAACATACCGCGTCACTAAGTAGTTGTCGGATACTACCAGCACCTTTCTTCGGTAGCTGCTTTCGGCACCTTGGCCCATCGAGATGTTTCTGCATCGATGAAGTTCCAGTATGATTCGTAGCTGGATGCGTGAGAACTGTGCGGCACTTATTACACATAACGCCTGGCTTGCCATCTTTAGCATTTGCAACTTGTTGGAACCCTTTCCAGCACTCTGCTCGACGGTTTGTTAGGCTCCCATCCCAGTTGATCCGCTTCGACTTGCCATAGCCCGTATCGAGCCACCACTTAACGAATTCCGCCGTCATTTCTGGCGTACAGACGATGAATTCGTTGATACGATCGGGCTTGATTCGCGGTAGGGTGCTTGGGGCCTGATGTGCCACGCGAGATCGATAGTCCGGAAGGTCTAGAACTGAATCAAGCTGGCTTCCGGATAGTACTTGGCTCTGGCTACCGCTCTGGGACAGGGAATCGTCCGGGAGAAGGTATTGGAGCGCGTCTAATGGTAAACCGTCTATAGTATCGAAGCTAGACGATGCGTAGACGCCGGAGGGCTGAGACATAATAGATTTAGTAAAGTTGTAGATGAAATGATCACTGAGGAGTTAGAGAATAAGGAACTAACTTATTAATTCTTTCGAAAAGATACGCGATATTCTTGGGAGATCCGTTTGACCCTGTTCTGCGTACTAGAATTGATCTATCATCTTTTGTATCTACCGACCCGTGTCTGATTGGCTATTATAGTGGATCATTTTAGAAGAGAACCTCGCTTACCCGCATAGAACCTGAAAGTTAACCTCATGTATCCGTATAGAACCTAGAACTTAACCTAACTTACCCGCATAGAACCTGGAGGTTAATCTTAGGTTAGGAAAATCGTCTTGTTCCAAATGGCTAAGTCCAATCATAAGAACCTTTGAACTGGATTCACGACAGATGTAGATAATTATAACCCGAATCCTTTGCGACAAATTCATAGAGGGAGGTATAACAATTTGTTTGGTATAAAAATGATGGGATTTCATCTATATTTTAGTGGTTTTCTCGATATCATATAGTTCTGCTGGTCAAGATACATAAGGTTACAGTGTTCAGAATATATATATCTGCATCTTGACATGCAATTTCGCCGATGATCTCTACCAACTACCTACCACGTCGCTATCATCGAATATTACTTGTAATTTATCAATGGCCATGCCTTCTGTTTACTTTTGAACAATTGCGTGTCCATAATTCACCACGTTGACAGAGTAATCAGTCGAATTCCGCCAGGTCAACAAAACAGCTGTAAAAATCAGAGATGAATCATCACTTTTATCCAGCCAAAAGAGGAAAGGCGTCGAAGAATAATGCATATGCAGGTTCATGTAGGTTCTTGAGGTTGAACCTCAACGACCCTCCTTGAGGTTGAGGTCAGGTCCAGGTTGAAAAGTTTGGAACCTAACCTCAAGAGGTTAGGTTCAGGTTCTAGGATTTGGAACCTATGGGCGGTTCGAAGCCAGGCCTAGGTAAGATATCTGATTTACTTGATGACAAAGAAGAGAGTCCAATTGTTCAACTAAGCTATTGAACTCTTGGCCGGGATCTTCTATATAGGATTGCTAATGCCGCCGAATGAAGGCTTCTAATTTCGTAAAAAACTCTTTAGTCGGTTTGAGTAAATGCGCTAGCTTGGCGCCCTTATCGAGCATCAGTCAGAATGGTAATAATTCTACGGTTAATGTGTTATTTTCTGAGACTATGAGGCCAATGAAATGGTCGCTTAGTTGAGACATTAAGATCAGCCCTCGGATAACCGAGGAAACATGGCGGAAGTGAATCCTATTTTGGTTTTAGAAACTTACAAAAGAGTTTCTTGACCTCATTGGTTGGTTGGTTGGTTGTCACGTCATATCTTGTGGGCGTCCCTTATCAACTCTGGGCCAAGAGCCCTGGGGATGATGGAATTCAGATCTTACTCTAGTCTTCCATTTTCAAAAGCCATCTATGGCTCCAAAATGTGAGGGTAAAGCACAATGCACAGCCAGTGCTGGTTAGGTCTCAAGCTCATGAGTTTGAGCTTACTGAAAAGAACTTTGCTGCAATTTTCCCCCTTGTTGGAGCATGATTGACGAGATCGATCTTATTTTGCATAGCAATATCATCAGGGCTGAGTTAAACCGTGCAGATTTTGAATTATCTAATTCCATCTTACAGTCTAATTTTTTCTCTCAACACATTACAGAGACTTTCCCAATTGCTTGAACGTTTAGGAGGTTGGAATCTTGAGGACTTTCTGATTTGATACGTGCGGAGCATTCTCCTTCTTTTATTCAGAATTTGAGTGCGAGCTTTATGCATATTTCACTTTTCTGATATTTCGTATCCATCAAGTATATCCAGTACATCCAGGTGTATAATCAACAAGGCAACGGGAAAAAAAGGATTGACCGGAGGTTGCAGAATATGCCTATTATCGCTTCCTTAAATGTGCTTGACCGTTCACCCTCCGGTTTTAAAGATTTAATGTTCACCATGTTTTATTGCTGCCTGTCTCTTTACTAATATTTTGAATTGCAAGCTGCTGTTGACCACTTGTTGACCGTCTGTTGTTGACCGTTTGTCGTTGACCGTTTGGTTGATTATTAAGTGATGCTTCAGTGTTCATGTTATTGAGGGGAGTTGATTGTGTGTTGTGTTGCATGTTGTCTAAGATACAGGTAGGCTGGTGAACATGTATATATGTATGCACGTGATCCCAGCCTCACTATCATCTCAGCAACCGGGACATTTCAACAAAACCCCCCCACTTTGCCAAATTGTGTTAACGCGAAACGATCGGTCACATTAATACTCAGAGGGTGATGGACTTGGGACAGCTCGATCAGACAGTGCCAAATACACCGAAACGAAGGGCCCATGCACGTTGGCCAATCCACTGAACTCAGTGACACCTCCACAAATCGTCAAAAAGTCCAAAAGTCGAGACAAAACTTCGCATCGGCGACATTCCTAGCGCTAGGGATCGGCTCTCAGGCTCTCGTTGCCAAGGCGCTCTGCACACAAAGGTACCTCCCCGCTCTCACGGGATCGTACAGTTATCATTGGCTAGTGTAAATCTCAAGTCACGGGATGCGGCATTTGTATCCGCCTCCCTCTTATCAGCTCGCAAATTAATAACTAGCACCTGCCGCCTGCGCAGTCTCCTCAAGCCTTCTTTATACATTTCAGCTACCGAGGAATCACATCAAAAAAAAATGGAAGACATTCAAAGTGTCTTAGAGAGGAAAAAAGATTATTTGAGTGGCGCTCCCTCAGAACTCGAAGCATTAGGTGTTACCCAAAACAACTTCAAAGAAGTCGAAACAGCACTTCGAGCATTCGGCATCTTGCCTTCACAATCTTCTTTATCGCTGGATACGTTAAATAGGGAAAAATCCTTGAAGGAAGTTCAAGATCAGTTGCTGGTTTTGAGAGCAGCGAAGCGAATGATACAATCGATGGTCGGAGATGACATAAAGCCGCTTGAAACCAAGGCCGCCCTTGAGGCCATGAAGAGAAAAACAGACATGATGACGGGAGACGTCTTTGGGCCCTATTGGACCTCCTATAGGGAGGATATCGAGCGACTAAGCGGTCATAACGCCATGAACTCCGCCAATCCAATACCAATCGAAAAATTGGAAGAATCCATCAACAAAGCCGCCATGAGTGTCATGAAATCTTGGAAACAGCTACAGAAGATGCGCCAGAGTGGCAAAGCGGAACTCTTCAAAACGTGGTGGAAGAATCGACCGGCGGACAAACGACATTCTTGGCTTTGTACATTTCCTGCGATCCGTCAACGTTCAGATTCGGCCATTCATCTCCTTGCAAACTATCCGATGAAAAAGGGCGAGATTCAAAAAGCATTCCTTGAGCCTATACTCTGTCAAGAGGATCTCCTCCAAGCGAACGTTCTCTCAGAATTGTTGGTGGCTCGTTCCTCACAGGATGCTCATCCTCGAATGCTTTTATCCGTCGACGCCAAGCTTATCACGTTTGGGTATTGGTGCAGAATCGTCCCGACTCTAGCCGTGGCAGGACGGGTCGGGTTCAAACCCCCCACTGCTCCGGGAGACGTATCGTACGGTATTCAGTTCGAATCGGACCTATTGAAATACCCCCATTGGTCTAATCCTATTATCGCACGCCTTCAACTAGAAGTGCAGGAAAAGACCTACAGGCTTCTTGTATCATTACTGTCGGCTGATTTGCCCGAGCTTCCTGCTGCGTCGCCTATATATACTGAACCGCCCTCGCTTTTGACTCAGTCAATGCTGCAACTTCATGGCAAGCCAAACCAGCTCGATTGGGATCTCGTGGAAGGCATCTTAAAGGCATCTATGGAGGAAGCACTGGACGACCTTTGGAGGCTCCGGACCGATGAACTATATTGGGAAGTAATGTTCGATGATATAGGCAGGAATACAGAAAAGTTTCTGAAATTGGTCTTCGGACGTATCGATACATTCCGTCTGGCCTGTGAACAGCTGCGTGTTCACAACGGAGCTCTCAATGAAGCATGTCCCCATGGAATTACTTGTGACGATGATACCCAAACTAGGGCTGCAGCGGTTTCCATGCATGCTACACTGAGGTCCATTGTCAATGAAAAGCTCGCATTCTTGGAGCATATTGGTTGGTCACCACCAGCCACTCTGGGAGCGACATCGAAGTATCTGCTGGAGCTTATCAAGAAGAATGAGCCCCAAATCAGGGTGATGGGCTGCGATACCGCTTTGCGCACTCTTGAGACGAGACTTCGATTTGCGAATTCTCAAGATTCTGTCCCAGTTTTCATCAGGCTTGTCCTCCACGATATGTCGGTTATTGTCAGCTGTATGCAGGAAACTAGCAAACATGCTCATTCCCTCCACAATGAACTTGAAGAGATTTTGGCATTCACCAGCCAATCGAACCGTGCTGCAGTGGAGTGGGGTCAGCGCGATCGCTCATGGGAAGCGCTTGCCGATACCATTCTCAGCACGTTGGGCAATCAAGTCCATCAGCTGAACCAAGCAGTTGGAAATTCGAGACGCCCAGTGCGCGCCCGGCACACAGACTTTTGGAGATATGTCGATAGTCGAATGCCAAAGTCCGGTCATATGAACCATATTGTCCGTCTAATTGTCAGCAATGCCCCAGTCAAACAAGAGGCCCTATCCAATGCCACTGGTGCCTGGCTTTCCTACTCGACACCAGGGTCAGATTCAATGCCAACCCAAACGCAGTTGAAAAAGCCCAGAAAATCTATAAAAGGCTCAAATGGCAGGAAGTCCTTAACGCTATCATCAGAACTCACTGCCGGCGCCGGTGTAGTGCTTGGCTCTCATGGTTTCCAACGCCCAATTCTAACACTAACCGAGAAGAAGGACCAAGAGATATGGGCTGACCTGTTAGATGGACAAAATCAGGTTCCCTGGAAAGATTTCAATGCCTTCCTCAGCCGTCTGTCTTTTCAAATCATGCGCTCCGGAGGAGGTGGCTCGGGACACGTATACACTCGCACTGAATCCGACGGGACGTGTCGTAGGATTGTGTTTCATCAACCTCGCGGGAAGAGGATCGACGAAATAGAGAAATCTTCCTACTGGGCAACAAGACTTTCAAAGAAATACATATTTCAAGTCACCCATGATGCTTCTACTTTTCCGTTTGCGGAAAAGTAATAAAGATATCTAGGTGGCTTTACATGTTGATTTCTAATCAACTTGGACTTTGTGGTGTATACATAGCCTCATGTTTCCCTCTGAAAAAAAGAATTAATCATTCCTCTGAAATATAACACCCGCGACTCGCCGTCTCCACGAATACTCCAATATTCCTTAATGACGATAAATTGCGTCCACGCCTTCGATTATTGTAGTATGGAAATGCTATCACAGGGCACCTACGAGATTTATGACTCGTAGTCAAGCTTCACAATTATCCCAACATTGGCCAAAGTGCCCAAGAATACCTTCGTAGCCGTCATACCTAATCCTTATCCGAGGCTGTTTCTATCGTGCCAGAGTGTTTCAAGAATACTTTGGCGGAAAATCTGGGTCAACCGGGAATAGCTCGAATCTTACTAGAGAATATTCGGGACGGGGTTGAAACCGTGAAGAAAGCGACATCAATTTCGAAGTGATATAGAGTAAATCGCGCTCGCGTTAGGAGCGGCTCCTGTGTTCTTTTGGTTGCATGTATTTACCATGTTGAATAGGGCGGCTTTATCTCTCATTTCACTTGAATGCATTCTCGCTGGCCGATGCAGTTTCTCCCGCCCGAAATCGCTCAGCTAGTTGCGCAGTTTCTAATCCTCGTCCAACCATGTCGACCGAGCCTGCAGCAGAACACTGCGATCCCCGAGGCCATGTCGGACTATCTCTGGTCGCATGGGCGGGAGCCCTGGCATCCAGCCCGGGTGACCGAGACTGTGGCCGAGACAAGCCAGCAGCTACTCGGGGAGCTCTGTTAACCTCACATCTTGTGATACGAGCTTTTCTTCCTGATACAAGAATTAAGGAACCGGAGATGAGACGGACATCCTTGCGGTTTGGTCTTGGTATTCCTTTTTTGCAGTGTCTAACTGATGTCTACGGCGAGGCTTAATGCAAGTATTCTTTCCCTTCTAGTGCTTTCAAAATAGCCGTTAACTACACCGAGCGAAATGTTTTCATGAGACTACACATAATCGTGGCAGGGCTGAGCTGACCGTTCATTGAAACCAAGCTACCCTATGAAGGGGCGGAATGGGGGGTTATCGAGGATACCCGGGAATCAGGGAGTGAGCAGTTTAGATGACGGGGAGTAAAAAGGTTCCAAGAAGGAGTTTCTGGCACAACGTTGACAAGACCAATACACGGGTAGAGAAAATCAACGTGAGCCCTCATAATAAGGTCGGCCAAACCCTCAGGGCGCCCTCTCTCCTAATGGGATCCGTCGTCAGAGTTACAGATGTTCAAACACCCCTACATCATCAGAGCAGTTGCACCTCTTTCAATGGTCCCGATGGTGTCCAATCTCCCGAATATATCACCCACTGTTACACAAACACAAACATGGATCGCTCCCCGGATTTCTGCCCGGTGTCCTCCTTCCTAACGGCATCCGTCGTCAGAGTTGCAGAAAACCGCCCGTTGACAAGCTTGCTTTTGTTTTTGACGGAGCCGCCGTGCGAATGATGCTCGCGAGTCGAGGACGACTCGTAAGTGCGGGCGAAGTCGCCATTGAAGACCAGGGCGGAACGAACCATGTTTGTGTTTGTGGAACAGTGGGCGATATTATCGGGAGGTTGGGCCCTATCGGGACTATCGAAAGATGTGCAATTGCTTCTAGAGGTGGTTGAAAATGATTAGCAAAAGGTAGCATAATCAAGTGAACGGACAGAGACGCCTTGATTTGCCCCGGTGGGTAATTCTGTCAAACGCGGTGAAGCGAACTTGGTCATCCCTGAGGAGGAAGGAGCGTGTCGCAAGCTCACGGCCGCGGTTATGAGAGTAGGTGGCGAGGCCCCATTTTACGGTGGTCTGGCGGAAGCTGGAGGGCAGGATCAGGGGTCAAATAAGGACCCAACGAAGAAGAATGGGCTCGCGGTCGTCCATCCATATCTTGTTAACGAACTGGAAGCTTGCGTTGGATTATTTCGTAGCCATCCTTATGAGAGGCTAACATGGTTTGCCAGCTAAACTGTATTCCTCGCCGTACTCATTACAGGTAAGACATCATATAACATAACCATGCAACCGCAAGCTCGATGAATGTCTCTTTTCTTTGAGTGTCTCCTTTCGTATGAGCATCATCTGGAATAAATACCGGAACGCTTTTTACCGGAACGTTTTTCAAGCAGAAGAAAGATTCAGCCATCTGAAGACAACTAAAAGTGGTTTCTTTTGTCACCTGGCAAATCATGTCACTCTCGTGGCTTCTGTAGTGTTCTAAAATCATTATTGGTTTTAGCAATGGCAGATGGCAATCACAAGCTCTTAGAAAGCAACACACCATCAAGCCGACACTGTACCTGTCGAAGCTCAATTGGAAGCCTTAGCATTCCGTACCACCATTCTGGGAAGCTCGACATGCCTTGCCCTGTAGGCTGCTGAGTAGGCGTATCTGTGTGAGGGTTGATTTCCTTTTGCAGCAGGCCCCATTCGTAGTGCGATGCTCTGCAGGAAATTCATTCTCTCTGTCGATCGGTCTTTGCAACTCCAACGGCAGGGTGTTGTGGCGCCAATGGGAAAGCTGCTCGTGGAGCACGGTAATATCTTCACAAGCGATACCGGCGGCTCCGGCGGTGGTGTTACACAGCTTCCCGGCAATCCGACGCGCAATAATGGACAAGCTGAGAATGGCATCGAGATAGCTTCCGGCCTCGTGATTTAGAAGATCCTCGGTCAAAGTAAACGCATCATCTGAAATAAGAGACATGCTCTTGTCATCGAGGCATTCGAAAGCATCTAGGCCAAACACGTTCCAATAAAGAAGTGTAAAACGCTCGTCAGCACTTGCAAACGATGCCGAAGGATCCAAGTCCCCGGGGCCGCGTTTTCGAGACTGCAAAGTCAACAACACGAGGGCATCGTGTGTCATGAACAGATTCCAGGGGTCATCTGCGTGTGTGTGTGCGTAGTCATAATTGAAGTCGACCATAAGGGCCATCCCCTCTAGAACATCAAGGCAGACCGGACCGGTGCGAGCTTTGGGGGTCATAGCCTTCATGAACTCTGCTTGAAACATTGTGGCGAGGCGCCGCTGCTTCTTCTCTTTGTTTTTCACCCCTGTGCATGGTATCCCGCGACAGGCAATGGCTAGGAGAAGGACTGGACCACACCGATCTGCATGAAAATCCTGCCAAAAGGCATCCTCTGGAATGAAGGGACGATAGATTGCCGGAAAATCAAAGTAGGCATGCAGCGACTCTATGAAATCGAGTATGCTGAGGTCACATATCTCCAGGAGACGTCGATAAAAGGCTACTGTAGAACTGGCTGGTCCAGCCAAGTAAACTTCGACGAAGTGGCTTTTCGCTGAACGAAATGCAGATGATCTGATATTGAAATGAGGGGCCTTTGGGATCACCACAGTGGTTGTCGGTCTTTCAGGGGCTGGTGAGTCATCGCTTTGGGAATCTGAACGTTGCGCAGCCAGCGGCGCAGTGCCCGAAGATCGGGCTCGAGGAGCACCGATGAAGACATGATGGAGGAACGATGACCCCTGCGAGTTGAGTTCGGAGAGGTCGGTCGAGCACCGAGCACTGAGCTCATCCAGTGAAAAGGTAGCAGCTGTGCCTTCTGACGACAAGGATGGAGGATAATTGCGGCGCTCCGTGAGAGCGCCAGGGTCTTCTTGGGGCTCTGTTGTGGGAGTTTCGCCGTGGAACGGTAGCTGGGGCAGCATGCTTGGCGGATTCCTTTCGTCAGGGGTGAGCCTCTCATCTTGCAAACTGCTCGGAGTGCTGCGCTCTAAGCGCTGACGCTTGGAGGTGCGAGCAGAATTCGGGCTTCCGATACAGCATTCGCGTTCTTTTCCAGCACATCATGAGCATTGTTCTTCTCCATGCTCCACCCGAGATGAAAGATCGCATTTCCGTTTCTTTTGACGGCAATTATTGCAGGACGCCCGCTGGCCTCCACGAGGCCTAGGTCGCATGATTATGAATCAGTCGTCTCGCACAATTCGCTTCCGAAGGGTAGGGAGATGGCAGACTGAGAGAATGCAAACGGAGATAGCGTAGAGGAGACGAGGGGCGTGGAAAGATTTTATAAGGCAAAATCGCGGAACAACTTAGTGCGATTACCTCCGCGTGGTCCTATCCACATGTCTCGGTGTATTCCTCCGTCTTCCGCATCCTCCGCACCAAACCCAAAAATTCTTCCGCATCTTCGGCGCGGTCCTCTCCGCATCCCTAGGCATATTCCTCCACCTTCCGCCGAACTTCCAACAATCTTCCGCATTTCCTTCCGCATACACTGCACTGTTTCGCATCTTTTGTACCCTATTCCCGGGTGCAGTCTGAGGCAGACTACAAGTGTCGCAATTAGTATTTTGGCGTATCCAATATGCTCATTTGGAAAAATATATCAGAATACGATCTTTTAACTTCGAGATGACTTGAACACCTAGTGAATGAATGTGGTTGGTTGGCCTCGACATGAAATGAACAACTAAATCTGAGCGGACTCTGGTTTTCCAGCCGAATATATATGTGTAATACCCTATACCCTACGTCTTGGGTGGTGGTGGTGTTTGTGTGATGTATCGCGGTCGCCTCAAAGTGGCACTTATCACAAGGATTCCTGATGCTGGACCGCTGTAACCATCTATCCGAATACTCAAAAAGGTTCTAATTATATAGACCACGAAATGGAGGGTGTAAAAAAAACATACGGAAATCCGAGCTCCGTTCAAGTCCAGAGTCCGGTATCCGGTCACGTGTTCAGATTTCCAAACCCGCCAAGCCCCAGCCTCCCCTTTTCCCTTTCTCTCTAGGCATTTCCTCTTCACCTCTCCTTCCCACATCATCGTCCTGTGAAGGAAGTATTGCTTTTTGTTGTTCGCGTCTCCTGTTCTGTCATTCCTGTGACTGCACAGGACTCTCCGATTTCACTTGTGGACTTCGGATTGGGCATGTACTCGGGGCAAGGCCGCAAGAGCTTTACCACTTTACTCGCATCTTCTTGTTATCATTACTCATCCGACATTTTACGCGAGTCAGGGCTGCTCAACGCTATTCGAAAGCCCGGGTGGGAGGGCTACTCGATTCATTGAGGGTTCCCCTTATTTATCCAGCGAATATTGCAACAACACCATGACCAACGCATCGCCAAACCTGGCCTGGGTTTTCGAGAAGGCAATACTTGTTTATACACCCGATTTCGATGTTTCTTGTTTTGCTGTCCTTCGTATTGCCCATGATAAAAGGGCCAACCAAGGATCTATCTCCCTTAAGATTACGACAGAACTCGCTAACCTAAGCGGCAGATCACCGCTGGCGTTGAACATATCCCCAGGAATAGTCAAAAAGTGTATATTAGCCCGGAAAAGCAACCGCCGCCTCTGTCCGCCTGGTTTGTTTTCCATGCTCCCGGCGCGTGTCAAAAGAGTTTCGGCCGTCTCAACACTGAGCCTGACACTTAACAATACCGGCATTGTTCTTTGTCCGACCGGGACGGAGTCTCTAAGCCCAGCCAATCAAGGAGACTTGAACTTCGATGCATTCGCGAAAATTTGTCATTCCACATCTCTACGTCTATACATTTCCCAACGACAATTTGCGGACGAAGAACTTGATCAGCTAGAAACTTTCTCGGGTGCCTTAGAAAGCCTTCAGGCAACGACTTTTGAGAACGCTCGGCATGGCATGGAGGAGAAAGGTTGTGATGTCTTTGCTCGGTGGCTCAATCCAAATCCACCCCCATATCCTGAGGAGCGCGTGTCTGAGCAGGGGAATCCACCCGTATATTGCCAGCATGTTGGACAGTTGATTGGAATAGAACGGCCCACAGGTTTCTTGTCACCTTCTTATCGCCTTTTGTACTTTGTCGTTCAATAGCTCATTAATAGTGTCTAGGTTCAATGTCACCTGACGGTAAATCACGAAAGAGACTGCTCCCTACTTCTCCTGAACAGCTAGGCTCTTCATCTCCTGAAGCGCTAGGCTCTCCCACCGAAGCCAATACACCGAGTACTTGCTCCTCGTCACCGTCCTTAATCCGCCACACTGATTTTACAATTGCTTCCTCTCCTGGCCGCACAAAGCGTAAGAGACTTGCGCACCTTGAAGAGGAGCTCCGTGGAGTTTCCGATGAGGAGTTATGCCAAGTATTAATTCGATCGGGACGGCGATATCTGCTAGCCAAAAACAATTATGAAGACAATGATCTGCCATCCGAGTCTGAGACAGTCGAAAATGCCAATGTCGAGATGCTAGAGCGCCGCCTCAAGCACAGCCTCAAACAATATGTCGATGAGACGATTGAGCACCTCAAATCACAATTTGTCGGTGATATTGTCGAGAGTGCTTTGAATGAGTGTGATGAAGCGATTGAGGGACGATACAGAACTCACGAAGCCGACTTGGAGGAACAGGTCGACGACTATAAGGTTGACCTAGGCATTACGGCCAATGACTGTACGAAGGAAATAGAAGAACAAGCGCTACGGTGCATGGATGATATCGAGCGTCAGGGACTCAAGATTGAGGAGTCTACGACAGAAAGATTCGCAGAGCTCACGCGCCGCTTGAGTGATTCTGCCCAGTCCCTAATTGATAGCAAGTCAAGCCCAGGCCAGCGGCGCACTGAGGGCACTAAGGCTAGACGCATTTCCATTTAGATTTGGTTTATATCTCCTAGGATTGTCGTTGTACACTTGAGTTCTTTATTAGTCCGCTAGAAAGGCAAGTGCCGAACGGACTCCTAAGCGAGCAGGCCACCCTAGAACTTGACATCTATGCCATGGGGGCGTGCCATACTACCACGATGGGCGTTCCTGTCTAGGGGTACATGTGGGAGCGTCCAGACTATCAAGAAATCTTAGCGCCAGGAAGATCAATAGGCCACCGTCTGGGTCATCGAGGATGCCATTTAACGTTCAACGCCGTTCGTCGTATGCCGGCGTTTATTTCATCGCAGTATCAACTCGTAACGTATCCACATTCGACGGCCCGGTCCGTCCTACGAGCCTATGGTCTCCGGCCCACCCTGTTCCACGGGGTGCTGGAGTCTGGTTGACTCCAAGTTAGGGTTTCCTCAACTATGGTCGAAAAGTGGGCCACACGTTAGACATCAATCTGCACCAGCCAAAGCGCTCGATCAACATTTGCGAATCGTTCCAGCAGAAGGTGTGGGGCTCATTCGAGCGCGATGGATGTTCGTTTTGTGATTCGCCCAGTGCGGAAATACCGATCCTAGAACGTGGTCTTAGCTAGACGCGTCTAATTATACTCTAGATAGTGGTAGGGTACCAGGTGAAAATTTCGAATTTACTTTGTTCCGGGGAACCGTTGGAATGGAGACGTGCTGGTAAAAGTGGCGTTGACCGCAGGGCTAGTGTCCCGGAGCTAGGACATGTGCGTGAAAACGCGCACCTGGAAAAGAAAATAACATGTATAACGATTAGCTTAATTGACTATACTGGGCTCATCTGTTGAAAAACTCTACCCCGAAACCGTCGCATATTCTAGTCTTGAGTTTGCGACCGCAGACGAAACCCCTGTACAAGCTCAGAGGATTCAGCCTTGCAGGGAACTCTAAGCCTCTTTGTGGAAAGAATATTTGGTTGAGGAGTAGCCGCTATAATATCTTGTCTCAACCTTCAAGCCCGTGGATTACTAGACTTGCGGATACGGAACGGATCCCTTGCTTTCGAGGCCTTTGTATCCCTTGAATTGGTCGGTGAGTGACCTGAGCCGTGGATCCCGTGTATGTCTCGGCATTGGTCCTAGTTGAGGGCCTTATTGGAGTTATCGGCGGAACTCGACTCCGGTGAGTTGTTAGGCCTATTCCATCAAAGCACTTGACCAGCATCTGTACCGCGGAGGCGCGCTCGTCCGGATTGACTCTCGCCATTTCTTGAATAAAGTCAATCTTTTGATGCTGCGACCAAGATGGCCTGATGGGCGTGTTGGAGACACTTGAACTGCTCTGAGCTTTCACGAAACCCATCGATGTCCAGTGTCCATGCCATGGTTACAAAAAGGGACCAGGCATCCATCTTGTGTGTCTGGACCTGATTCTGAAACGCCTCGGGGGCCATGTACAATGGACTCCCAACAGAAGTTACGGCACTGACAGTGCTGTTGCACAGACCGAAATCGCCGAGCTGAAACTGAAATTGCGCACTTGGCAGCGAAGAATAAAGAATGTTTTCGGGCTTCACATCTCGATGAACAATGCCTTCCGCGGCGAGATAATCCAATGCGTGAGCATCTGGTGGAAGACGTAGTGGGCAAGGCTGGTGAGGGACGGAATCCGACCTTTGAGAACCAACGATCTAAGGGTGCCATCCTTGAGTCCCATGAATATCTCTATGTTGAGATTTATGGTAGCCGGCCATGGTTTATGCCATGAATGAGCCATGACGGCAACCGCAGTGATTCATCGCCTGGGAAATCTAATTAGGACTAGCTGAAGGCAGAGTTTTCTGGTATGTAAGGAGATTCTGACACAAATGAAAATCTCCAGACTTAAACACCTCGGTAATCTATTGTTAGATTATCTATATTTTACGGTCGTACCCGTCATCATTCCTACTTGCATCGTATCTCTTTTAACACTCTACAGATGGTCCGTCCCAGCCTTGGGATGTGATATAATCGATAATGTGCAGCTAGGACAGCGTCAGTTCAGAGTACGAGCCCTGGACGGCTTGGAATGATGACTAACGTGGCATATGTGCGATAAAGTCTCCACTTCGCGTTTCAGCGCATAATACAATAACTGCCTCCACTCAGCCTCTTTTGATGCTCGGTGAGGTTTTTGTAATATCTTAACAGCGAGAAACCTGCCCGTGTCGATATCGATGGCCTTATATACAACTCCGAATTGTCCCGACCCAAGTGTGGCAACCTTTGTGTATCTCATCATCAGTTGTCGAGGGCCTGGAGAATGGATTCTGGTTTGCCTTTGAGATGGTAAAACCGTTGCGTTTCGACAGACGCGCACCGTCGCACACGTCTTGTCAGTCGTACAATTCAATACGATCTCAAAGCCCTTGCGGCACTTCCGAGATGGAGCAACGCGGTGATCGTTGGCAATGGCAACTGGAGAAGGATCATCAAGAAGGATCATCAAGCTTCACGATCCGATCGGCAATTTGACGCCCAGGTCGACGAGCTAGAAGCGTGCATAATTGAAGGAATCGAAAATCGAAAGTTTGCCGTTCCCGACGGCACAAATATGCACAATCTCGCCCGAGACAGACACTAGCACAGCACTCAAGCTCAATGTGTTTTCTCCCCTGGAAAAAGCAGAGTCATGGTCCAGTCAACCGTATAACGGCAGCATAATACAACAGCACGTTGAGCGACGAGCAAGACAGAAGCACAGAAACGAGGCATCACGCCCATTCCATCAGCTCATCTACCAAATATCAAAGGAGCGAGAACAACTTCAAAGTGGCTCTCCAGATGATACTGTTCTTCTTTCTGCCCCTCTGGATATCAACACCAACGCTTATAATAACGTGAAACGTACCTGGGTCAAAAGAGGCATTTGGAACGAAAAATGGGGCATATTGCCAGGAATGCTATGGAAGCACGAAGGACCTTTACAGATGCCTGACACGGATTTAGATTTGAGCCAAACAAAGATCACGGAGAATGGCACCGGCAATTTGATTACTGTGCCTTGGCGAGGCGATTTTCAATTGCCCCCAAGCCGACCCATGGGTTTTAAAGGCCGTTCAGATTTACTTTGCACTGCTGCACAAAAATGGACTAAATATCAATTTCAGCACCAGCAGACCTTTCTGCATTGTCAACAATGGGAGACCGTATTGGGCGCATGGAGTCCACTGAGCATGGTCAACACAGCGCCGGCCTAGTTTTTAGTCCCAGATACTCCTTATCTTTGCTTTTATTGTCGACCAATCTCGTCGAAAGTCCAACTAAACAAAGATCATAGGATATACCTCATCAAAGAATCCGCGGCTTCAGTTATCTCAAGATACGAAAAATATTTCGTCTCGCGTAAGTGGAAAACAAAACCACAACATGAGACCAATCTCTAGTGTGCGTGCTTCACATTTGATGCTTTAGACAACACAAGCCAGCTTGGAGTGGACGATACTGTATTAGAATACGTCATAAGCGGAGATTTGAAAAATTATGAATGGGGGCTGACATAGTCAACTCCGATCACGCCAATGCGATTCTGATTAGAACCAATACCGACGACTCCTTGTCTTTGCCACTTGAGCATGACGTTTTGAATTACTGTGCGTGATGTCACGGATTTGGTTGCATTTATGATGAGTTCGTGTTCCGTGCACAGCAGCAAGATAGATGGAATTCTCACTTTTTAAAGACCTCTTGAATAAAATCTGCAAACCAGACTTGATGGACGCCCAGGAAAGTCTCATCCAGCGACTCCGCTGCCCGAACTCTACGCAAGACACCCTCGTCGAAATTATCAGCCAGTATTTGACTCCGGAAAAAGCAGTTCCGATAATTCAACAGTTTTTGTCTGACGACTGGGTCACTAATGGACAAGTGCTGTGGAGCGGCGTGCCTTACAATGTGGCCTTACAATGGGCCAAAGATCACAATATACAAACCCTGACCACTGCAATGGGGCCTATGATGAGAAAGGAATGCACGGAATGCCGCAGGACGGAGTTGTCCGCCCGCAAATGGAGTAAATACATTCATGGGGCTTCAGCAATCTTCGCGTGGCGCATAGCTCAGGACCAAACAGTCACGCTGTTGTCCCCTCCACCACCTGGAAGGTTTCACCCAACTGGCTTGTCATATTTTCAAGTGATTGAAGAGCCAATAATCAAAACGGTTTCTGGGCAAAATTTGCCATGCCGTATAATGATGGTGCATCCAACAGTACAAGGAGCTGCAGACTTCGCTTATGAAATATGGCCAAACGATGAAAGTCTTTTATGGATTGAGTGATTTGGTATGCAGCCAGGCCCGAGAAAATGGAGACAAACAAAGCAATTCGATAGAATACCGCAACCTCAGAGTTCTGAGGCTACATCAGTTCAGTCTAGTGGGCTGCCAGCCAAGTCAAGGCCGGTGGAACACGAAAAAGTGAGTAAAGCGTTCCATCCTGCTGTTACTCCCGCAGGTAGTTACAAGGCATTGAGTCTCGCGTACTGATTTTGCATACAGTTGATCTTCATTGATCTATTTGGCCCAATGTTCAAAGCTTTCAAAGCTTTCATTATACTATGCGCCCTGAAAGTTCATCCATTATTGACTTTAGGAATCTTGATCTGTCATCTCTTAAGTGTGGTGCACTTGGACATGCAAGTCCCATATGAAGGACCATCTTACACGGCCAATTTGCAGTTTCAAGAAGAACTGTCGAATTGGAGCTGTGAACTGAAGCTTCTAGGTTTTATCCTCTTAAATCTTGTGGATGTTGAAGACCGATCGCCGTACTGGGATCAGGCCGCGGATCTGATAACATTAGTGGATGAGCTCAGGCATGCTTGTGCCAGGTCTGATGGAATTCTTCGCAGAGCAATAAGCAAAAAGGGGTTAACTTATTTTGCCGAGTCGCTCAAGAAATTGAGGCAGATTCACAATGCTGCAGGCCAAAATTGCTTCTACGACGAACTGCAAATGATGGCCCTCCGAGAAATCAAGAAGGAACTCAGCAGCCAACTCCAATCAGTCATCTGGATATTGGCTCCCAAAGTCAATAAACATCAGGTATGAGCATGGATTTGTTTGGAATTCTTGGCTTCTAATGATAATCTTCCTAGGTTGATTTGGATGTAGGTATCTTGTGTACGCAACATGGCGATCTCCAGATATCTCGGATCGAGAAAATTTTCGTCGATGGCCAGCCTTTGCTACGCCAGTATCAACGAATTATCTGTGGATTGGGGACTAAGAGATGTCACGCGGGATAGGAATGCATCAGAATTACCAAAGAGAGCGTGATATTTTGTACGACCCTTGCTCATGATGTAGTGTGTCAGCCTTGAGACAAGCTTGTTTTTCATCGGTTTCCCACATCGGTTTTGTATGCTGTGACTGCTGCTAACACTATGTTCTACGTTACCATGGAATGTTCGTTTGACTAGGCATCATGCACCACTTTCAGTGTGTTTCGTGAAACGTTGTTCGAAAATGAGATTCAAGTTGACTTATGCTAGACCAACGCACCTCCTAATTAATGAGAATGAATACCTTGTTACGTTCGATCAGTATCAAACCAGAGGCGCGTACCTTTTCCCGAGCCTGGCAGCGGATTTTGCCCATTGCAATTAGGTACTGTCTTAACGGACTGACCTTTTCCTGTTGGAAGATCTTTAGAGTATACTTCGCAACTAAATACCACTATATATTAATTGACGCATAGTCATAATGTGAAATGACCCCGAGCGTCCGAGAAGGGCTGAACTAATGATATAATCGCGGTTGGTATTATTACTCAAATCTATTAAACGCGGAATGAGAATAAGGAAAGCGAAAGCTAAGTGAAAAAGAAAAGAAGAAAAAAACAAAAGTCAACGCCAAGATCCCGTATGCCGAGGTCAGAGAAGCGGTAATAAATCTGGCAGCGCGCTACGAAAATGTCGGGTTTCAAGTTTATGTGAAATAAGCTATCTATCCTATATATCCTAGCAATAGTATGGCAGTAGAATTTTTTATAAACTGACAGTCGCTCACCTTTTGCTTTGAATCATACTTGGCGCTTATCAGTAGATCAAGCGAAGGCAATTTATTTTCTTTATATACAAGCGACAATGGAAATTTGGGTATCAAATACAGAACAGGATCGCTAATTAAATGGTAGAAAATGTATTCGCATCTGTGAATATGCTGGGTCTCGTATTGAATACCCGAAAACTCGAGATGCCATATTCTGTTGTGTGACCGTTCAATCAAAGCCCTTTATTTGGGGGCACCCCTCCTACTCTATCCTTTTGGCTTCATTCCCTATGTCATGCGACTAGAAATTTCTAGACCGATAGACAAAACAAGTCTCAAATTCAAGCAGTCTGTGTACAATGGAACTATGATTGACCAATCGCAGCGGTACATTTGGGGGCACCCCTGCTTGGGCCTCCTGCTTGGCAGGACCCACTCGCGCAGAGCGGAATGGCGCTGACATGTCCACGCGAAGCATAAAACGGCTGGAATTCGCGATCCTGCTTTCCTCTTCTTTCTATCAGGGGTGGCGGGTCTCCAATTCCCCCTCTTCGCTCTTTTTCTGAATTTTTCCTGCTACTAAATACATCCGTACTTCGTGTTTTAAATCTGTCTTTCGTTATCTCCTCTAATCACTCCTTTGCAAGAAGATACTTTTTCTGCTCTGCACTTATTGGGAGACTGAGTCGTCTTACCAACCCTCCAATATATCAATTTTGTGATCAATCTACAACCCGGGGATTCAAAAATACGTGGAACTCTTCTTATCCCATTTTTTGATAGCGCGAACACATATCAGAAAGACCACCACTAGCCACTGATCGACAGATCAATTCTCTTAAATCACAACAACAACTTTCGGAGACTTTTGATACTGTCAACCCAGCCTGGCTTAGCAAAGCGGACGATACTGGTCCCCTTCCATATCTCGATTCAACAAGTCACCCCCGGTTTGTTGATAACACACTTGATGGAGAGCAACAACAACAGCAAGATTCTTTGCGACATCTAGGAGGATATTCTCAACATGAAGAAACAGAGAGAGATCATTTTGTCTCCCAAGAATTCTCGGGTTCATTACAGTCTGAGCTACCTTCACCACCGAGCAGAAACCGCAACTCAGTCACTTCCCTGCAATGCAAACATTGTGGTGAAAGATTCGAACAACTCGGGCGGCTCAAGTATGTCTTATAATCTCTTCGATTGCCTAACAACCCTTTTGGCATATTCTGACAAATCAAAAGCAAACATGTCAAATACCATGAACGTCTCCATATATGCCCCGTGGAGGGATGTGAGTATGCACGAAGCCAAAATGGATTTGGCATCAAAGAAAGCCTCATACGGCATATGGCATCCAAGCATTCAGACCCCATCTCTATCACGAAGACCATGGCCTGTTGTACCCGTTCTGGTTGTGCCCTTGCAGGGAAGCCAATGCGTAAAGATAAGCTTAGACTGCATGAGCAGCGCAAGCACAGATTGGACATGCTTGGTTCCTGAAGTATGTAAAATTGCAGGCGTGCTCACTAGTTTGTTTATTTTTCTACCTCGAGCTCTACTTAGATTATTGAACAGACTCTCTTTCACAATCAAATCAAACAATTTTTTGCGAAGTCATTTCTTACCATGTTTTCTGGGCATGGGGAATGAATCAGCCTGGTTCAGAATTAATAGAAGATGGCCGAATCGAAGATTCCAGTAGACATGGTGACGGTTGCCGCCCGAGGCCATAGAGAGAGGGAATGCGATTATGCGTCGGCCGAGATCCTTGTTGGGCTTGTTTTAGAGGCAAGCGACCTAATGTATGATCATATTACCTTGGCAAACGGTGGGTTTATCTGCAGAATAAAGGTTATGCGGAGGCGGATGCCTGAACTGCCTGAGTAACCAGCCTCAAAATCTTATTAGAACCAAACACAAACACTAACAGATGGCTACACCCTGGTCAAAAATTAATAATTCAAAGTGGCTGGGAAGCGGTCAAGTTGAGATTGCGGGATGAACACGCTAAGGTTGGTAATTGTAGAGAATGTCAACGATCGATGAATCGGTAAGGTCTCGTACGTAGCAATGGATTCTAGGGGGCAGATGTCGGGAAATGGATCAGCCCACCACAAGCACTAAGAGGGCTCTATCCCACGGGGGTGGTGCAGTCAGCCTGACTGCAGGTGAGGGTTTTTCCTTAACTATGGGCGAAAAAGCTTGGCACAGGGCTGACTGCAAGTGAACTTTCCCGACCTGACTGCAGCTGCTTTTCTCGCTCCGATCGGTCTGAAAATTTAGAAAGTTATAATAGACGTAGTTAAATACCCTCCATTTCACTTTCAGATCATACAGTCAAATAGTACTTGAGTAATTCGCGATTGAAAATCGGAGATAGTTTTGATGGGGTGCCGCCAACTGGGCTACTTAGGGTTGCGACCGGAGCCTGAGGCGTCACTTAGGGTTTTCGACGAATTGTATGACCTCGATTATCTAGTCTACAAGGATCAGGAGGGGTAGAGAATCATTCAGGGGGTAAAGACGATTCCCATTTAATCTCAGAATCATTTCGGACCCGATTCACTCCATATTCAGTACCGAACATCCATTCCAATCCACTTGATTTATCTACGCGCGGATAAATATATCTTCTATCGACAATGGAACATCAGCTTTTTCATCAGCCATCGACAGACCCAGTTATCGTTTGTCAGCGATGCGAGCATGGTATTAGACCGAAGCAAGTGGTCGCCCATCTCCAGGGCACGCATCATCGACTCAGTCTCGCTAGGGCCCGTTTAGTCAGTGAGACTATTCAGAATTGGGATCGTATAGAGGAATGTGAACAGTGGGAGCCACCTAGTGTTATAAGCACCCCAATTCCTAACTTACCTATTTACTCCGACGGCTTACTATGCACCAAAATCCCATTATGCTCATTTATCGGACGTACGGTAAAGACTATACGCCAGCATTGGCGAGATCACCATAGCTGGACTGCTCCAGTCAATAACGTTGGCGGTGGCAGGAAGCAGCCAGGACCATCAGCAGCCGAGCAGCAGATTCGCCAGTTTACGCAAGTCGTACGCTGTCAGCGGGCATTCGGCCAGGGGCCAGGCTCCCACTACATTCGCGTCCGTACGGGCGGAGTAGAGCCCGTTCCTAAGCCGATTGCCCCGACCGTACTCGGTGATCAGGTTCTCGACCAAATAGAGCAGGCTTTCACCGAGCGACAGAGTCAGCCCCAAACTATCCAGGCTAGTCAGCGGGACGAAGCGAATCCATGGCTTCGACGTACGCAGTGGGCGGTTTACCTACGGGGGATTAACCCGCAAGATCTACGTGACAGCGTTCAAGCGCCCAACGCCAACTCAGCGATTTCGGCCGAAAAAGCAGCTTCGGCAATCTGGGACTCGATGGCCGTTATAGCTCGAATTAGCCAGTTGATTTGTACGAAGACTAGCCAGTCGATTCGCACTGAGGCAGTCCGTACGGAGCGGGACCGATTACCGCATCAGCCACTGCAAGCGTATATGGACGCTGAGAACATCGACCGACACACGCTGCCATGGCAGCAGATTTTGATGTTTTTCGCGCGTACGCAGGCCACACATGAATGGAATAGTCCGAAATACCGATTTTCGAAGCGCCAGCGGGCAGCGTGGATTTGGCGACTAGCTCAGTCGGGGGTCGATACGTCACCCAGACGCTCCGATAGGGCTAGTTCCGCCGGCAGTAGTGAGCAGTCAGCTAGTAGCGAGTATTCAAAGAGTGATACTGAGCTACGTCTAACGGAGGAACAAGTTTGAGAAGGGTGGTATCTGTAGAAGTTTGAATCGTTTTGCCGAGCGATTCCAATACTGCTTTTAAAGATTCAAGTTCACTCGCCAAATCACGCAAAGGCTTCAGATTTGGTTTTAAAGTTTGAATCCCTTCGAGAAGATCGATGCTGGCCTTGGTTGCCGAATCTACTGAGCCCATCAAGGTGCAGGGAGGACCAACCGCATTTGCCATTGATTTAAGGGACATGTGAGGAACTTAGATGAGCAAACAATTCCTCGATATAACGGGAACCGAACGTATTTATGGGGGCTCTCAGCCGCCAAGGTCAACTGATCTGAAAATCTGATATGCTTTGTTTCTTGACAGCTTGAGAGCTGCCCCGCGGCGCGCACGGACCAGACCTAGGGAGGGTGGGAGGCTACTCAGCCAGGCTTTTTGTAGGCTTTTTACAGGGTACCTTTTAAAATGAGAAGTGATTCCTGTGTAGATGAGGGCGTACCTGGTGATATTGTTATTGATGGGAAGAGATATCTTTATAGCCCGCTTCCTTTCTGCCCCGTATATTCGCCGACGGCGTGTGACTGTACTTTGATCGCGGCAGTTCAGGCCAAAGACTGGTCGATTGGGTTTATTTCTGCCATAATGTAGTATATAAGGGCCACCAGCGCCTACTGAAACTGAATGGGGTCGTCTAGTCTCGTCGCAGGCAATGTGCTGCGCATTCTTTGCAGGCATTTTCGTCGTCAACTCATTCGAGAGGCTCTTTTGTCAAATCGATGTCTCATTTCTAAGACTACCGATCGGAGTAACTAATTACTAGATTACTTGCTCTACATTGAATCGGATAGAAAGTTGTTTTTCACCGAGGGACTAAGGGGCGGTCAAGAGCCAACCTTCTCAGAATGGATCACATTGATCAGGATGAAGCTAAAAATCAGAACTCTTTTCCGTCCCCGTCTTATTCTCGGAAGCCCACAAACCCCCTCTCACCCCTACTGAGCGCTGAAATACACCACAAGAGCTACATATGAGAGCAAAGCCGAACCGGGCTTACAAAATAACGGCACATGGTCCTCTGGAATGAACTGAGACAAACACAACCCCATTATCTATGCATACGATACCGACCAGATAATCTCCAGCTAGGATCAGCCACCCAAATAAATGCCTCAGACAACACTCACATGTTCTTGATGTCCTCTTCCTTCATCGAGCCAACGAACTGCCGTGAGCTGCCACTAGAGATTGCTGTCCTGACCTCGAAATGGCCCGGGGAAGTAGCCACTAGTGTCTGTTCGCTGCCAAGGGCAACTACGTTCCCAAGATAAACGTTGCTGACGATGTGTACAACTGGCTCCGGACACAGACCGGACTGTGCAAATGACGCATTCTGCAGCATCTAGAATGTTGCAAAGCCCCAGAATGAAGCCACCACCTGTCTGGAGGTGCCAAGAATCCCAGGAATATATATAGGTCTATCTCCTCGGAGTAGAATGAATGTTTTCAATAATCATCTAAAGAAACCCATCTACATAAACTTCAATTGACTTTGTCTATGGAAGATATGACCATGTCTGCGATATTCTGCTGCACTACTCCATCTCCCTATCAGCCATCACATCTTTTGCATGATGAAAAGTTCGAGCCTTTTGTCTCGTGGGCTAAACGATCCCAGTCTTCTCCCGCTGCAGACTCAATCCAGTACTTTCTAGACTCCAAAAATTTGCCAGCTTTTGCGGTTCAATTGGTTCAACAAGTCAATTATGGCGCCCTTGAATCCAAACGATATTTCATCCCATCTCCCAGCATCTGCACCCCCGCAGCAGACCGGGTCGGTATTGAATTTGTGGAGGTTACCGAGCAAGACCTGATAACGGGTAATTTTCAAAAGCTCAACTCGTATGGTCCATCTAAATCCAATTTTTTTTTTTTTTTTGGGCTAAAGAAGCTCAATGAGTGAAAAGTTACAAGAATTTCAAATGTACCACGCATAACAAGTTCTTCGAAGTCAATCTCAACCAAAAGGATCCCATCAATCAGCATCACTGGCGGGCCAATATTGCGAGACCATCACAAGATATCGATCTAGCTCTCAGGGATGGTAGCTGCAAGAGACAGCACCCCACAGGAGAGAACAAGAATCCGAAGAATGCGTCATTTCTTCTTGAAGGCGAAGCGTCAACATCTCAGGTAAGTCATTTCAGTGTGCGAGTCGGACAGCTCGGTGTTAAAACTTGAGATAGGACGTCGATCAAAATGCCACCAAAGCAACAGATCCTTCGATTTTGGTGCCCGTTCTTGGGTTCTTACTCTCATCCGTTAGAGCAGATCTTGGGTCGAGCAGTCTCGTATCATTACTGTGCGTTGATTGGGCTAACAAAGAATTAAACCTCGATCTTGAGCTTGAACCCTTTTGGAAAGCAAAGTTGACTACTTCAAACATCATCATATTTTTTCATGATTGTTTTGAGCTGGAGGAAGATGGAGAGGTCGATTTAAGATCCTTGGTAGCTCATGCGATGCGAGCAACCCAACCGTCTCCAGGGCTCCAAGTACATGGACGACTCAGGCTCCAGCAAATCATCACTTGCGTACTTAATTCTGGACTTGCATCTAGATACGGCTGGAATATTACCGATGCATCGAAATCTACTTCTAAAACAGATGTCCTTGAGGAATGTTTGCGCAAAAACAAATTTTCACGAGGAAAGCCGGGCAACGAGGAGGTCGAAGTGAGCCAGAAAGTCCCACTGGACGAGGTAATGCTCCGCTCTGTTAATCCAAATATAACTAATTGAAATAGGATGAGGAGTTGAAATCAAAGATTCGTATGAGTGGGTATCAATACGAAAATAGAAATCGCGGTGACCAGGTCTACGATTATGATTTTGAACCCATACAAGATTATACAGCCTGTGACAAGGAGTGTGGATACTGCGGAAACTGTGATTATTAGAGAGCACGAGAGATACTTAAAGCAGTCTCATTTATTGCTCTTTTGGATCTATGGTCAAACTTCCCGGGCATCATTGCCAGAGAAAAGCAAATTCCAAATATTGTTTTCAATCATAGCGTGCAAGTCAAGTACTACATTTGTGGACACCCTTTCACGTATGGTAAGAGCTGGAACAGCCCTTATTGCAACGCCGAAAAACATCGATATCACGAATGTTAGAGTACAACATAATTCGGAAACAGACTTAGCTATGATCTCGTATTGAATTGAATTAGGCAAGGGGTTCCCAAGCAGCGCTGGTCTGCGCTCAGGGTGATTTGTTGTCGCCTATTTCCACACACTTTGGACTCGCCTTTAGAGCTCCGAAAGGAATAAATGAATGCGAATATGAATAAATGAATATCGTATTCACGCGAATAAGCGCATTATTCATATTCGCATTCATATTACATGTATATGTCAGTGGTAATTTACCACTAAGCCCGTTTTGGACAGGATTCACTAGAGAAGCTTACTAAGAAGCAAGCCCCTGAGTCTGAGTATGTATGTAACAGGGGACGGAGGTACTTAGAAGAGCAGCTGTTTAGTGATAATCCATTGCTACGTACGAGACCTTACCGATTGATCCATCGTCGACATTATATCATGCATTTTGTGCGCATTAATAGTTCTTCCGTTTCCCCGGTTTTTGTATTGCCCAAATTCACGTTTCCACCAGTCAACTTAAATTTCAAGTGCCATCACGGCCTCGGCCAAGCAGAAGTAGCAAATTTCTCCCATTCAAACCATGTTCCAGAGCTGTATACCCTATATTGCAGGCTCGGTAAGGTCTACGTAGTTTGTGTGGTCACTGTCAGTGAGTTCTTAATGGTAAGTGTCTATTTTTGGTAACCAGAAATGTGGTTACCGAAAGTCGAGCGAAATTATATATATCTACGAGACGCCTTCCTATATCTTTGCTGCTACAATTAAATCGACTACCATAATTTTACTTATTCCCGCCCGTTCTACTTTAAATTTAAGATACGACATAACTATGACCATTGACACGTTGAAACGCGTTTATAACGCGACTTTAAGTCACTTATCACCCAGGTCACAGATTGTTTACCATGAGAATCGCGTGTGAGAAACCGCCGCGTAGCAAGAAAAGACCTATCAACTTTCCATTTTGATGGGATTGCATTAGGCGAAAGCACATTTAAGATTCCCCATTCTTGTTTAATTCTCATTTTTCATTCCCAACCCGCGAGGCTATCAAGTATTATCGAGTGATACTGAAGGTGTGACATGCCTCGCTCCCAGGTACTGCTTGAACTACTGACACTAGCCAAATACAGAATGGCATCATAACCTAACCCATTATCGCGAAAGACGCGTGGTTTTCCACGTCGCGACTAAAATGCTCTGAATAATGGCATGCTCTCCCTACTCTCTGAGCTATGGGAAGGAAACATCTGTGAAATGGAGAGCCCCTACAACCATCAGAGCGGACGCTTCTTTCGGACATTGATAGAAATCTAGACGCGCCATCAGTGAGTTGTACCCACCGTATGATTGACGATGCAAGCGAAGAATGGGCTCTCAAGTGGTGGAAGGCGAATATATTCAGTTTTCCACTACGGCAAAGGCAGCTTAGGATTGCCTGCCGGTTCCATCAGCGGAGGTAGGGATTGAGCGCGAGTTGAGCAATGCCAGAGATGTATTGGGGCTCATGAGACACTGTCTGAATGCGGAGACTATGCGACGATTTATGATATTGAAGAACAGCATCAAAATAGATTTCCAGGCTAGTTATTGTGATAATATCCAAATACAAGGGGACTTAATATCTCAAGAGTGGTCAATTGTATGTAATGGAGTCTTAAGGCCATTAATTATGGTTGTTGTATTGCGATGTAACAATGTGAACGGTAATGTATGCTCTCTGCGTATATGATTAAATATGACTATTCAAATATTCATGAATATTGCGAATATGAATAGATCTCTTATTCATATTTATATTATGCAGTTCATATTATTCATATTCGCAAATATTCATGAATATTCATGAATAGTCATATTCCTTTCGGAGCCCTACTCGCTATCTTTGCATCTAGATCACCCCGGAAGGAACTGCCGATAAAGCTGTCAATGAGCCGAACTTTATTCAGCCGTTCGTCGCTAAGTTCTCACTGAGCTGGGGCAGTGAGCAGAGCTCGCATTTGCATTTGAAGTTGGATTTCTACTTTAGAAAATGCTGCCGTTTTACAAATTCCGACGTACTGGCCAGACAATAAATGGATATTTCTTGCCTCAATGTGCCGGAGAGCGTGAATGGTGAGCTCCCCAACATTCTCATTGGAAGTATTTTGGTATTATGTCTGCAGGAATGATTCATTCGGGACGCGTCGAGGAGCAAACCACCAGATACATCGTTCGAGCCTACTAGAGGAAGAAAATTGGTTCGCGCAGTGCAGTGCTGAGGGAGTGACTTTGAGTATCACTGTAGATGTTTGTGAGATCTAAGAAAGCAGCTCTTTAGTGAGTAATGAGGCGTTTTACTTCATTTTCAACGACAATCTCTAGCGCTTCAATATTGGCACCACCTCAAGCTACTATGAAAATTGGTATGTCTGCGGCTATCCTTTATGTTGCAACTTGTCTCTTTGCTTTTCCAGCTATTGACCTGAGAGCGTATGTCTTGCCTTACAGTTGGAAGACATCCTTGCTGACCTTTGCGGCATATCATTCATTTTCAGTGCTTGCTGCTTCAAAAGTGTTGGCAGAAAGAGGAAAGTTAAGATTTTTGTCAAACTGGCTCCAGTCGAGGAGAAACATGCCTCTCGAATCGGGATCTTGGAGAAGTTTGCAGCTGGTTTTATGGAGTTTTTCGTTCCAGCCACGGACCTGACAGGTCTAATTGAATCAGCAGTAGCACCTAAGCAGTATGGTATCCTAACCGCACCTTATTGCAATACCAGAAGAAAGAGCACTTAGAGCACTTCTTCAAGGAGGTTGAGCTTTTTCCACATCCGTGACATTCGTTACGACCATCAGACTCTGCTTCGATATGCTGAATTTGATCACTCAACCAAAGCATGTTTTGCAGCGAAGTTGGGAATATCTGCGTCAAGTAAACTTTATTAGCATCTTCTAGGAGTCAATCGAATGATATTGGGGGGTTTTACCTTCATCCTTGCCGGAACTTCATGACGAATACCCGGTTCGTCAAACATGAAAGCGTGCTGTTGTGCGTAGAGGATTGCTACAGTGTAGCCCCTTCGAATTCTCGCGGGCTCTAACTCCCTTCCTTGACCATCAGTATAGAAACATAGAGGAATCTTCCTCCCGTCGACATCGCTTATCTTCATGTGTAGACGGGTGAGAAAATCAAAGTCCACAATCTCCGCTAGAAAACACCAATGCCGATGTGGCTGGTCCGAACCCCTATAAAAACCCGTATCTACACCTCGATCGTCTGGGAGACCGCTGAACGAAGGGAAGGTCGCGCGGTTGTGAAGACCTCTCTGCGCCCCCGAACGTGGTGATACCTCCCTCTTCCACAGCCAGTCTTCGAACTCTGTGGATCCAAGTGCGTCTGGAACATCATCCCCTGTCGTCTTCCATTGCATTGAGATTCCGTATAGCGGTAGCTGTGAAGGATTTTGTGGCAGTGCCCCATACTCAATCACGTCTTTGCTATCACTACCGCCAGAAATTCGCCAACTTCGTACCGCTCTTTCTGCAAAGATGCGTCCTCTTGCCAAATCACCATGCACAATAGCAACTTGCGCAGCATCCAAATACACCCTGGACAAGCCTGGGTCATCCGGGCCCGTCATATTATATAGCTGAATCTCTCGGTCAAGGTAGCGCAGGGTTCGGAGAGGGGATGATAAGATCCCCTCAAGGCCACGCTGACCGACGAGACAATCCAGATGATTAATCTCTTCCAGTATCTCATCATTCCTCTGTATTTGTTTGGGTGGCAACGAGCAAATACGACATGAGCATGAAAACTTGAATTTTGCTCGTAGCGCCTCCTGTCGGGCTTGCCGGCTGTTTTGGACCGCTAGATAATATACTGTGATTTCTTCACCTTCGTTGATGTCTCGTAGGGCGTGGACAGTATGCCGCTTGATATTCTCGTTCCAACTCTTCTGGGTGTTGTTATCGCAAGCATGGTTGATGCGGCTTGCTTCGAGGAAAACTCCTCCTCCGATCCCGTCCTCTTCAATTGAGAAGGCATTTGTGCGTATGATCCCGATGTATTGTTCGGCGGGATTCTTGTAGGGATAAATATTGTGTAGAGAGAGGAATGCCAGTCGCTGTTGTTCAGTGAGCGCATTGACTTGCTGGCACATGTGTCTCTGTAGCTTTTTATTGCCCAGTTGGTCGTAATTATGAGGGACTCGGATGATAGCTTCTTCGCAGAGAATCCGCGTGCCCTGTCGAACCTTTATGGTTGCCACAAGACCTTTTCCCTTCCCTGGAACATCCTTCAACTCGTACATGTTGCCTTTTGCGCCGCGTATACACTTCTGTTTATAACCAAGCTCGATATTGAGTGCAGTATTCTTTCAAGAATTTGAAACTCGAGTTATATTTACGATATATTGTAGCAAAGGTGGGGTTGGGCAGAGTTGGGCAACCTTGCATATCGATATGCCGGTTGCGTACATTTTCACTCTGAAGAAGAGATACATGCACAATACAGGAGACCAGGAGCCAAAACGCCCCCGCAGATGAGGATCGAGTCGCCCCATACCACACGGTAAGCACACGCAACCATATTTCGATGATCCGCTCCAGAGCCGAGACCAGTCACTAGGTGGTCCCACACACTGCGAACAAGACAAGGGATTGAGTTGACCCGCCATTCTCCAGCTGCAGTTCATAAGCCAGATTTACGGTGCATCAAAACTAGAGCTGACAATATAAAATGTGGAAATGAGGGTGTTTAAACACAGGGTTATTTGTCGAACCCAGGAGTGGTATTTTACCACCAGGATAGATTTATGCATCAAGTACCCATTTTCTCTTTGTCTGTGTATGGTAAACGGGGTACTCTCGGCATACCAGCGTCGTAACACGCTAGGAAAGACCCCCGAGATCTGATAACGCTTCAACAACGAGATCCAGCTAGAACACGTCAAGGCATCTCAATGGAACACCTCAATACTAGCACATACCAGTATCTGTCAATCCGACAGTAGCTGATAAGTACATTGAGCTCGGTTCTTTGAAAGTATAAGGAGAGCTGATGTATTCTCTCTCTGTTGCCATTCGCTTCCATCTGCTAATACAGAAACCTCGACTATCATAAGTTGCACGGAAATGAGACCCATTCAACACGTTTTGTATGTTATGATGTTGAGATGTGCGGTGCATAGAAAGGACTAGATTTATATCGTAGACGTCGGCAACCCTTGGAATCACAAGGAGCCTGAGTTCACAGATCAATTAAAGATTGTGGAGCACAAGCCATCCCAAATGTCATTTCTCAGATATCGAGACAGGAATCTCACGTATACGTATTCTGCTACTTGGTCCCCCTTATCCCATCGACCGGATGGGTTAAAGGGGTTGGCTTTTGTTCTATGAGTGCGCAACACTCGAAATTTTAGGCCATGGAAAAGGCTTAAACTACGTCCCAGCAGCAGGGGAAGAATGAGCGTCAGAAATGGCGCCGCTTCTTCTTGTATTAGGCCCAGAGCTTTATTTATATTAGAAACTGGATCAAATTGTGACTGTTTAATTTCAAAGTCTTTTTTCAAAGGGGTTTCAAAGGTTGAAGGCAGAAATGGGGAGCTTGTGGGGGATGTCCAGGGATTTGATAACCTTATGTGACGGGTTTGACGGATCGGGAAAGAAAGCCCACCCGAGTCCGTTGAATTTCAAAGAAGAGTAGCTTGTTATAATTGGAAAGTGCATATCCGCGCAGGATATGCCTGCCTCAGGCAGGTACTGCACAATCTGGCAATTCTACTTACCTTCACTCTTTATGCTTTCTTATCAGCCGAAGAGTTGCGTCCCCTCACGCGGCGATCTCGTCGGTTGGGGATAGATTCTTCATCTGATGTCATCTCATTATCGTGGGTATTTGCAGTCGACTGACCTGGTCGGCTGAGCTTTCTGCGAGGCCGGAGAATGCGCCGAGAATGTCCCAAGACCTCATGTTCATCCAGGGCCTGGATCATTTGCATGCACAAGTCTTGGGCCGCAGTGCCCTTGACCTTGCGCTGGGCCTTCAACAGAGAATCATCTCCAATCGTGATACCAAATTTAAAGACAGTCGGCGGGGCTTTTCTCTTCAACACTGAGGCATCAGGATTTTGGGAAAAGCGATCGGCGATCCGTACTAATTTCTCATACAATTCCCCCTCAGGAAGCCGAATCAGAACCATCTCCGGCTCCATGGCATGCTCCATGTATGGGGCTCGCCATAAGCGCGGCCCCAGACAGTCGTTGGATGGTGTTTTACGTATTCAGCAGGGAAAATGTCACCCACTCGCGACACACCATACCATTGCTTATAATGCTCGTACAATCCGACGTTGAAGTTGGACCACCACACCTCCTGTCCTTGGACTTGCGCATGAATCCATTGCTATGTGGGTATGGAAGCAACCAGTGGCTTTGGAGGAATGAGATTTTCAACGCCTTCTTCCACTCGCGCGCTCGATCCTTACCAAGGATCTGATTGACGGCCTCGAAGCTTTGCTGATATACCATGCGATATGGTTTGTCCTTCCACCCCTTACGATTATACCGCCCATCTTTCCACTCCCATAGCCAAGCGAATAGAGTGTCCACGCTCTTCACCGCGATCCGGCGTTGATCCAGAAGCTGCAGTGTTTGGGCGCCCTCAATGAAGACACCGCTAATGCTATCATAGCTGAGGGGAACCTCGCCAGCAAGAGCACGGGCGGCATGGTCCGCGTGTAACAGTCGCTTAACATGTAAAAAGACATCTTTCCGAAACACGCAGAGGGAAAGTTGTCGGAGGAAATCTTCGAGAAGATCTAGACAGGGAGAGACAGAGCTAAATTCCTCCATCCAGCGGTGTGCCTGGTGCACCCGAAGGAAGTCGAGGCGGACGTCTCGGATCTGCCCATACCGCGCGTGGAACGCTCCCTGCAGAGAAGGGCTGTTGAACATCATGTACTGCGCGGAGGGCTGGCGGAAGGTCATCGTATCCCAGTCTATCTTATCCAGAAACCAGGCATACCCGTACTCCTCCATACTACGCTGGAACCCTAACCCTTCACACCGGCGAAGACCATCTGTCCGCCGAGCATCAGGCCGGAACCAGACGTCCCGCCAGCAGCCAGATACACGCTGTAACAGGCCACCACCATAGGAAAATTGCAGGCAGCGCAGGAACATCATCATCACCCGGGTGTGTTCCCACGTGACGAAATGGCGGTCGTTGATGCTATAGATAGCCGCAAACCCCACACAGAACTTGTTGATGTTCCAGTGGAACCAAAAGAGGAGAGTCGGGGTAGGGAGGGAGTAGAACGGCTCAACCGTTGATGGAGCCCCCGGAAGTCGCGTGTCATGGAAATTGCGTTCTCGATGCTCCTGGTCAATCGTGTAGAAAAGGTGTAGCGAGACACGGTGTTCCTCGCGAAGCCCGAAGACCTTGAGACATGATCCTTGCAAGGCAGCATAGCACCTCTGCTTCATATTCAGATAAGCCCGCATTAACGCGATAGGGTCATGACTGAGACCACCTCCGACGTGCTGCCAAGTCTTGCGTAGCTGGGGATCGAATGCCAAGGTTTCTAGGGCTGGGTTGGAAAATGGATATACATCCCCTGCCGCAAATACCCCCTTCACGCTCGAATACAGCTGCGTATAGAGAAGACCCGCCTGCCGCTGCGGGGAGGGTCGACGCGTTTCCAATATGAGGCTGTCGCTATCGTGGAGCAGGCTGGTCGGATAAAACTGCTGCTTTGGACGTGAGGACTCAGGAGGATGTTGCTGCCCGATCCAATCGGTATATAATTCGAGGCAGCAACGCAGCCAGAGAATGGTCTGTGGCAGTAATGAGTTTTTCCGGGGCTCCTCGGCCGAACAGTGCCTTGATGCATGGAGTCCCACACCACTAACCCGTGAGGGCCCAGTAGGACACGTCTCTTTCCCAATGTCGATGTAGAATTGGTCAGAGAGAAGAGACTCGTCGATCGTGTTGCCCCAATGCTGGGCGAACTCCTGCATCATACCGTCCCACGTGTTGGCTTTGGTCAATGTCTTCAAGTTTTTGCCTTGGACGAGGATAGTCACGCCTGAGAATTGCTGAAGCCCAGCGCTCTCAATGGTCTCGAGAATACTTGCCCACACAAGCGCGAGTGTGTTTGGCGGGAGGAAATAGAATAGAAGCTGCTGCCGAGCGACTGGGTCCACTTGCTGTGAGCGCATCTCAAAACCCCGGGCCGTAGCTTTCAGCCGGCTGTGGTCAAAGCTAGAAGGATAATGCTGGACAAGCGAGCCGTCGCATGGCGATAGATTGCAGGGAGGAGTATCTGGTCTATCCAAACCCGAAAGTCATCATCACGGAGGCGACTAGATTGCTGCTCCTCCCGGTATAGCTGCGAGAATAGGAAATAAAGAGAGATATCTTCAAATCCGACTAGCCGCCCAAATATATAATGTGGGATCTGATGCACCGGTCGTCGGACGTGATGCTTTCCCTGGCGTCATCAACCTTCAGTGTTGCCTTCGATTTTCGATTGTGAGTGGGGTGGTGTCTATCTAATGGACGGGGATACCAGATACCCCTTCGATTCGGTGCAATCGGTAATAAAGAGTGGTGAAGTCTCCTTGAAAGCATTCGTGGCAAATAATGAGCAACTTCTAGATATCGACACCGAAAATTTCGTTATGAACCCTTGTGGACTCGTGGTTTTCTGGAGAGGAGTATCGTGGTTTTGGAAAAAGGAATGGTGCAATGGTAACTTTTTATTGTCGAGTCTGTCCTCTCAAGAGCATCAGCTTGATTTTGTTGTGAGCCTACCATCCCTACTGAATGCTTTCGATACTTTTGTTCTAGTCCTGCCCTATAAAGTTGACACTACAACAAAATTTCTGGGCGCTTGTTAATATCAATGGATATTTAAAGTTCTACAAGGAGCATTTCAACTCGGGGCGCATACCATGACGATATTGAATCAGATGTATCGATCTCAGCTAGCTTAAACATATAGGCTATAATCATTCTCAAAACTAGCTTTACCCACAACATTTCTATCGCAATGATTACGCAGCATTCTCATCTTCTCATTCATGGAAATTTTGAAAGTGGATTCAGGGAGTGAAGCCCGATGCACTCAGAGCCTTTCCAATTTATTGGAGATTTCCGAAGCAGAACCACCCAGGCGAATTTTTATTCTTAGCGTCGAAAATGGCTTCAAATTGATGCCATGTTATATACGATGAACCTTCTTAGACGATATACAAGGACCAAGTTAGTAAATCTATGACAGTGTCTCCTAGGCTACTATGAATATGTTATCAATAACCTTGGATGTGCTCCCTGAAGTGTTCCAGCCAGCGGTTATCTCAGTATCACGAAAAGCTTAAGAATTTTCCTCGAGATGGAGAATAAGTCGGAATTAACCAAGCATTTCTGGACTTCCTTTTGCGTAAGTCATGTCTCTGAATATTCCTAAAACAAAAAGAATCATCCTGGCTGACTCTGACGCGCTTGAAAAAAAGTCTTACGGTTGTTTTCCTTGGTCCTTATTCGATTTTTTTTACAAATGGAGGGCACCGAAAACATGTAGTCCGACTTGCTTTCGCCAAATTTCAACACTCCTGCCATCGAGCCTGAGCTGCTTCACTGGGCTGCCCATGGCTCTACCGTGTGCGTACGTGCAATAGAAGCGGCGAGAATCCCGAAACATCTGGGACGCACTGAAGCTAGTCTTGAATTCAGCTGCCGTGGAGGTCCAGTTTCTTTCGTGAGAAGTGGATTACAACGATGCTATTCTCCCCTTATTATTTCGATCAAGATTCTTGAAGAAAGTCTTACTCCGTATGCAGATGAGGTCTCGAGTAAGACATCATTCTTTTCATTATATTACATGACTGCCATTCAACTCTTACTGGGCCGACCGCTGCTGTCTTGATCGTAGAATTTCTTATCACTTGAGCTATGGGGATCTTGGTATTCGTTGCCGAAGCGAACCCGCTTGCAAAAGATTTTATATAGACCGGCCACCCAGTGATCATTGAATATCGCCGGGAAGCGTGATGCAAGAGTGAGAATCGCCCCACTGCCTATCCAGCCTCTTCTCACACCAGAAGAACACCAGAAGAGGCGGCCTAGGCAGATTTGAGACGCTCAGCATGGCTGAGTGATAACGAGAAGGAGTATTTCAAAGATATCTCAGATCACGACTCTCCTGGACAAATCTTTGACCAACCACCCCGAAAGCGGTTACACGGCAACTACCACGGCGAATACTGATGGCGCTCTGGTCTGTTCGTGTAGCAGATCTCATTGGCTTTTCTCATACCATCAAAATGGTGTTTGTATCGAATCACGAAAATCAAAGCAACGCTTAACTGAGTCTAATGCAGATAGGCTATTAAAGATTTAGTTTGACGAGTCAATCACCAGTCCGGCGGTGAACTGGCATTCTGTTTCCTTCGACGCTACTCAATAAATCAAAAATGCTAACTTGTAACTATTAGTGTCAGCAGCGTGAATTTGGCTAGTTTATCAAAAAAAAAGCGGCAAAGGACGCTTGAGGTAAGGGGGGAGACTCAAGAAGCCGTTCACCATTTCAACACAAGAACGACCAATCGCCTACTCGCTTCAACTACGGGAGGTTAACCGTTTGCTGCTGTTGACCTGCTACTAAAGGATACGATCTGCAGCTCTAGTCCACAAGGCGCTTTCGTTAACATGTTGTACTATAATCAATAAAAACACTGCAGCTTGTCGGACCAAAACCGGCAAAGAGGTGTTCAAGCGTTTACAACATTCCAGCCTCTATTGAGTCTGCTAGTGATTCTTAGAATTATTCGTTCCTGCAGTGCATATTGAATAAACAGTTGACGATAAATTCAATATATGAGCAAGCACACGGAAGATAGAACATAGGCCAATCAAACGCGAAATTTAGATTATTGACTGGTTTCTGAGATCCTTTCACGTATCGCTCTCTCTAAGCTCTTCAAACCACTTGAACTTATTGCCTGTATGAGCGCGGGGCCGTACGAATCTCTAACTCTTGGGTCGGCGTTTCTTCGAAGCAACTCCATTGCGAGTTCCTCAAAACCACCCCTTATAGCCTGTGTGAGAGCAAAACCGTAGGAATCTTTCACATTCGGGTTGGCGTCTCTTCGAAGCAGCTCCATTGCGAGCTCCTCAAAACCACCCCTTATAGCCTGTGTGAGAGCAAAACCGTAGGAATCTTTCACATTCGGGTCGGCGTCTCTTCGAAGCAGCTCCATTGCGAGCTCCTCAAAACCACCCCTTATAGCCTGCGTGAGAGCAAAACCGTAGGAATCTTTCACATTCGGGTTGGCGTCTCTTCGAAGCAGCTCCATTGCGAGCTCCTCAAAACCACCCCTTATAGCCTGTGTGAGAGCGAAACCGTAGGAATCTTTCACATTCGAGTCGGTCCCTGTGCGAAGCAGACTTATAGCAAAAGCAACATCACCTTCTCTTATAGAGTCCAAAAGAGCAGGCCTGATGTTGAAGTTTCTGTCTGGAGATGTAATTGGTTTCGATATTGGTGCTGTTGCCTGATAAGGGGGGGGCGGCGGAAGTTCATCAGCGGAGGGAGCCCTGTCAACGCAGTATGAATTTACAGTTCCGGCAGGAGCAAGATGCCCACTTTCGGGTGGTCCGTTATTGACCGTAATTGCGGTTGCCCGGGGTATTCCTTCGCCCGAGGCCCCACGCGTCAAAAAGTCCCTCTTGAACCAGCTGACAAGCAGTGAAAGACAGCCAACCATTTTTGTTCACAATACTAACTTGAAGGGTTATCTTTATCCTTCACTGAGGGGAACCAATTGCCTAGCACAATGAGACGGACACCGAATCGGTTCGTACTATGATGCGAAGGCTGGAAAAATTGCTTAGCGATTCAAGGGGGCCATAGTTATATGGGGGGGGGGGAAATTGAACCATAAAGCGGTGTGATACATACCACGGGGGTTCTGTCAGCGTGCAGCAAAACAGTACACTGACGAATCAATAGCAAAATCGGGTCCTTCCATAATTCAACAGCCGCCGGAACCACATGGCCTTTGGAAAACTGCGTTTGTTTGTATGAGGAATGCTCAAGGAAAATCAGGCTTACCCGAATCCTAATTCAAGCTCTTGGGAGCCAGTGTGCGCTGAGCGATGCCAGTGATGGATGGTCCGTCTTTATTGATACACGGAGGACATTACCATGGAGGAATTTGCCTAACCGCAAACCATTAGAGATTAGGTCATGTTGGAAAACAGTGGGCTGGGGGCGTACATAATGTTATTCAACCAAGATAGACCTCAGAAAATCCCTGCAACCATAGAAACACGCAGTTTGTATAATTCGTGACTGTCATTCGATTCAATCCAATCTCCCAAAAGATAATCCGTTCCACTTTCAGACGGCGCTGAGCATCTTAAGTGTTTCCGTAGCCGCCCGCTCATCTCAAAACGTGCCGGCGCTAAGTGATTGGATAGCGATTTCCCACTTCCACACACGGTGCACCATGCCACACTGCCAAGGCGCTCCCATTGTTTCCTGAAATACTACTCCGGAGGTCCGATTAAATTCTGTCATGACACCATTTTAGATACTGGTCGCTATGAACATCTGGCCTCAGCGCATACATCAGCACCGACCTTTGCGGGCGCTTAGTCGCAAGGCTTTCCACCAATTTCATTCGTTTGAGAGGGCTCAAGGTCACATAGATGTTGCAATCCGAAACTTTGGTTCGACGAGACTCTGTCTGGGTTTTGAGCGACAGCGATGTGTAGGTCAAGTCCTTATCAAGTAGTACGTTGAGATTAACCGCCGTGGCTGAAGTAGCCGCAATATGTCGACCGTCCTTGACCATGGTGACAGAGGGGTTGAAAGAGAACATTTCTGCGCTTGAAACCCCGATAACACTAATATTTCTGTCTATATCGAAGCCAAAAAAATCATGGCTACTGTTGTAGGTTCTCATAATGAACGTGAGAAGCACTTTTTCTTACTAAAATGTTGCCTCTAGCCTACCGACTCTGCAAACGTTATCCGGAATGTCTCAATGGGTGATGATTCAGTGTTGTTTGTTGTGTCAAGCAAGTCAAGAATAAATGCGAAGGACATTTATAGCGGCGAAGCGTCGCTGCAATTTATGCTGGCGGCTCCCGGTGATTTACTTCAAAGAGGAGCACGATCCCATCGTTTCCAGGCTGAAGTTGAGGTTTGTCCAGAACACACAAATCAATCCGAGGGAATTTCGATTGGGGAACGTGAGGTCATGCCCATACTCTCGTCTGCCTTACCATTTGAGATTACCCATGTCAGTGGTGGTTCTGGTTCATGTCTCATCTTAGGACATTTATCAGAGGAGTCCATTGGATGCTTAAGAGATATGTGGAGTGATACATCAGCCAAATCAGGTGGGGATGTACAAAGTTGTCTTCCAGCCGGAACACCGTCAGTTTCCCATTGAACTTAAAACCTCTTCGTACGAAAATTAACACAAATCCTAGACACGCGAATCCAAAAACGATTTTGGGCGCTGGATACTTGCGTTCATTCATGGACCTGATTAGTCAATCGACGCAAAAAAGTGGTCTCCCTCTCGAGTAATCAGAGCCATACCTAATCTTGAGGTCTCAAGATATGCCAATGTGGCTAACTCGACTTGTGCAATCTGTCTTTTACAATTTGATATTGATTCAAAATTACCGAGATTACCATGTGCACACTATTTCCACGTGCAATGTTTGAGTCCCTGGTTGAGTATCAGAAACACTTGTCGACTTTGCAAAAGGCCAGCGCAATAGTCTTGTTGGATTCTGATGAACTGGCTGATCATGTCTAATTACCACTGGGATGATTGGCGTAACTCAAATCTATGGGTTGATTAGAACTAGAATTGAGGCCGTCTTGTGTTCCTTTGGAACTTCAGCTAAACTCTGTTCACAGACTTTAGTATCGGCATGGCTCACAGTTTCATTTTCTGTTGCTTGTCTCCTGGTGTGGCTGGCTTTCGTGTTGTTTCGTCATAACCTCGCTGTGAAAAGGCAAAAATGGCCTGACCAAAGCATAGATAATGTAGTGGGGAAATCACGACACTTGTATGATTACTGCCTCAGGCAGTGATATCCTCGAGGAAGGGTTATGGGCAACCTACGACTGTAGAGAATGATAGACAGCTACAACAATGCCACTCATTTCCTGATTCAAGATTTATGATCATTATGCTCCTTGATATAGCATCTGATTATCCCTGATAGGCATCATCTGTCTAGAGCTCACAGACCTGACTTGTTGTTGGGTTTTCTTGCCACCATTTGTCGACCCGTCTGTTTTGACCAGACTGCCATCGAGCATCTCCCATTTCAATAAATAAAATTTCAGTGAGAGCGAAGACGTATCAAGAGTACAGTCAACTCCCGCTTATGGCACACCCTGCCATCCAACAAAATTAGTGTGCTATAAGTGAATTGTGCTAGAAATGGTCTGGTAACTAATATTCCTATAATGATCGACATCATTACTTCCGCTTTGAGAGCCATGTCTCTTCCAGTGTCTTCTGTTCCCTCCTATCCATCTGTAGTCTAGTAAATATACCTATGAGGCCCTCTATCTGAAGAATATTCTCCTCGGTAGTACCCTCTTGGCGCTGTGCCCATAGAACTGCATCGTTCATGCTATGAATAAGTGTTACACTAGATGGTAAGTCTGATGGACGCCCAAATGTATATTCATCACCGTCACCATCACCACCAGCGGTCACATCGAGAATGATATCAGATGATACCAAATTCGTCAACGTTGTTGTCATCTGATGGGTTTAGGAAATTATCCAATGACACAATCTCCTGAGCACTCCCAGAAAGCTTACTAGTTAAGCTCTGATATAGATCATCTAACTGAAGTACTTCTGGCTCTGACTAGTACGACCAGTAATAGTACTCTCATTAAAGAAGTTTTGTATAGTCTCATTGAGTACCTTATTGCGCCATGCCTGGGTGGTCCAGTGCAGAGTATAATCAAGGCTCATTTTCTTTTGAAGATCAATGTTCCGATCAAGTATATTAACCATCCAAAGCATCCATTTTATAATGGTGCTTTAGATTTTGGATTATACCTTGATCCAGTGGTTGGTAAATTGACGTCGCATTAGCTGGGAAGAAAAGAACACTGATATTGGAAGGTGGAGGCGCATCTTCAAGCGCACATAAATGTGCAGAGATATTATCTAGCAAGAGTGGTATTCGTCTTTGCTTGCCAATATGCTTATAAAATGAGTAGAACCATTCTTTCATAATTCCATTGCGCATCCATGCCTTCTTATTCCAACGCCAGGTACATCCAATCGCCTGGAAATTTACTTCCAGAAGGGCTCGCGGTGTCTTTGCAGTACCAACTAACCACAAAGGAAGTCGGTCTGAACCAGTAGCATTTGTCGCAACTACTATAGTAATTCGAGCCTTATCCTTCTATTGACCAGCCTATCCATCAGTTGATAGGCCACCATTTGGCATACGACGCCAGGAAAGCCCAGTTTCATCCATATTATAGATATTCTTCTGCTGATATTGGTCACGGACTGCCTGAATAGGCTTGATCTCATCATATATCGAGCTCGGAACAGATGCAGCTCTGCCATGGAAGATATGATATATGATCTCGGAGGGAGTGACGTTGTTCGATCTTGATGAGAATATTTATTCCGACAACATTGAATGTTTGAAGTGCAATGAAGTTTATTCGATGTCGAATGCCGATTTAAACCGAAAAAATGAAACTCTACGTATAGATCCACAGTGCCATAAAATGCTTTCATCCAAATAGGTTACCCTTTGAGCGCCCTTACTTTATAATCAAATTCAAAGTGAGTAAAGATTGCTCAATCTTTCATTGGACAGACTTTGCCCAACTGAACTTTGTTTCACGGTTTGCGGCCGCATGGATTAAATGGCCAGATTTGAAGCTTCCCGCAAAGCCAAGAAGCTTTGTATGCTCAAGTCGGAATGATCTCAAGCATATTATGGCACCAGGTACGTAGTTAGCGCTTAAATGAAGGAAAATGGCTATTTCGGGTATTTGGTCGAGCGTTGCTTATATTCGATAAGATCCTTAATGCAGAAGAGAACAGACGTTGATGTTTGTGCGACATTCTCAATGTTCTACTTTGTAATTGCCATGCTCGAACTGGCTTGCTGATGCTGGTTCATCGCAGCTGCTGAATCCCCATAGGGCATAGATGATTTCTTCCAATGGACGAAGGGATGCCACTTGGATCAGCGCAGGGTAAAAGACATTTCATCCCACGTCTACCGCACTGTGTGCAAGGTCATAGGTTTCTTTGGCTCCCATCGCAAAAGATCTTGAGTCTTCGGCAACTTGCGCGAAGCTTTGAGTACCTTTGAACTGTTAGCGAGGCACTGCAAGAGCTTTGACCTCCTGACCTCTTGTTCGTTGTTGTAGGTTTCGGACCATGGACAAGCCAAAGGCTCAAGCTCGACAGATTTGATACCCGTGTCGCCGGAAAGCTGCCCCACAGCTCCTCTGCGGACGAATATCTGTACTGGGACGCTGGTCAGCTACATCTGGGTATTACTATGCTCGAATCATTCACACCGGGGCTCGTCGCCGAATCACGCATGTCCACTAGTTTTGCAAGTCCGATATTGGGACCGGAAGACAACTACAATATAGTGGACAGTATTGGATTGTTCGAAACCGAAATGTACATGTCCAAGATGCACGGTGGACATGGCGAAGGCAAGACTTCCTCCTTCAAACGATGTTTGTTCTTGAAAAACATTGGAGCTGTCGCTGATGTTCTGTTGGCGGCCATGGAGACTCGCCCCACCGAAAATTGTTTTTCTCCATCTCTTGCAAGGTGGCGGGGCGGTCCGTGATGTAGCGGCCAATGCTACTGCATTTGGTTGTAGAGACCGGGACTTTGCTTGTGTGGTACACGGGGTTTGGCCTCGCGACCAAGATAACACGGAACTGTCCCATGCGGGAACCTCAGAATGTGAGTGTGGGCTTATCCTTATGGCGGTGACATCTATATTTATATCAGCTGTTACAAATGCTCAAAGGAATATTCGCAGCAAACCATGGGTCAAAGCATGATTTTGGAATTGACAACAGCAATGACAGAGAAGTTGTCGGCGTCCAATCCTGAGCCAGCACTGAACGCTTATCTTTACAAGACAGTCATCGCAATATGGGGTGTTGACGCGACGGCCGTTATTGTTATACGCGACCTGCATGACCGAGCTTGATATTGAGAACAGGACGAGTATCGAGATAAAAACCCTGTGAACTTGTTGAAACAAATATACAGCCGAGAAAGAATTTGAATATACTCCTCTACATCATTGAGCTTTTGAGGCGCCAGTTATGCAGCTTATGGAATAGATATAGGTCTCTGCAAATCAATTTTGGCCTTCCGACAGACATCAAGGGTTTCGGTGGTAGCTGATTCTGTCCCCGGATCTCTTTCAACCAGCCAAGAGAAAGGCAAGTGATTCGCTTTATTTTCCATTTCTTCCATCCATGTCTCGCGAGCAGGACAATATTTATTGGGCGAGTCGGCGAGAGGGGTGGGATCGTGAGATTGGGGAACAGAAATGATGCTTTCGAAAGGAGGGTTGTTGGCAATGGTAGCCGAGACGAAAGCTGTGTGTAATGTACTCTGATTCCTTTAATTCTCTCTAATAGATACCGATTGAAGATCTCAGTCACGTTGCAGTCAACAAGAAGACGAAATTGTTTTCTCACGGAAAATCCATAGGAAGAGAAACAGACCTGGAATATCAAACATCACGCATGCTAGCAACCATAGCCAAGTAGGCTTTTTTCCCTTCGCAGTTTCAGCAGCATAATTCTCCTTGAGGCTGTTATGCTCGAGCGAGTTCCGTAAGGTGAAAGGGGCTTCCGCTGCTGCGTGTATACTGAATGAACAGCAAGGTTCAGTCGAGTGAAGGCTTGACGCGAGGCACCATGCGGCGTTGGTGGGTTGAGCTCTTCGAGATCAGTGAGCTGGAGGATCGGATGCGCGAAGCTTGCACTATACTCGAGAATGTGGCTGTCAGCTTACAACTTTCTGGAGACGAAGTAATCGACGGGAAAGACAATCAGTCTGGTTGAGATGGCGAAAAGCAAAGACCTGAATCTTACCTGAATATATGAAGAGAATAGAGGACCAAGACTCCACAAGATTTCACTCTTTCTTCGGTGGCTGAAAGCAACATATGGCTTTGGTGGGATGGGTTGAATAACCCGAGATCAGGTGCTGAAGGGGCAGCCTGAGTTAGCCGGAACACCTTTGTCCGTCCCGATCCAGACCTTTACCCACGCAAGAGATTGGTTTCAAAGATGAATGGCTGACAGCCTTGACAATGTACGTATGATTGAAGCTTTTCATCGCCAACAGTTCACTCAACGGCCAGTGGACGTGTGGCATGAATCATGAATACTGTGGACAACATGGCGGCAGATGGAGCGTACCACCTCACCTCAGACTTCCTACACTCAGGCGCAAAGAAATATTCGCAAAGTTGCTTCTTTCTTTCGGCGCGGCTTTCTTTTGCACACTGTCCACTGTCTCTGGCTTTGAATGCGAGAATACGAGATGAAACATGAGATCCAAACCACCTCTGGCTCAATCACGCCTGCGTCATATCAGTTTCAGAGTGAGGTGCGTACCTCCTGGACACTGGAGAAAAGTTCAACTTTTCTAAAATACTGACATCTATCTATAGATATCCCCGAATATCCAACCTCACGAGAAAGCTCCCCCGGTCGAGTCCTTCCCGTTATGTCGAGAAGCTGTGGTCCTCCGAAATAATCTCCGCTTCAAATCGAGCCCCTCGCACGATACCAACAGAGGCTCGCCTGTCAATAACAGATGGCTCTAAGCTTTCTCCAAAAAGCTAACTGATGGCCTTGATGTGCAGGTGGTTGACTAGCGGAGAATAGACTATGAGGTTCATTGGGGGGAAGCGCAACAATTGAAGAATATACCAATCAGCAGGTCGGTTTCCGCCATCTTAGCAGGCTCTTGGATACAGTGAGCATGCAATTATCAGCCAGAGACAACTAGAGGGGCGCATTTCCACCCGCTGAATCACCTTGCAGAGTTGCATTTCCGCACGACCCTTCTGTATGAGTAAGAGTGACAATGAGGTATACTCCGACTGCATGCCAAGATAGTTAAAGATGAAGAAATAATCACTGAACTTTTTTATTCTTCATACAAAGAAATGAAAAGGGAGAGATCATAGCAACTGTGTTGATATCAAGAGCCCAATCTTTTGTCTTTGACCGAATTCATAACACCAGCATAGACGGTCGTCCGATATTAGACTATGATACAAGCATAATTGCACGCGAAGAAGTAACATTGCGGAATTGCAAGTCAGATTGCTCCAGTATTTTTGTTCCAAGTATGTTCCCATTGTCACATGTTAAGCCAGCCACACCTGGTTGAAAAGCTCTAGTAGCTCATTGAAAGGTGTGTCTCAGACTGTTGATTGAAAGATTGTGTTCCCTGCTTCATTAAAATGAATCAGCCCTAATATTCACAGCAGTGGACCAAAAGTTCCTACCATTCCAGCTCCTCAATTTCACGTAGAAGCAGGAGCTTTTCCACCTCATGGATATGTTGGGCCTCAATACCAGAAGAGTACAGAGCTTCACGGAGCTTCAGAAACGGAAGCTTTGCGTTGTGGCTCCCTTGCAATATGTAACAGAGCTCTCTGCGGGTGTCTGGGGCAATCAGTCCCTGATTTTGGAAATTTATCTTGAAGTCACATACCATGTCTCTCTGAATCCATTGAACCGGTGCCCGAAGATGAAATTTCTGGCAGTAAGGGGCCCATCGCCCACATCCAGAGTGACAGAATATGTGTACATGTATTTAAATCCAAGCTCCGTAGGACATCACAATAGAAATACCTTCGGAAACGAGTGCCATTCGATCTAAATCTTGTCAGTATACTCTTTAATGCTTCACATTCATCCGTCGAAAGTCGGCAATTGACCCATGACAAAGTGATCCCCTTTGAATTGCGATGGTTGGAGTTGGGTGATGGCAGCCGGTATCTGTTAATTGACCGCACAAACTGGGGTGTCGACTCGTTGGGCTGGGAGGGAACATAGCCGGTAGCTTTCTCTATTCACTGTCTCCTGTATGAATCAGGTGTTAGCTATATCATGGTAAAGGATGCTCTTTTCTTACTTATTCTGCGGCCTTTCTTCAATTTCTATCGTCCCTCGTGAGAATTTCTGCATACCGTTGAAATGTGCCCTCTGCATTGAGGCTGCAATAGAGTGGTTTGTGGGCCTTGTGTGGGCGTCCCCGTCGGACTCCCGAAAAGTATCCATGCCATCACAAAGAGAATTGCCAACCGATTCGACCTCCAAGGAGATATGACGTGCTTCAATGTCATTTTGATGCTGGACGTTGATCTGAAAATCGCTGAGTTGGTTCGACGCGGTACTAGATTGATCGGTCTCGGCTGAAGATGCGGTAAATTTCTCGGGACATACCCATATAAATGGCCCAGAGGCAGGGTAAACCTGATGAAGTGGCTGATATTTGTTATTGTTTGTCATGATCTCAAGGCATCCGAATCCTCAAATTGTTCAGGAGTGAATTCAAGTCAGGACAGCAGATCTTTTCCGGGGAGAAGCAGGTGTGTTGCGAAGGCTTTGAAGAGGCAATATATTCGGGTAATCGAATTTGATGCGTACACTAGAGGTCCCGAAAAGATTCAATCAGAGGAAAAGACTCGCCTTGCCACACCCCTAGCAGATGTTACAAATGCTTTGGGCTAAGGTCGGAACCTTATGGTGGTCTTCAAAACAGAAGAAGGGATAGTGGAAACGCCAATGGCTATCCTAGGCCTCTCCACGAATGTAGGTTATCAAATAGGTAACAATGAATCAACTTGGCATTTCATTCCAAGGGTTTGCGAGCCGGAAGAAAGGAAGCATGCGAGGTTTCCCCCCAATCAGCTGGTGGATAGAGACCGACTGATACCACCTGTTCTTCGGTCACGGGACACTGAATACCGCTTTTTTTCCATATGCGGAAGGCTCTGTCTACCTAGCCTACGATGCACTATTGCAAATTTATTTGCGTGAGAAATTGAGTTTGAATCCTGCGCAAGACGCTTATGACTCTAGGCGCGCCATGACCCAAGTTCCAGAGTCACAAGGGCACAGGCCAACGCCTGGCCACATGCTATTACGGGGCCAAACACAGTCCCACTTAGCTTCAATACAAAGGCTTTCAAAACGCTTCCGTGCTTTCAAAATACAGCCCAATACCCTGGGCGCTTTGGGGTAACGTGGTCCAGAAATTGGCTTAGTAACCATTGATAGTGCTTCTTAAGACATTACTTAAAGCCTGACGACTATTTAACGCGAAACACTCCTCGACTTTATATTGAAAATGCCGACTACCATTTTGCCCTCTTTTGCTGCCGCCTTTACGCCTCGAGCGCGGCCTATAGTGGTGCTGGAGAATGGAGTACCCTGGTTGAAAGAGATTTTCAAGCGAGTGAAGCAGCCTAGGCAACCTTTGAACAATCTCAAACAGCAAACCAGCTTTCTCATTGAAAAACTGGAATCGGAAAGCGCAATCTGGTCCTTGTCTTCGGTGATGTTGGAGAACACACCTAAGAGGATTCACATCGAAGCATATGTCCTGTATGTTGACATGGTCTCACAGAACGAGATGGCCTTTAAGTTGACCGAAGAGACGATCGATGCCCTCACAAAACTCCATGAAGAATTTCAAACACTTGATGCAGCTGAATACAGCTTGCACTGGCCACAGAAGCAAGCTCAGTTGGTCAAATTACACGACGAGTTTGTCGAAGCCATCAACAAGTTCGTTTACCGGACTAACGTCAAAGCTCTAGAGAGGCTAGAGAAAGACGGCTCGGGAGAGCTACTAGAAGGTTGCAGCTTCGATGTTGAAAAAACTATTCTCAACCTTTTGGTGCCATTGAGACCTCCCCCGCGTGTGGTGCATTTCTTGTACCCAGTAGTTCCTTGCCTCTATCGAACTGAACAAGGTCTACAAAGAACTGTCCACCTATTTGAGGAAGATCAGTGGTATGCCGAAAGTTTGCCAATATCTTCCGTTGATAACTGGTTTTGCACTGGCGCACCCGCCTCAGCGGTTGAGCCAGTGTATCATGCGCCAATTTATAACTCAGTTACGGCAGCAAACGCTGATTCTTTTGGTGGAAGCTTTTTTTCTCTTTTTGAGTCCTGAGCTGAAAAATATCCCTGTTGCCTGCGTATTCTGGATGGTCGTGTCCGTAGCTGTTATATAGGTTCGAATCGAACGAGTCTCTAACGAGGAGCGAACACGGAGCAGACAGGCTGATGAGATTGGCGGGGACAATGGATTAGGCATGCTTTGTTCAGAGACATTGGAGGTGAAACAAGAGGGAATTATCGGGTTGGTCCTTCGTGGTCGGTACCTTTAGTATATATTTCAAAAATTAGCAGCAGCTTCTTGCTATGAATGGTATGCGTTACCAACACTACAATGCTTGTGGGTTGACAGTCGTGTTTCAATGAAAGCAACCAAAAAGGCTGCTATTGCCGCATGCCTTGCTAGTGCAAATAAGCACATGCGAAGCAAGATTATATTTGCTTAGAGTATATCGAGTTAAGTTTTGGATTCTCCATCCATAGCATCGCCGCGGTAGAAACCAGGGTAGACAGTAACGGAAAGAGGACAGCCTTCGATAAATTGACGGGCTAGCTTTGATGCACGGCATATTAGCAAAAGAACCTGGTGGATGCTGCGCTTTCAAAAGCTGACTTACTGTACCGAGCTCTGATTCATGTATATCCGATAGACCTAAAATAGGTAACGGCAGCACGCCAGACATCTTTGAGCAGAGTCTTCTATCCCATGGTTATTGACATAATTTGGTCTTCTTTTTCTCGGCAGTTTTACCGAGTTGCAAAGCGCATTTTCAATATCGGGAAAATCCACTCCGAGATCGTCACACCCCAATTACCTGCCTCTTCGGTCTGTCAGATTGTATGTGTCGTTCATCAGTTGGTCTCCGTGGGTAGGCGGCTTAGGCGGCGTTGATTTGGCACCAGGTGATTTTCCAGAGGGCCAGAACTCAGGACTAATATTGGGATCAGGAATTGTGGGACGTAGGATATGTGGAGGAGCGGTATTGGGATCGTGGGTTGTTGTGATGATGGCATCGAGTGATGTCTTGAGCCATATCGGAACAGTGACTGTTTGACAAGCAATCAGGGGCGCTTTCGGAATGGATAATCTAGTAAAGAGTTTAGCCAGCCGGCAAAGAGAGTGTTGTACAGGGGAACAGCTATTTTGAAGCGGTCCACACGGCTGATATCATAAATTTTGTGTGACTCAATGGAAGACAGTGGGCTGAGGGCAGTTTGTTCTGACCACAGATAGGATTAACCAAGATATCGGTACAGGTTCCAAACCGTTAATAGGAACTGTTGTTCAAGTAACTCATTAATCATCTGACGGAGCTGTTGTTTTGCAATGGACATACCAGGATACAAGAGTCTTTGGCGCAACTCAAGCCATGTAGTGCAAAAAAGAAAGTGAAGCGTGTTTTCACAGGAAGATTTGGAATGCCATCCTGTACGAAGACGTGCGATTGGAAGAGTCTATCACCTCTAGACCAGCTCCACCCTCTACCTGAGTTTCCGTTCATCATTTGAATAGAGTCTCGCTCCATTGAGTTGCGTGCTCATCATGCTCCGGGTGTAGCCAGATGTGGGATGGGTTTCGAAAGTCGCTTCGGTCGGTGGGACTCGCATCGGCGGTTGGAGGTGAATGGAAGAGTCTCGCCAACATTCCAGCTTCTGAACGATGGTTGTAGCCAGGAGGTTGAACTGAATGTGTAAGCGTGCCCTGACCCCTGGTCGTGATCTGTCTTTCTTGGGACGGAAAAAGAATGAGCATGATGAAGTAAGTTACCAGATACAATCACAACAGCAAGTTCACAGGCGTAGCATACAGAGAAGAACATAGCTTTCGCAGAGGAGAAAACAAGCAGAGACAGAACTCACAGCGCCGCAAAGTAACGCTTAATTTACCGGCGGAGGAGCCGATTGTAGGTCAGAATCTGCCTTCTTTCTCGGGCCAGTCGCGGCCAGCATATCCGGCCTTCCGATGGTATAAATGGTACTGACGCGTCCAGGCAGGAATTTCCAGGCTATCCCATTTCATGGATGACTGTGGCCCAGATTCAGTCTAGTCTAAGCGGAGCGGGTCAGATTCCACGCTTTTCCTCGCTCCAGTCTCCTTACTCGCCCACGATTCAGTTTGAGCTGAGCTTGATCTGACTTTCAATCCACGTTCGAATCATCTGGAAGAGCATTGGGATATCGAATCTTATCCGCTGCCCAAAGGTGTCCTACTTGCGAATATGGTGCTACGACGTTCCACCCAAGAGACGAGAATGATGCCATTCCAATTCCAAAGCCAAAGCAAGGATCCTGTGGTCATTTTTACAGCAGATAATCACGGTATTCATCCTTCTCTTATCCTCTCCGGATCCCTTGCTCCAGAAAATATAGCGCTAACCTTCCCTCGACCAGCAAAGCCCCGAAACGCCAACCAATTCCGGTGTCACCCCACAGACTGCTTTGCACAGTGCCAGAGTGTGACCAGATCTCGAATAAATCATTTTCCATTATCCTACTGCCAGGCCGGGCAAAAATCTCAACATGAAGTTCTATGAAGATTCTCACAACGTTGAAGATCATAACCATGGACCCAGCGTTCTGTGCGGGCACGTGGGAGAGAGAAATATTCTCTGTGTTCCAGGCATATATCACGTAATTTAGAAAACAGACAAGTAACGGTATAGAGGGATATGCAACAGATGAAGCTTTCAAAGCACACTAGACATTCCGGCAAGATGCGTAGAGATCTGTAGCAGGAGATATTAGGCATAGCAGGACATGCGCACATTTTAAGATACAGATTAGGGCGGACCCCAGGGGAGACAAATAGTCTGATCTTGGTCAGATAGGATAACCGGAGGTACCGAGACAGAATCGAAATCCGTGGTATAAACCTTCTATTTTTCCAAATAGCAAGTCAAATGATGTGATCCTCCAGCAAGTTGGTCCTTGTTGGCTATTCCAGCCTACTGAGGCCTTTTCGCTGCTGAAGCCACCCCAGTGCCAAGGAGAACTAGGTTATTATTTTACCTCGAGGATTGGTTTCACAGGAAAATGAGCAATGCTACCCTGTGCAAAGACGGTGTTAAACACGAGGGCCGGTCTCCTCTCCAACCGGCTCTACCCCCTGGCTGATAGCACGTCACTAGTGGAGGTAATTTATACGATGAATTCCATTGCTGTTTTCTAGTCAAGGGGTCCGAGATAACCGACAATTACGTGGTCTGAACCTTCGCTTCGCGTATGCTGTTGGATCCGCCTGCCGAGGGTTCTCACTGGCTACTTCGGGCTTGAGTAGGTAACTATTTTCAGCGTAATAAATGATGCAGGAAACTTACGACATACTTTGTATTTACCAGGGGTCAAAGTTATTTAAAGTGGACTTGTCCGTCCACTTCCCTTTTCTGCACCAACCCAAGGAATAAATCAAATAACAGTTTCTTTACTCATTTTCAGAAGAATTTCTCAGTATGAATCAAGCCACAGTCCAAAGTCCTCATGATGATGGTGATGATGATGTTCGATCGACCGTTACATCCTATCAGGGACCGCGAGGGTTACTTACGGAGTCTACGGTAGGTTTTAACACTACTTTTTCAATTATTTCGACTGACTTGAATTTTTCAACCAGTGTACTTCGTCTGCCGTAGAAGAAAACGACCATAGAAACATGAGGGGTACAACCGCCGTTCCCGTCGTCTCTGATTTTGTAGGCACGGTTTTGATGTAGCAGCTAATCGGATATACAGCTACACACCACTCTAGCAACGCCACCAAAATTGATGATAGCTCGCAAGTGATTAATGGTAGCGTTTACGATGACAGAAGAACCGGTTCAGTCGTCGTCGAAAAGCACAGCCTCGAGGGTGGCTCCGTAACACGCAACAGCAAATTCGCCAACGGAAATATGGACCCAAAAAGCTTTATGGAATTCTTCTGCAATCACAGCTGAGACAAATTGTGCTAGCTGGGGTTTTGGTGAAGGGGTTCGGAGGGCAGTGTTTTACGGACCTTTTCCTGTTTGACAATACAGATACAGATAGGTAGCAATTGTTCAATGCTTGCAAGTGAAATTTTCTAACCCATAACAATTTACTGAGTTTAGTCCTGTGATATATTCGGTCCTATCTCAAATATTAATATTCTTTTGCACAGTATGTTTTTGTTTTTCATCTACGCTGACCACTCGTCGAAGAAGATAAGTAGTCTCTTTTATGCTGTAGTAAAAAAAAAACAGGACAAACAAATGTTTATAACTGCATTCCTTCCTAATACTTCTGCGTGTCAAAGTTATTATTTTGCTGTTCAATTTTTTGTGAAATTGATCTGTAATGAGCCATATACCTGGTCGTTCCGCACTTTGCTCGAAGAGGCTTCATGTCACATTGGAATGTTTAATGCGCCTGTTTCGGGAATGCAGTGTTCTCATGTAGGCCTGTTTCTTGTCAGCTGATGCTTAAAAAAGTGCAGAGCTGGTGGGCACCCACGTAGCATCGTATCGGTCTTGCAAACGTTCCGAATATAGAAAGTCCATGATAAAGTCTTTTGGTCAGTTTTACTAATATTAATGTCTCTGCAGGCGGTGTATAACGCTCTAAGCGGCACATAGCTGTCTTCTCCATAGAAAAGATGGAAGAGAACCGCTTTGATCTCTTTGAGGTGTTAGTGAGTGTAAATATCATATTTCATGCGCACATACCGGGGCCACGCAACTTGCCAGCAGACGTGTATCGGACGCTCTCCGGCCACCAGCTTGGTCTCTCTACATATGGCGAACCTTTCGCATTCTTCATGATAGCTACCCACTTGTAAAGAAGGTCTCGACACATTCTAGCGTGGAGGCTATTGAAGCTAGCTTCATAAAGCTCTTTCAGAGTGCGACGAGAAGGTTGGGAGAGTCGTGTTCGGCGAACGAGCGCCAATATGGCTTGCTCTGCTACAACGACATGCTCCTTCTTGGCGTTGCTGGGTATCTCTAAGGACATGATATCAGTCTTGCTTCTGAGAATGCCTGGTCTAGCATACCACTTCCACGGTTTCTGTCTTCTATGGGCTCTGCAGTATTTGAGTTTGAAACTGCGGCACTTCCGTCGTAATTTGCCGCAGCCAAGGGATTGCTTGAGACTGGATCGAGATTTGAAAGAAACTCAGGAATAAATTGTGAGAAATTAGCTTGGATTGTAACCGGTGTTTCATCAAGTCCAATTGTTGCTCCTGTTATCGAGAATGCCCTTGGCTTTGTTAATAAGGAGCAAAGGCTTTGGAGAATACAGACCCACACGCAGTTGATACTAGTGATACCGTGGTTAACGGGGTATCTCGGCGCTGGATTGAGGACATACTTGTTTTGGAAAATTAACCTCGGCCATCCAACGGTCGGGTTTTCACTTAAGCATTTGGCAACACAGGACTCCATTAGCAGTGCATGAACTTCTCGGGATTTCCAATTAAGCTTTTGCTTTGTTAATTCTACAATGGCGCGGCGTTCGGGATACCATCTGTTTATAAGCATGATTCAACACAAGGTAATCAGTGTCACCTACATCCATGATCCGTTGACATAACTGAACTGCTGCCACTCAATACAGAAATTAAAGCCATTCAAGTCTCCTCGGGGTCCACGACATGTCGGGTTTGCATCGATAATCGGAAAGACTGTATCGTCATTCTGATCAAGCTCGTCCACAGGGCAGGGGTTTTCCTTGTTTCTCGTGGAAGGAGCGCCAGATGAATTTTCATGCGCGTCTACCGTCGTTTCGGCATTGAAGGGGGCTTGTGGTAATGTTAATTTGGTTTGTTATGAGAAAAGTGGGTTGACACTTGTGTGTTGCTCACAATCAGAGACCAAATCCAAGGGTGACGACTGGTAATCCGAAGCCGAGGTGATAGGAAGATTCTGATGTTTTTGATATTGACCTTGAGCTCTGTGAGCAATGATGGGTTAGCGGCTGTGAAAGAGGGCTGTAGAGGATGAGTGGATGAGACTGCACTCATTTCTCCCGTTTTTACTTGCCTTTCTCTTGAATTCAAAATCTGCGAGCCCTCATTATGCGCGTGTAAGCCTCCGCGAAAATACTTCCCGTTCATATCGTCGACGTTCATGGAGTTTCGCTCAGTCTTGACCAAGCTATTTGCAATAGAACCACTATCGCCATATTCTGATGCCAGGCACGTCTGAGCATGGTGGGTCTGGAATTGGTGGACTTCGAGGTTTCTGTCAGGTTTTAAACTGAATAACTCCTTTCGGTTCACCCACGGTATCGAGGGATTGCAATTCGCACCTGCTCGGGAGCATTGCAGGCAAGGATATTCTCCTGATACTCTAGAACCGCACTTTATTTTTCTTTTCCTGCAGAAGCTGCACGCTCTCACAGAACATCCTAAAAGAGTCAGGATTTCCTTGGAGCATTTCACTTGGAGCTTTCGAACCAGATTTTTTTGCCTTGATGTCAGGTATACGTATTTCTCGAGATTCCACCTTGGCAGCAACTGAGGTCGCATTGTTTCCATCGTCTGCCAACTGATATCCATGGGTGGGAATGGAGATGTGCATATGGTGAGCATGATTCTGATAATGCGGATCCGTGGAACAGATGGGGGTAAAAGTTGTGTTGTCGCCGAAGTCGCGCTGGTCCAAGGGTGGACATGATGAGGGCTCTGGCTTAAAAGGAGCGGGCACCGGCCAATTTTCTAGAAGTTTCAGGAATCATCAGCTTTAGTCTGCAATCTCAATGCCAGACCCATCTTACGCTGCTGTCTCCGTCCTGCCAAAGGCATTAAATATGGATTTTCGGAGCTTGGTACATCATTGGTGATACTGAATGAAGATTGACGGTAAAACGCATGGTCAGGAACATTTGGGTTAAGCATGAATTGCGACGTTGAGGGGGGCCAGGAAGGATGATGAGGCGGCGGTATGGTGATGGTGAAATCAGGTGGGAAACTGTTGGACTCCATATCTGAGCGGCAGGTCGGCGTGAATATCTTCATACAGGGAACGAGGGGGAAATTGGCCCGCTTTTAACGCCAATCAGTGGCAGGGTAAGAATGAAAGACAATGGCTGCATAATTGAGATACGACCAAATATGATTTGACGCACAGGCGCTGCTCCCGCGACTACTCAATGGCACATAATTTTGAGGAAGCTTGTAGGCTTGATCTTTTCGGCATGTATTATCCACTTTCCATACCAGGTTTGGCCTTGACCCTATGGTCCAAATCCCGGTGGAAATTAACAGATTTGGGTTTAATCCCTTCGATTTATAGGAGATTGTTTTTTTAACATCAACGAGTGGCGTGTCAGGTCTTACGTCTCTCACCTTTATGCTCCCCATGTGATGAGAGTCAATTCACTTTGCAGCATGGAACACGACCCTGCATATATATTCTATCTTGCACAATAATAATGAGTAGGAGGTTGAAATCATGGTGTAAAAATTCATTAATTGAAGGGATTGGGTAATTAAGAGCACGGATAGATTAGTCATTTGCCCGAAGACCTTAAAACAGCATAGAAAAAAGAGATTTGACTTGCAAGTAAAGAACAGAAGAAGCAATACCAGTCAACGTCCAAAGCAAGCAGTAAATGGATAAAAGAACCAATGGTGTTGCCAGTTTTCAACTTTGTAAGTTGCATGCCGATCAATAACCTTAGCCGCCAGCTCGAAATTTCCACGGGCTGTGGTACTGAGTGCAGGAAAGAGGAAATCCATTCCGGGTCTGGTCCTTGCTCGCCACCGATACATCTCATAATTATTCTTTGAATCGACGAGGTAGCCAAAGTCTCCCACGGCTTTTGTCTTAAAGCCGCTTGCTTTGATCCCTTGGATGATGGCCGTTAGAGAATAATAGTTGCGAATACGATAGAGCTCCTATAGTTCTCTGTCAGATCATATATCAATGGGACAATGCGTCAGAACTACCTCGGCCAAATGATCAAGTTTTTGAGAAACATCATCAACCTTAGCAACCATACACTCTTCAACTGCAATGCTGAGGTCGTTCCATCGTGTGTTGAGTATTCGCCGAGCATGATCATCTTTTGCATCGAGAGCGTCCACAACGTACTGCGAAAAGAAATATTGATCTTTCCTCGACAAAGCGTTGGCAAATTCGAACACATCAATCCATTGAATTTGTCCAAAGAATGATGTGTCGGTATTGAATGACCCCCAAGTGACTTCGGGGGACCTGTAGAGCTTGTAGAACCGACTCTCTAATATCTGTAGTTGTTGTAATATATTTCGAGCGGTGTCGGGGCTTTGGAGGAGTCGCTGCAATGGGTCGATGATCCACTGTAGTCGTTCGTCTAGCTCAGGCTTCATATTTTCCGGATTTTTCTTCGGCCAAAGGCACATGTGGTTTCCTCTGAGACACAACATCTTGCCAGGCCCTTTCAATTGCAGTGCATACAAAGGGATCCGCATCTATCTTATTCAAACTCTACAGTTTGTTAGATAATTGTTTGAAGATGCACCAAGAGACAGCCTCTACCTACTCTTTTCAATTGATCCAAAAGCTCGAGATACTGAAGGTTTCGAGTAAATGTGCTGTAGACCTGCACTTTGAGGAACTCGTATTCCCGAAGGAAATCGTCAATTCCTTGCGAGGGAAGTGCATCTGCCCTTCGAACGAACTCTTCGAAAGTAACTTGGGAGAATCTGCGGAAACTTTGTTTTGCAAGCTTGGTAGCCGTAGCCTCCGGCCCATCAAGAAGTGACTGAGACAGACACCAATCCCAGCTCTGCGGGAATACAGGTCTTTCCTTCTGAGAGGAGAAAGGTTCAAGTCCCTCCCTTTGGGCGTAAGCGTCATTATAAAGGTGGAAGTCACGGAGTCGACTGATCGAATTTTCGTCCCCGGAGAGCAACATGTTCTTAACTTCCAGCTCTCGCCAACATTTGGAGTCGGCTTCCAGGGGCTTTGGGTCTTGATGCCCATCTTTGACTGGAGGATCTGATAAACCACATGTACCTACATGTGTGGTTGCCGTACTCAAAAACGAACTAATTGAACAGGCGGATTTTAACACTTAAAATAACTTGGGTTAGCATGCAATCAAGCAAGACAAGGTCAAGGAGCCAAGGTTCTCAGGGAAGGTCAGCGAATAACATACTCTTCTCGGAATTGGCAGACTCGGCTTTGGTATCCATCCTGGGCGTATGGTGCACCAAATTTTAAGAATTGGGATTCGATTGTTATACACCTTGCAGTCAACTTAGCTCCAAGCCGAGTGACTGCGCATCGCTTGCATCAATCCTTGAACGTGCATCAGCGACAAGTACTAGATTGTGATCGGTGTACCCACTGAAATCCTTCGGTGCATGAACCCCAGCCGGGCCATGCGGCGCGTCGCTAAAGAGGCGTTTGTACTTGATACTGGAAGTCCGTGACCTGCGCTAATCGGCCTAGATTCATGGAAACAAAATTTCAGGTCTGCTTCCATAAGGGGCATAGTTCTCTGATCGGCGCCCCTTGTTTTGTTACATGATATTTCCAAACACCATGTCACAAAAGCTGGTGGGGCTGTCAATTCCAACCAATGATCTCGCTTCGTATCATGTAGGAAGCGATTCAGCAGTTTTGTTATTGTAATACCAATCTTCCATTGCGACAATAAGTTGCTCCATTTGGTAGCTTGGATCGGACGTACCTGGCATGATGTGATATGGAGTTCGCTCCTTCCCGTCCAATAAAAAAAACAAGAAAATCAGAACTGAAAAGTTGGGGCAGTGCACATCATGCTGACTCCCATTGATGACATAAAATACGCGGCCGACAGCTTCTACAACCATTTTGCTTGGTCTACTGGACTTCATTTCTCAGTTGCCAATGGTTCCGTATCTAAGCTTTAGATGCAATGGCAAGGAATATACAAGCACTTTCATCGCACAACTCACTGAGAGAAAAACCGTCATTTTCTATGCAAGTCCTTAGGCTTCGGCAGATTGTTAAGTATCCTCTCGCTGATTCATTTTGCGATGGTAGCCCCAGAATACTGTCATATAACATGTTCGGGAGGTAGATCATCTTCATATGCAGAACTGCATTGCGTTCGATTTTCCTTTCGTGAAATGTACAAATCTCCATCCAAAATTCGGAAATGAACATTCCCAAAGCCAAAACCCATGCCTTCTTTGTACACAAGTCTATCGTGATACCGGCCTGGTAGACTGTATTAGGGCCCAAATTTCCTTGCTGTGAGATACAATTCCTACTTACTTTTGTGCCTCAAGACTACGTCGAGTTCAAAGCATCGATGAAAGTCGGGGACCCCATGACCATCGTAATCAATGGCCAAATCGATGTAGGTAAAATGTTGAGGAGAATAAAGTCGAGCCAAGGGTTCTAAAAAGACATCGAATCTTACATTGGTAGATCCTATTTGGTTGCTTGTCGGACGGATGAACCTGGCATAACGTCACATGGCGTTGGCTCCTTTCTACCCAAGAACAAGGCCGAGGAGCCAGATTTCTCTCTACCAGTATCATAGCACACAACATGCAGGCCCCACTGTCGATAAATTTAAACAAGGTCACAAGCTTCTCCAACCATTTTGCCCAAGAGCACCGTACGTTGGGTTACATATTGCTTTCTATAGGCAATGTACAACAGTGCAGTGGAGGTCCAAGCGGCCCAAAGGTGGTGAAAATAGGATCAGCTGAATATAAATATAGCTCCAACATACCATGACATATTCCCCAGCACCTGAAAACAGTTTGTCTTCCATAAGCAAAGTGTACTCTTCTGTCATCGGTCTAGCATCTGTTCATCACCATTGTCTGTACTTTCGATTGCTCACTTGAAGTCCTTCAGAACTCTCGATCAACATACCTTACCATAATCCTATCACCTCAAACCAGCTCAGCATTCGTTATGTGTCAAATTGTGGTCCGCGTCTATAAATGTGGTCATTATACGGCCACGCTGATGGGAGACGCATGCGAGGACGCAGTGAAAGCCGGCCAGATATGTGACCCGCCCAAGGTCGAAAAACAATCTACAACAGGAACATTCTGCAACAAACCTTTCTGCGATAAGAAGCAAGGACTCAAGAGAGATGGACCGGGTGAGTCTTCATTGAATTACTCCATTTCACCTCCTAACGAGTGTACAGGTTCAATAGTAAATGGTGGACTCAACAGATATTTATAGTGGACCATAAGTCACACTCGTTCTGTCTGAAGAATTCTTGCATGATGTACTGAACTTTGACACATGAACGGGTTGTGATGTACCGTTATTGGACAATAAAGCTGTCAAGTGATAGTGTACTGTAGTATTTTTCGCAAGATTTTTCCGTTGAGATGCTTGATACCTTCAACCTAGTTTAAATGCCTGATATACGTAATGACTGCCAAAGAAGAACAAAAATAGGAATGACAGCTGTATACTTTGAGCAGACCAAAAAAGTGGGGGTATATTCGCAAATTGCATTCATTGGCTTATTGAAACTGATCAGTCAAGTCATTCCAAACTCGGTGTGAGCAACACGTGATCCAAGAATACTTGACTACCCCCTTTCCCCCTTCCTCCCTTCTCCAATCGTTTATCTTGAGAGGTTCTCCCTTTATGTTATTCTTTGACGAAAAGGGAGCTCATTTAATTTCATCAAGCGCAATGCTGGAAAAGCAGCTTCTCTCACACAGCCTGGAATTCAAATCGTTCCAAGACTGGAACGGTGACTGTCAATCACAGATCTTGATATTCCGCAACAACAGCTCTTCATGGTGGATTAAAGTTACCTTGCATGGCTCTGTTCCAGAATCTATACCGCGGGGTTATCTCCAGCGCCGGTCAATCTTTCAAAAATTTGTTGAAGCGATTGATTTTGGTCAATTGCAACTTTTGGACGACACTGTGACCAATATTATTTTAAGCTTGACTGAGCAAAGTCACAGCTCGATCACAATACGGCATGGGTATCAAGCCCTAGCGAACTCCTATATTGCTGTTGCCCATCAAATGTGTTACAGGATCGCAGAAGATCCGCAAAGAGTCATATATCCGACTCTAGAGCGAGAACGATGTCTACCAACATTTGAGGCACGTTTTTTGCAGATTGTCGAGGTTGTTGCTCCAACAGTCTCCACGGTTTTGTTCAAGCAACAGAAGTTTGCTTACAAAACAATCGACCGCCCTATCTATGAGCCAGGAGACACGGAACATATATTGAACGAAATCGATGTTCTTGCACGTCTCCGCGGTGTTCCGAACATCGCGCAACTAGTTGGCCTAGTTGTATCGGAAAACCCGTATAAGACTTGCCTGTCAACCGATATGGCAGCAGTGATCACAGGATTCCTTCTCGAGTACTACCCCGGAGGTTCGCTTGAGCAAATTTTGGAGGATGAGTTTCAACATGATGATTTGCCAATACAATGGGCCTTGCAGATTGGGACAGCGATAGAACTATTACACAAGGCAGGGCGAACTCACCTTGACATCAAGCCGTCGAACATTGTTTTGGATGTCAATAAAAACGCCGTCCTCATCGATGTCAGCGGAACCGGTGGTTACATGTGGGAATGGCTTTCACCAGAAATGCAGAATCTTCTTCAACAAAACAGTGAAACAAGTCCCTGCGACATGCCATTTGAGACACGGGTTGCCACAGATTGTTGGGCTTATGGAAGATTACTCTCGGCTATTGCCGAAAAGTGTGCCACTGCTGGGATTGGGAAAAAACTGCGATTTATCGCTGACGGCCTGACCAAGGTGGCTCCCGAATCTCGCCCCTCGATGTGCGACGCTCTCAAACAATTGAATGAGAAGGAGGATTAGTCGTTCACAATAAGCGGAACATGTACGTCAACTACAGTGCATTGGCTGTTTCCATTCATCAATCCAAAAATGACACCCGATGTTCCCAGATTATTTTTTATTTGTTTCTGTTTCTGTCCTTGTTTGTTTTTTTTTTTGGTGGGTGGCTTTAGTATCCTCGGTTGGTTGCTGCTGAGATGCCTTTTGATTGCGTCTCAGTCATTTCATCATTATAACTTCTCCATCTTCCTGGTTTCCAATGTTGACTTCAGGAAGCCATTCTGTGCTCCGAAACTGCCCTGTGGTATCTGAACCTATCAGCTATTCAAAAGTATGGCTCTGAATTCCAAGGTCATATCTCATTGAAAGCCATTGTCTCACTTGTCCAAATTTCTTAGGATACAGAGGCTGCAAATGGCTACCTAAACATTCTCCTGTCATCTATAATTGGGCTAAGCAAAGCAAAGCTGGCGAGCTGCCCGAATCTACACGAATAGTGATTGCAGAGGTCCTTGTTGCAATCGCTTGCATCAATGATCGGTGAACCCGCTGAAATCCTTCGATGCATGGATCCTGGTCGTGCAATGTGGCACGTCGCTAGGTGATTTTGTGATTAATACTGGGAGTCCGGACCAGCCATTAGCGGTATATAGTAATGGGGACGATATGCCAAGTGTACTTCCATAGGCGACATAATTCCCTGATCGGCCCCTTGTGTTGTTACATGACGTTTCCAAACACCATGTTACAAAACCTGATGGGGCCGTCGATCCGACCAATGAGCTAGTCTCGTATCCTGTAGAAAGCGATTCTCGCAGTTTTGTTCTTGTAAAAGGACCAACCTGAACATATTGCTGGCAAAATCTGGTGCCGCATTTTCCTCCCGCCGAGAGCAACGCACGTGCATATCGGCGCTGGTCCCAATGTGGATGGCCCCAGGAGCTTCAGCAACCAGGTTTGGTATTACAATGACAAATATGCGGGTAGCGTTCTTCTATATGGTACCAGACGCGTTCATTGGTCAGAAGTGACTACCCCACCAGCTTTTGTGACATGGTCTTTGGAAAGGTCATGTCACAAACAGGGGGCGCCGATCTGAGAACAATGTCTGGGATAATGATACATGTCTATGAATTCTAATCAATAATTTCAGGACACGGGCTCTGAGCGTGCTGAAGCGAAATGACAACACCCAGCTTATGCACGCTAGTGCCCATTGAATACGCGAACAATGAGATAATAGTCATATCAAGCGGTAACAAATAAGATCAAGTCGCTTCCTATCATACATTTCTCTGCCGGTCTTTCAAGGTGTCTGTAGTTCAATACGCCTCGGCTCCAGTGCCAAGAGCATGCGCAAAGAAGACCAAACTTCTCGGTTGCCTCCGGATACGTCAGGGACAAAATTATGCTTTGTGGCTGAGAGATTGGCTGTTCGTGCGATGATGCAGTATCGTCTTCGCAACTTCGGCGCCTTGCAGATGAGCGGTGTCTGCTCACCATTTAAAAACGGGGCTTCCCTTTGTAAGAAACCACTTGTCACCAAGGAAAATGGGTTCTATGGAATACCAACCTAGGTCATTTGCGTCTGTTGAGTTCTGATCCTCTTTTCGCCGCCGAAATTAGGGATCATGCATCAAGACATTGCACCACGGAATTTGCTTATCGACCCCGAAACAGACAAGATTATTCTCTTCGATTTCGATTGGGCCACCAATGAGAAGGAAGGTCTACTGGATAGTCGAGACGATGTGTCTGGGGTTGTCTTCACGCTATACGAGATCATCACGAACGATTCACATCCCACGAGCATTCCTCACCGGGACCGAAATATAGACATGGTACAGAATATTGAATGGACTTGTCGCCGCGAACTGACTCTGATGTATCAAAGTTCCGCAAGTTTCTGAATGAATGGATAATGTCGAGAACGGAGAAAGCCAAAGAACAATATTTCAATGCACCCAAGCGGCTTACATGGCCGGATCTCCCAACCCCTCCAGACTACAGTGTGCCCTTTGAGCTGGGTTGGACAGAGGAAGGGGAAACTGTTTGGCAAACGGGTGAGCGTTCAAGACGCATTGCACTAGAGAAGGGGCAATACTGTTTTCGGTGGCAAAGACCACCACAAAGCAGGTTGTTGAAAAAAGCTGAAAATAGCATGTACTAGCTGATGACTTCAAGATTGCTCAGGTAACATAATTCTTTGCTCACCTCCCACTGAGTGGCTTGTCATGTGATTTTGTCTGTGATTGATCGGATGAAATTTTCAAGCCTGCATAATGCATGCATATTCTCCTCTGTAAGTCGTGTAATTTAGGCCAATCAGCTCTTTCGCTCATGGCAGGGAGTCGCGAAGGGAAACATCGTTCCTGGGCAACAGATTTGTTCCATGTCAAAACACGAATAATGATACCTCCCGCAATACATGTAATGCATCCCAAACGCTTCTGATATTTGTATGGGCCAATGTCATATGTGCCTGGTAAGGATAGTCCTGCGCACATGCTCCCGTCTCGCCCCACAGCGCAAACCAAGCGAATCCTACCACAAGCATAAGCGCCAGCAACTAATCCTTACGTACCCCTCTTTCTACTGGCCCCCTCTCTTTCTACTGGCCCCTTCTCTTTCTACTGGCCCCCTCTCTTTCTACTGGCCCCTTCTCTTTCTACTGATCCCTTCTCTACTGGCCCCCTCTCTTTCTACTGGCCCCTTCTCTTTCTACTGGCCCCCTCTCTTTCTACTGGCCCCTTCTCTTTCTACTGATCCCTTCTCTTCTGATCCCTTCTCTTTCTACTGATCCCCTCTCTTTCTACTGATCCCTTCTCTTTCTACTGATCCCTTCTCTTTCTACTGATCCCTTCTCTTTCTACTGATCCCTTCTCTTCTGATCCCTTCTCTTCTGATCCCTTCTCTTTCTACTGATCCCCTCTCTTTCTACTGATCCCCTCTCTTTCTACTGACACCCTCTTCTCTCGCTGACTGTATATTCTTCCCCTGTGCATTCGACTCTGGCACACTGGATGGCTATATGCACGTCAAGTATTGAACTGTGTATGCAAACATGGCGTCGGTGCAGATTACACTACAGCTGGGCAAAGAGAAATTTGAATGGCAGGACGGGTTCGAAAAACTCAATGATAAGGAAGAGAAGGATATTCGACAGTTACTTGTCCTCTCCAAAGCGGTAGTAAGCTCAATTGAATGGGAACTCTCGGCTCATCATAAGGAAGAGCAAGCCTTGACAGCCTGTTCGGAACTTATTTGTAAAGGTGCTCAAAAGATCAATCAATCAGGGCTGGCAGATTTTACAGTACCACGAGGGTCTGAAAAGGAAGAATCTTTCGTTTCAATAATTCGGAGCATTCACAATTTTCACAACCTTCCCGATGCGACCAAAAAAGACCCGAATGAAGTAACTTACCTCAATTCATTACGGCTGATATCGGAATTCACGGGTCTTGCGCACGCTTTTCTCGTGGTCCATCTTGTTTCTAAGAAAAAGTTTCGGCGGTTGGGTGCGAAGGGGGCTCCAAAATTAGTCCAATATATCTACAAAAACAAAGACAAATTGGACTGCCCTAATCTTGAACATCAAGTTGATGATATTACAAAAGGTAAGTGTTTCAATAATGCCCCTGTAGAAGGTTTGCTAATGGTTCAGCTGCTGGGATATCATGGCAAAGCAGCGAGGGCACCAATGTAGAATCTCAGACCACAACAGAGACTCCACCCGGTTCTTCCATTGTCACTCCTACAAAACTAAACAACACCTCAATTGAGGATTATGTTCCCAACAGAGAGTTTGTGCAACATTCCAAAACTCCAGACCATACGATATACAACACACTCTCGGAGCAAAACGTTGACCCCACAGAATGTATCAAACCTCGTAAGAAGAAATCTCAAGCTTACTCTATAACTGTCCTGTCAAACCTAATCTAATGCCCGACAGACTCGCCACCTACCACAATGCCGCCACCTTTGAGGCTGGGATCAGAACATGAAGTGATTGACGAAAGTCTCATCGAAAATCCTCCTTCACAGGGCCTTTACAACCTGGCTATTGAAAACACAGTTGGAAGCGGAAAGGATACCTCTGGTTCGTCCGGTACGCACATCCGCAAGGCGCAGATCCACCGCTGCTGGTGGGAGTTGGTGCCACCCAAGACTGAATAGATGACTAATCATTATCAGAAGCTCAATTTGCCACCAAGAAACGGAAGCAAGCTCCAACCAGTTTACAACCAAATGGATTTGCGAAGGCCGGGTTTCGTCAGAGCAACCTTTCTATACCATCTAGGACGGCACCACAGTCTGTTTTTTATCAGTCCATAATGCAGGAACTATCTCCAGCCTCGTTGCAGTTACTCTGCATCTTCGCGGCTCTTGGGGGCGACAAAGTGCCCAGGTGTTTATTTGAGAGATCCTTGAGACCTCAGATGCGTTGGAGTGAGGACGGATATCCTGTCCGCCTCACATGTGAGTACGATTCTGTCGGTGAGCTTTTCAAGGCGGAAGCATTGAGTGTATCCTTGGAAGAGCTTCAATTGGGTTCGTGGATTTACCTGGATAATTGCGACAATCATTCGCATACAACTTACTCTCTATCCGAAAGAGGAAGAGAGTATTCAGCACGCCTTTCAAGTGTTGATGATCTTCGGTACTGGACCTTAGTCGGCTTGCAGGTTTCTTGTCACGTGTTTCCCCGCGACCCTGCCTTGGAAGAAAAGTAAGTATTGCCAATTCACCCTCCACTCTTCACATGAAATTTGGGCCGGTATACTTCCATGCGATCGATTTGCATGAACATCACCACTGACTTTCCAATCAGCTTTCAGAAGCACGGGACACACCTAGTCCATGTAATAGATCATCTTTTTCAACAAAGCAAGGCTTACGATCTTCCACCTTCTATAAAATTAGCATTGTCGGAAGTCCTTGTCGCAAAGGCACGTCTCAGACGAGTACAATGCCCTCAGCAGGCTTTGAACCAAGCGACTGATCTTCTCGGCGACGCTGCCCCGGATCACATCCAAGCATCGATTGCTCTACGGCGGAGTATAATTGCACGGCTAGAAGGGTCTTATCACAAGTCTGAAGAAGTAATACTGGATTACCAAAAAAGAGCTCTTCCGTACGAAACGGCCAACCCGAGATTACGAGCTGTAACCCGTCTAATAATAATTTCTCACATTGAGAATTTGATCCAGCTCGAAAATTATGAATCCGCCAGCAATAACATCGAGGATCTCAATGACTGGGAGCCGAACAGCGATACGATTTGGTCCCCAATGGAGCTCTCTGTCAATTTCAAGAAATGGTCAACCATTTCGAAGATCTACCAGTCTCGGGGCAAATTAGCCGAAGCCAGGGATTACCTGAGCAACTGCTATCCCTTCCTTCAGTCAGAACACTTCAGAGCCGATCCAAATCGGTTTCAGATCATTTGCAGACTCTCAGATCTTCTTTGTGCAGATGGTTACTTCCATGATGCTCGTTCGAAGATCGAACGAGAGATACACTTAATACGCCTTCATGGAAACTTGCCCAAAGCCAAGAGACGTCTCGAAGTGTCCGTGTTGGGTGTGTACATCGCAGAAGGCAAATATAAGGAAGCCTCTTCAGTTGTTCTATCGTTGCGAAAGCAATTTTCTACCATCTCATCTCCAGATATCAGTGATCAGTGGTTGCATCTTCGCTCAGTTGTCGCATCTGCTATTCTTTTGCATTGCCAATGCAGATTTTTGGAAGCCGTTTCGGAGTGGGAGAATCTTTTGTCGCTTCTGAAAAAATACCCCCATAGTTTTGAACCAGAGGGTTTCTACTTCGGCCTCGGTCAGATATCTATTTCCCTCGCACTCCTTCAGTTGGCATCTTCCTCGTCGACAAAACGTGATTCTGGTGTTGTCCCGCCATCCTGGAGCGCAGATGCCAAGAAAGCCTTCGACATTGGCTGTACTGTTCTCGCACACGAAGACCTTAATTTCTGGATACCTATGGTTCCCCAACGGTATATACCAGACTTATTAGCAAGTATCAGGTCTGAGCGGCCGTCGTGGACGGAAACTAGTGATTTCCGCAAACTTCAGCAGAAATATTCCGATTTTCTGGATTCTGCACAAAGACAGACCGGCTTGTTGTCCCGGATATGATGACATCGCGTTCTACATAGCTTGTCGATCTGTGGTGTTTTAGTAGAACCTGCCTTATTGTTTAAAAATTCAACGTTCGTGCAATAGTAATATATTGGTGACTTGATGACTTGAGATGCGAATTTTGCATCTCGCTATCTTTCCAGTAGAACAGGAAGATGACGTGCTGGTGACGCTTCAAAAAAGACTGAATGGGTTAGGTTTTAACATTCTTTAAATTATTACCTTTTGTATTTACAATTTTCTTAAGTATTATTTCAAATTGTCCTGATTTTGTCGATCTCTTCTTGGCGCACTGCGGCCTTGTTCTAACAAATGCGTAGTCAATGCTCACCTAGACCTCGCCATATTGCTTTTTCGGGTACCCGTGGGCTTACCCACGACCCGCCAAGAAGACAAGGGCCCGTAAATTATGGAATTATAAGTGTAATACAAACAATAACACATGCAACGTCTTGTCATATGGTAAATATTACTGTTATTTAATATTCTTGGCGGGTTTTGGGTCAAAAGGTCGAAACCCAACCCACGACTTTGGCGAGGTCTATGCTCACCACACAGATTGCGTTATTGTATCACGTGCGCTTTTGTTTATCATATATGTGCCCTAACCCCGCTGATTTTCGAAATCCATCTAAACCCCCATGGCGTCTAACACTCCACTCTTTGCCGAGGGTGAAAACTCCGAGCAACTCACATCCGATACAGAGGAGCTGCGACAGCAAGGATGGGCGTTAGATGACGGGAGAATGGGAGTTTCCAAGACCTTCCATTTTAAAAGCTATTTCAAGGCAGTGGTAAGCTCAAAACTTCCAAAAAAGGGGAACTCCACTGTGATAACTAAAGAGACTTGGTAGACATTCATGAGCACGATCGCCTCCGAAAGCTCGGTGAAGAAGCATCATCCCACTATGACTTTGGTAAGTACTCGCTCATCATCTTTCAAAAAGAAAATTTAAGTACATGTATAGCTAATGTGCGAAGCGTATCGGCACTGTGGATGTCCACTGGACAACGCATCACCCCCTTGGCCTCACCCGCAAAGACATTTTGATGGCTAGATTTTGCGACAGCTTGGCTAGTGTGATGAAAGCTGTTGAGCCTGGTCAGGGATTGAATTGTGGATCAGGAACAGAAAAAAACTCCAAAGCCTGAATTTATTCTTCAATGACCAAGATAACATTGGAGTCTTCCTATGATGAATTTTATTCAACCGTTATTTACTTTTTCCGTTTATGATGTTTTCGTCTTGAGATAAAGCATCGATTATACAATCAGAATGAATCTGCTTCAACTAAAAGGTAACTTATTCCGACCACACGGTGCATATGTCAGCAACTGAAAAGCCCCAGTCTCCATTTCTTAAGTGAGAAACAATGGTCAAAGTTGTGCACAATCATTAGTTCAAGCTTCTTGAGATCCACCACTGTGGAGCTAGCATAGTTTTATTCGGCAGATGACGAGTGGCATAACAGAAAGTGGACCCAGAGAAGTACAATTCGTCTTACAGTATGACAGCCTTCACAATCGCCGATATTCCATAGCCTCGTTGTTTCTTCTTTTCTTACACCAGGAAAAGAAATTGCTATGTGAGTCTGGTTGTGGAGGCCGGGATTGATGCTTGAATTACAGTATAAAACAGTGACGATGCAGAGTAATGTGACCAAATACCATCTAGCATAGCCAATTTGTCTGATTCAGATACAATAAAGCAATGGCCTACCCAGAAATCACATCAATTCTCCACCGATCAAACCCGGTCATACCTCATCATGCAAAACATTTTCTCAAAGAGTGCCAATACTTTCGCCAACTTGGACAAGGCACCTTTCTTCGGAACATTGCAAGTGCCGGCTCAAAATGGGTTTTACAGTCTCCCGTGAGCGGCAGAGCCCGCAGTGCAGTAAGCTTGCCAACGGTCCAAATGAAACTTTGATGCTCTTTGAGTTCCAACTCGATGCCAAAGCCTCTACCGCAAACGATACACCTTTCGGGTTAGCTGAAACGAGGAGGTGAATTTGGGCAATCCGTAGATTACTTTTCGCGGTATAAAAAACATCGACCTCGGCCACCTCGCTATGTATAACCAAAACTCCCAGTTTGGTCTCTTCCCAGAGCTCGCGGATCAAAGCCTCCAGTACAGTCTTTGCATCACATTTTCCACAAAACACTTCGTAGAAATTTGGCGATGACTCAGCTACGGTGTGTGTTTTAAATGCACCCGCACTTTCCCTCTCTTTCAGTCGCAAAGCCAGGCCCTCACACTGAAGCCAGTACTCGATCAATGTCTTCCAGGCCACCCATCTGCCTTTCAAGGCTTTCAAGAAACAACACCTCTGGAACACTAAACTTTCGAGGACTTTCTGGATTTTTACAGGTCCCGTATGGGATGACGAGACGAAAAAACCTGTTGGCTATGTTTATGAACGGCGCGGTCAATGACTTAAGCCGCTACATCATCAATGTTAAAATTATCCGCAAACCCATAGGTACGAGGTATCTTGGCGGATTTAGGTAAATCACATTGCGGACAATTTTAATGACTCACAGTTCATAATGAGAACCGATATTTCTTGCTCCTGCTCCCGATATCATCCATGAGCTATCACATCGCCTGGTCAGAACCGCTCTTCACCTTTTTATAAAACCGCACAGGGTCATGAGAAACAAGCTACGAATGTGACAACGCAATTCTTGAATGCATTAGTGGTAATTTACAATGGTATTTAGTCCCCGAAGAATCATAATATTGGCTGTGTCGCTCCAAATTCCTTACAGGGGAGGGGATGTGCGGCCGATCCCCTTTCCCTTAATACCGTACGGCGCAGAAGCAAGATCCAGATGTGCGGCAAGGCATTGTCAGCTACCGACCTTTGCCTTGTTTTAACATGAATTGGGGCCAAACAAATTAATCTACTTCAATATGTCCCAATATGGGCGATAAGCAAGAAAAGAGAAAATGAAGCATATCTTTACGGCCTCCTTTGAGGGGCCAGATACTATAATTCCAATGCACTGTTTTCTGGGATACGGATCCTTTAGCGTGGTAGAAACGTGACGGTCCCAAATTCCGGAATTTGGAGCCAGAATCCCCTTTGACCAAAGCTGGGGCTTGCATACACCTTCACCGACTGCTGGACTAACATTGCACGAGGCTAATTTTGCGGAATTGGCTCTCGGCATGAGTGGAGAAAGCCTTTGGAAACTGAAGCGTTAGAAGTCCCAAGGGTGTGCGGTGGTCGATCAAAAAGGCTCCGCACCCGGGAAAACCTGGAACATGACCTATGAGTACAGCCTTCGGCTCCACAGATGCAGGCCTGCAGCTGGAACAGAGGTCTAGAGGCGTCTTGTAAACTCTGGCGTGGTATGGGGACGCGGTATGGAGATTACGTGCTCTCAGCCTCTGAATAATGGACCTATTACCCCTGTTTGAGACGTGTACACTAATGACAAGATGATGGGATCAGTTCAGGTCATTGATATAAATTGCATTTCCATACTTCGATACTCATCCACAAGTCTGATACTTGAAGTTTTCCGCGTCGTACACCGCGAAAATAGTGCATAGGTATTATCTCACATATCTCGTGTTATCTTTCTCTTTGACATATCGGAACTATCAGTTTACTAACCACTCATCGAAATCTATAATAGTTCCATTAGTGACCCCGTTTCCATCGTTGGTATTCAAAAATTCGCCACAAATGGCCCAAGACAATCGCATGAGAAGTCCGGATTCCATTATTGAACGAACCACCATTATGAATCCCCTGACGCTGTTGGAGTATCTTCTTACATGCTACCCAATTTTCCTCCTGTTGTTGTTCGTCGCGGTTTGTGTGATCAAAGTGTTCGTCACGAGCAACATCGAGCAAAAAGTCTCGCAGAACAATTGTGGCCGGCTTCCCAGGCGGGCCCAGAACCCGATGGCTTCCGGTTACATTCAGCCCTTCTCCCGCATCGCCAAAAACTGCTTTAGCTGGCTCTCAGCTGGTGTGCTTGTGACATTCTTTGCGAATGCGATGATTTATACCACCCATGTGTTAATGGCCCGTTCCGAGTATTGGTGGCGCGGGCAGTCTGTAGTGGTGCGTCGCTGTGTGCTCCGTTGAACAATACTTTTTCATGTGTGATGTCCTAACAACCACAGATTTATATTGTTGGCTCTATTTTTGCCTATGCAGTTATTCTTGTCAGCATACTCGATACCGCCCCTTCCCCGACGGCCACTCAGCTCACGTGTTGGTCCTTCGCCATTCCTACCGAGCTCATTATTCTTACCACATCCCTCTCCATTTATACCTCAGACCACTATGAGCCAGTAGTCGGAGACCCCAACGGAGGTGCGATGCGCCAAGGGATCACCTTTTGGGAGTGCATGGAAGTTGTCCCCAACGGTTTCCGTATATTGATTCTGGTCTCTCTTGTTCTACTCTACTTTACCAAGTCCGGTGCTCTCATAGGCCATGATGGAGACTCAGAGGATGTGACTGAGACAACCAGACTGCTGAGCCCTCCGCACACAAAGATTTGTCTTGTTAATGACTCCGTCTACGGTTCAACAAGTGGAACTGCGAGACCCGCGGAGCCCAAACCACGGAATTCCTGGGCGCGACCAGAAGTATTGCCATCTACGAGCTATGTGGAGTATCTCAGTGGCTTCTCGCGTTTTTTTCCCTACATGTGGCCCTCCGAATTCCCCCGTCTACAGGCTGTGGCGGTGATTTGTTTCCTTCTGGTGATTCTCCAGCGAGTTCTCAATGTGTGGATACCCATCCAGATTGGGACTATTACTACATCTTTGGCAAATCAACAAGATGGAAATGGCTTTCAACCACCGTGGTTTGAGATCTCCATGTATGTTTTTTACCGCTGGTTGCAGGAAAATTTGGGGTCTTTGCGCTCTGGTCTCTGGATTCCCATAAGCCAGTATTCCTACCTGGGGCTCTCTACGGCTGGCTTCGAGCATGTTCACAGTCTCAGCTTGGATTTCCACCTGGAAAAACAGACGGGCGAGCTTTTATCAGCTCTGAACAAAGGGAAATCAATCAATTCATTCCTGGAACAAATATCATTTCAATTCCTTCCTACACTAGCTGATTTGTTCATCGCAATTGGGTACTTCCTAGTTGCGTTTGACGTTTACTATGCCCTCGTGGTTGGAATCTCGGCATTTGTTTATGTTTATGTTACCATTCGCATCGCTCAGAGGAATGCGAAGATCAGAAGAAAGATGGTTGATGCTTCGAGATATGAGGATGCGATCAAGTAAGTTGAGGTAAATACCAACGATCCGAGTCACAAGAAGGCTGATATGCATGCACACACAGAAATGATTCGTTGATGTCATACGAAACGGTGAAATACTTCAATGCTGAACGACATGAGTTTGACCGATACCGTCGCGCTATCTGCAACTACCAGAATGCGGAGTACTACACATTCCTCTGTGGGACCCTGTTAAACGCCAGTCAAAACACTGTCTTGTTGGCCTGTTTACTGGTCACGTGCTTCATCGCTGTGTATCAAGTCTCTTCTCTCCAGCAACCCGTGGGTCGGTTTGTTACCCTGTTGATGTACATGGCCTAGTTACAAGGTCCCCTGAGCTTCTTTGGGGCCTTCTATGTCTCCATACAGTCGTCTTTGATCAATGCCGAGCGTATGTTGGAGCTTTTTAAAGAGCAGCCAACAGTCACTGACAGCCATTGCGTTTCCCCACTGGCCACTTGCCAGGGAAAGATTGAGTTCCGGAATGTTAGTTTCTCATATGATGCGCGGAATCCTGTGTTGACTGGACTCACGTTCACTTGTCAACCAGGAACGACTACAGCTTTGGTGGGAGAGTCTGGTGGGGGCAAATCTACTGTTCTCCGTCTCCTCTTCCGATCCTATAATCCTGAAAATGGCAAAATTCTCGTCGACGGACATGACGTCCAAGATATCACGATTGATTCTCTTCGTCAAAACATCGGTGTGGTTCCGCAGGATACAACGCTTTTTAACGAAACTTTGATGTACAATCTAAAGTACGCCAACAAGGACGCGAGTGATGAAGATGTGCACGAGGCTTGTTCCAAGGCCGGCATTCATGACAAGATCAAAGGTTTTCCAGATGGCTACAGCACCAAAGTTGGAGAGCGTGGGCTGCGCCTCAGCGGCGGTGAGAAGCAACGTGTGGCAATCGCTCGAGCTATCCTGAAGAACCCTAAAATCATACTGCTGGATGAGGCTACGTCTGCACTCGACACTAAAACAGAAGAGCATATCCAGAATTCCCTAGCTACTCTCTCCAACGGCCGAACCACGCTCATCATTGCCCATCGGCTAAGCACCATCACGTCGGCAGAACTCATTCTAGTTCTAAGCGATGGCCAGGTGGCCGAGAGCGGTACCCATGAGGAACTAGTGAGTATGGAAGGCCTTTATGCCCGTATGTGGAGAAAGCAAAATGGCGAGGCAAAGATACTTGAAGGCCAAGACAAGGTGGAGTGCATTCAAGGGGATCAGCTTTACAGAATTTCACATACATAACACTGGCTACATATACAAAACGCTGAAAGAGCACCAAATGTTTGTCCCATAGTATATACGCTTCGAGTTCTTGATGTGTTTCCGCGCGCCCAATAAATGGCTCAAGCCGCCAAGCATCAAAAGCTGGGTACCTTGCGCGGCGAATCAACCAGGAGTCGTGCAATGCCACAGCCAGAGGCAAGGGTATAGAGTATAGGGATGCTGAAATGCTCTACGAGCAACTTGCCCACTGGCGCACCAGCATTTTGCCAGCGGATTTGCAGCGACCAGTTGACAGACGGGCTGAGTCACCAGCGGAGTACCGCGCCGTTCGGGAATCTACTCCCATACCGTCTAGCAGGCTGATTCCTGTTCGCCGTGCAATTTTGTGGGCTCTTGAACTCAATTGCTACTTGCAAATCGACGATTGTGTCGCCTAATATGGCTTTAAGGACAGAGCCTCAATTCGCGCCCAGGCGATAGCTCACCTTGTGGGAAACCAGAGATAAAAGAATGAAGCAGGGGCCAGGTGCTTGTTTCAACTCTTGGTTTCGTAAAATGATCGTTGGATTTTAAGGTTGAATTTTTAGTGATGCTTTCATGTATCGCTGATATTATGAGGCCCCCGGTTGGAGAGGAGGGAAAGTTTCATAAATAGCGGGCAAAATGCAGACCAAACCTCCCAATAAAATTCGGTGGCTTTGTGATGGCCCGAGATAGAGTCACATTTTTGGAGGGCATATCCTGTGAGGCTTGGCGTCCTGCGCCGGGTTGTGCAGCTAGCTTCACTGCTTGTCAGCTCAAGGAACTTTGTTGAACATCCCAATCACTGACATGGTCAAGGGGGCTGAGATCACGTGCATACATGTATACCTGTATACCAATCTACTCGTATCTAATAAAGCAACACACAATCAACTTACTCAATACCGAAGCATCATTTACCAACCAACAGGTATGCTGACTAAGACCCACCCAACCCACGGGTGGCCTCCTTCAGACTTTGGTTGAAATCACGTGAGGTCGCGTTCCTCCCGCGTGTCCCCTCCACTCTCTTTCTCGAACCATCCTCTCCAAAATCAACATGGTGGCAGACAAAGAACTGTGTCATGTCAGATCAAACAAGGTCGAGGTTGATTTTAGAACACCCTATTGGGGATGGCTTGAAGGGCTTTCGTGCCACGTTCACCTCGATCTGTAAAGGTGCGGACTTGCGCTCACCAGATGAGGCCATCGATCGGCTTAAGCGGGAGGGTGAGGCACAAGAATCCATCATGAATCCTCCTTTTTGCTAACTTGAGTGCAGATGTGCAAGATCTCGCCTCCAGCCTCCTAACAGCCCTTCAGATCCTTCCCACCGCCCGTCTTCTGCCGTCCAATTCAGGAGGAATCGTTCGGAGTAACCTGCTTCGACTCATATCTGCCGTCGCATCAAATGATTTCGACCTCGAACGAATTAAACCGCTGCTCAAAATATCTATTGTGGACGCGTCAACAGATGAACAGATATGGAAACTGGTGGATGCTGCCGCAGCGGAATCTACCCCGCCCCCTCGAACGATTGCCTCCTCGCTCCAGCAAACGCCATGGCTCCACAAGACGAGTAGCTTCGCGAACTCCTCGGAATACCGCCAAGACGTAGACAGGGTCCTCAAGTCCGAGCTTGGACCTCTGTATGTAGGGCTCCCGCATTTTCGATCAACATTTTTTGGAGGTGTCAGTGGTCTTCAATCTGCATCCAATGCCGTGTTTCAAAGATGCACAGAAGGCAGCAATGCGGCTTTTGCAGATGGGTGGAAAGGATGGCCAAAGAACGCAAACCAAGAAGATGTTTTGAGCTGGTTTGCAGATCTGAGCGAGAAACTAGTAACATTCTCAGCAGACTATGTTCCTGTTTCGGCGCACCTGCGAAGGCCACTCGCACAGCCCAACAAACCCGTCCAGGGTTCCACGGCAGAGCGCAAGCTAGACATTGGGTTCGTGAGTGACACTGGCGCTGGAAAGGACACCCGATGTCAGTGGTCACAGATTCTCGTACCCGGCGAGCTAAAAAGCAATCCTGCCGCCGACACCGCTTCTAAGGCATGGCTTGACTTGGGAAGATATGCTAGAGAAGTCCTCGCGGCTCAAGATACCCGTCGCTTCGTTCTGGGCTTTACATTATGTGGCTCCTTCATGAGGATATGGGCCTTTGATCGTCTTGGAGGAGTCGCATCCGAACGATTCGACATAAATGAGGATGGACTCCAGTTTGTGTCGACCATTCTCGGGTTTCTATGGATGAGCGAGAAAGACTGTGGATTTGACCCCACAATCATCACGAGAGATGGCCAGCGGACCATTGAGATAGAGCAGAACGGTCAGACCGAACGTCTTGTCCTCGAGAGGTTGATGACACGGGCACCTTGCATCGCAGGTCGAGCAACAACATGCTGGAAAGCGCATCGTGAAGAGGACCCCGGGATTCCACTCGTAGTCAAAGATTCTTGGCAATACACAGAGCGCGACGAAGAAGGTGATCTTCTCAAAGAAGCCACCGAACGAGGGGTGGTCAACGTCGCGCGGTATTATCATCATGCGACGGTTCGTACCTGTGGTAAGTCTGATGATGTCCGGGACAACGTTCGAGGCGGCTTGGATATCAGGACCGCGAGCAATTATCGGCCAGAACAATTCTCGCTCACAAGTGCAACCGTCGCTCCGCGGAAGGGCCGGAGCAGCGGCCGGTCCGGCGTGAAGCGCTCTTCCAGTCAAACTGGTACCTCTCTGCCACCTAGTAAGCGATCCTGTTCGGCATCTCCTACCAAGGCACCCAGCAACTCACTGCCAAATCGAGTTCATCGGCGTGTCGTCCTGCGTGACTATGGCAAACCAATTTACCAAGCAAGCACTCGCTTGGCCCTGCTTGCCGCGTTAGAGGGTTGCATTACAGGGCATCAGTCTTTGCAAAGCGCCGGAATCCTTCACCGAGATATCTCAGTCAATAATCTCATGATTAACGAGGACAAAAAGAACCCATCGTGGCCGTCATTCTTGATTGATCTTGATCTAGCCATCAGAGAGGAGCGAGACGGTGCTTCGGGAGCAAATGGAAAGACCGGCACAAGGGCCTTTATGGCAATTGGCTCGCTTCTGGGCGAGAAGCACTCTTTTATGCATGACCTTGAATCATTCTTCTGGGTAATTTTCTGGATTTGCATCCATTACGAGGGGCCGGGTAACGGAAGAGTTGTTGCAAGGTTTGATAAGTGGAATTTTGTGGATACAGAGGACCTGGCCTTTTTGAAGACAGGCCAGATATCTGAGGAAGCAGATTTTGTGAGGTCTGCGAATGAGTACTTCACAGAGTACTACCAGCCACTTATTCCATGTGTCAACACACTTCGGAAGGTGGTCTTTCCCGATGGGAGGAGATGGGCGAAGGAAGATATAGGATTGTATGGTAGGATGAAAGAGATCCTACGGAGAGCCCAAGAGGACTGAGAAAATTATTTTCTGCCGGCCTTTCAAACCTCACGCTTCAGCGAATACTGTGTATATCACCCCTCACTATAATAATAGCTCGCACCCGATGGGGGCATCGTCTCGGAGTGATGCTTAAGATGATCTAGGCTCAATTAGTCCTATGCAAGCTGTGCTGTAGCTACCAAAGTAGCTTTTGCCTGCTCATTTTTCTTCATATGAATGAGATCAGGCCGAAGCTTATAGATCTCGGCTTTTGTTGACACCCAGAGGTTTTCAATGGGGTTTAAATCATGCGAATGCGGGGGCCAATCCATAGTCTCGATCACTATATCCCGTAAAGCATCCCAGACAACGTGCGCAGTATGCGTTGGTGCATTATTATGCTGGAAAATGCCACCTTCGTATTGAATTACAATTTGCAATGCTATTTTATGGTACAGGATGGATGGATGGATAGTTTCATTTACCCCGACTCCTCGACAAGTTGAACTTTGGATTAAGGTACGGAGATCTATAGGAGTGGCTGCCTGTTAGGCAGACACTCCGCTAGGCAGCAGGGAGATAAGCTGCTACAACTACAAATAGCTGGATCTACTCATATAGTGAGTCATCACACTTGTACCTTAATCCAGAGTTTAACTTTGCGGGGGTCGGGGTAAATGAAATCATCCATCCATCCATCCTGTACATTATTCCAAAATCCTCAAACCTAATGCCCGGCTCGCATAATAATTCGTTGATGTCGAAGCATACGAATAAGGAGCGCCTCAGAATACATAGGCGTCAATGAAAACTGGGTACTGTACTGCTCGGTTGCCAACTGTACAAGTTGACGAGAAAGCTACGGAGAAATGGAACCCAGATCAATACCTGGTGGATCCCAACGAGCGAAGACAATAAACTGCGGGATCTGGCGAAAGAACAGGCCAGAGCCGCGACACAAGAAGATGCTCGCCCGCAAGCACGCGTCCCGAGAATGAAGTCAACAACACTGAATATCGCACGATCCCAAGCAGTCCCCAGCAATAACCTGCCAGGGAACATAGGGAGACACGCAAAACGAGTTGATGCAGCACTCCCGGGTAAACACAGCGGCAGTTGTATGACCGACTACCGAGGAAAGAAGCGAGCGTGCTGGCTCAACTCTGAACCGGCATGGCACGACTCAATGGATATCTCTATCGAATCAAGTAGCAGACACGGACCAGTGTGCTTGTGGACAAGCGAGAGAGACCGCGGAGCACTTCCTACTTCGATGTCAAAAATCGACGGCACACCGGACGGAACTACTGTACTACAATGCACCATATCCTTCTTCCTAGGAGGAAAGTTCTTTTCCGGCGATCAGAAGTGGACGCCAAACTTAGAGGCGGTACGGGCCTCAATACGATTCGCCATCGCCACGTGCCGGCTCGAGGCCACCTAACCATGCCGATGAACATAAATCACCCATTTTTCCGATCTAACCCACCAACCAGCTCGTGTCACAGATGGTAGACCCGCTTCAACCGCTGGAAATGATATATATGGTACGGTTCTATGCATGGGCTCTAAAGAGACACAGAACTATATATACTATGACATGTATAGTAGATCAAAGATCGTTGACCTTTCGGCTGAGTCGCCGGGCGTTAATAGATTGTGCGTGTAATAACTACGCTCGATTTCTAGACAGAGAGCTGTAGAGTCGTCTAGTGTACTTGTTCAGCAGTGTGTTGTCGACCTGACGCAGATGGGCGCCGGTACTTGACTCTTTCATTCTTTCTTCCATTGCGAGTAGATCCCTTTTCTAATGTGTCCCGGCTCGCGTGACAGCAAGAAGCAAAACGGGTGCTTTTTTCCCGGTATGGCTGCCTCTTTGGCTAGCAGATCGGCCGCGTCGTTCCCAGGGATTTCGCAATGTCTGGCTACCCACTGTAGTCGAATCGAGGTGCCGTGAGTCTTGGTATTCCTGGCTGCTTGTAGAATGGCATGGATGATGTGTTGTCGGGACTTGTTCCCGGAGTTCTGAACTGCTTGTAGGGCCGACTTGCTTTCACTAAGGGCAGTGGCCGATCTTACCCGCGTATGGGATGTTCTCCAGTGACAGAGGGCAATCTTGTTGATGATGTTGATGGCGTACAGGATCATAATGAGCTCAGCAGTGTGAACCGACCATCGCTCTATAGGTACGACCTGAACTTGTATGCTGTCGGTTGTTTCCAGTGCTTCGTAGAGCACGGTAGCTGCTGCGCCTAGATATCCTTCCCGTCCACCGAGGCGTCCGAGTACACCACGATTTCCGCAGTTGACCGTGCAGTCTCCCTGTCTGATTCAATCTTGATTTGTGAGAACGCCTCTTTTCGCCATGGTGGTAGCGGAGTTGGGTCAATCATTGCGGTTTCCTGTATTCTCTCCAAGTTCATGGTTTTCTGATAGCGGGAACCGAGCGAAAAATCCTCGATTGTTGCGTCTTCTCTTGGCCCGAAGTAAGGCGCTCCATATAAGATGTTTTTGGGGTATGTAGTCTCGTGACAGTGGTTTGTGTGCGGTGGTGTAGACGAAGATGTGTTGGCAGTACATGTGCTTCTACATCAAGTGTGGTATGGCCACCGTCCGAAAAGCGGATAGGACGCGGATGAGAGCCGTTCCTTGTACGGTACGCAACTGTCGTAGATGGGTCTTGTTTCGGAGTGGATCATGCCAGATGGTTGAGGCGTAGTCAACCACTGGTGAGACGCACGCTTCGTGGAGCTGTCGCATTTTCTCTTGGCGAAGCTGTCGCAGTCCGCCGAGCACAATATTGATCTTGGTGGCTCGTTTAACGGCTTGCTGTACATGCTCCTTCCACCGTAGTTCGTGGTCGAAAACTACTCCAAAGAATTTGGCGGTCGTAGATGGTTTGATGACATTGTCATTCATGATAAGCTGGCCCTGGCTCTGCTCTTTCCTCTTTCGGGTAATGTGAATAAGTTCGGTCTTTTCCGCAGCGAAGCAGGACTCCGTTCTCTGGGCCCAGGCTTCGATCCGGGTTATGTCCTCTGACTGAATTGTGGCCAGATTCTCTGCGGCACTCCAGCCAACTCGCCAGCGGAAGTAGTCGTCGATGAAGGCGGATGCCCCATCGCAAAAATCGACCGGTTTATCGGCCAGATCGCAGTTGAAGAATGCAAAGATAACAGAGAGCCTTGCGCGAGCCTGGCATTGTCTAGTGGTATTACCTCGGTTTGATAGTCTTCGAACCCAATACTAGCTTGGTGCCTGCAGCTAAGTACAGTTTGTGTGTGAGTATCATAACACAAATCATCTCGAGCGTTGACGAAGAAAGCCTCATTGTTGCTTTGCGGAGGTTTGGGGAAATCTTCAGCTAAACTGTCACATAAGCAGCAGAAAAGCGAGAAACAACGACAGAAAAGAGTAAAGGGCAGCAGGTGGAACCGAACTGCCAACGGCACTTTACGAAGATAGATCTCCCAGGGTCCAGAGCCACTGGAATTATCAGCATGACTTGGATAGGACAGTCAGTTTGAACCGAATGGTCAGCGAGTACTCTAGCTACTGCGTCGAGCTTCATATTTCTTGAGGTCTGGGCAAAGCCAGCCTGAGTGGTCCGGCGAACAGCATTAGTGAACTAGCTGGTGTTAGGAAAAGCTCTAGCCTCCGATGTTTTTGGCCTACGATAAGATGGTCAATTCGTTGCACGAGTACCAAGCTATGCTTGCCCATTCGATCCTCGCGGAACTAGCGTCGTTGATTTTACGGGCAATTTTGCCTAGATGCCAGTTCCTGAGGGGTGTTCAAAATAATATCGAATCGGCGGAGGCCGAGTGGAAATGTCATGTGGATGAAACCACACGGTAATGGTATCATACGGTATAATACCTGTTTCATGTAACACTCAAATTACAGGTTCTCCAAGTATTGTGGCTTATCTGTTTAAAGGCGGTGGCTGTGCAGGCTGGACATGACCTCTGTAATTACCTTACATCAGTAAATAATGGGTCGCTCTATCGAATACGAACCCAGAACACCACTGACTAAGCTGATTACCGAAATGGCCAGGCTATCATCAAACAAGTCTGGAGGCGTAATTGCGTTTTCCGCGAATTCCATTTTCTAAATTCTAATATGCCTTCAGAAATAACCCAAGTATTCGGAAGTAGGTTGTCGCGTCTTGTCCATATACCAAACCTTTTGCTGTTCCAGGAGTATTCGTTATTGTAGTGATTCAAAGAAAGCGGGTTATTCATTCTGGGATACATGACGAAGTCCAGCTGGCTTTCAATAGGCTCGGTCCTTCTGATAGATAGCGGTGCAGAATTAAATGAATTCGATGATGCGGCTTGGGTTCTGATCTGCACCAGCTTCAAATCACAACAGTCTTAACCTGTCAACAGCATCGAAACATAGGCAATATGATAAGATAAGTAGCGGGTACCTTGACAGTCCTAGAGACTGTGATCTGGGTTTTCAGTATGAACTTGGAACGCCGAGGGGCAGCGCGTAGAATACGGCCTTTTGGTTATCTCGTCAAGTCTGAACAGGTTAGCAAACTAGGATGTCGCGTCTTCGCTCCAATATATGAGCTTTTCCTGTTTTCACGACTATCATGACTCGATTGAAGGCTTTCAATTCCTACGGCACGAAGAACCATGGTCGGATAAGCTGGGGCCAGGGGGCAAAAGGATGCCTATAAGTCAGAGTGGAATGATACAGACTGAAGACTGTCAAGCGAGGCTCTCGATCTTCGTGGCATGACTGATTATATATCGTAATATAAGCCACGTGCGTGCTCATTAGTGGCATCTTCAGACTGTCTCTTTCAGGAGAGGTACTCCATTCGGGGCCTTCTGAGTTTCTAAAGTAGTACCAAGGCGCTGTATAAATCTCATCTAAGTAAGTATTAGTTTAGACCAAGTTTGCGAAATGCTCAGATATCTCATAGCCATTCGTCTATGTCAGTGTCTGGCAATGGGTGGAGAAGAGCGAGTCATGGATCAAGCTCACTTGCGTGGGAGGGGCTATCGTTAGTCCAGCTC